AAGTCACAAGAGTGGAGAAGTGCATGTGAAGAAGAAATCACGTCAATAACAAAGAATAGAACTTGGAGTCTTGTCGATCTTCCCATTGGAAGCAAACCCATTGGCTTAAAGTGGGTGTTTAAATTGAAACGCAATGCTGACGGGAGCATAAACAAACACAAGGCGAGACTTGTGGCTAAAGGATACGTGCAAAAACACGGAATTGATTTTGACGAAGTGTTTGCCCCTGTAGCACGTATCGAAACAATTCGTCTCATCATTGCTCTAGCTGCCTCAAATGGATGGGAAGTACACCACTTAGATGTCAAAACCGCGTTTCTTCACGGAGAATTGAAAGAAAATGTCTATGTTACCCAACCCGAAGGTTTCGAAACCAAAGGAAGTGAAAGAAAAGTCTATAAGCTACATAAGGCACTTTATGGATTAAGACAAGCACCTAGGGCGTGGAACACTAAGCTAAACGAGATTCTCAGGGAATTGAACTTTGAAAAGTGCTCTAAAGAACCCTCACTTTACAGAAAACAAGAAAAGAAGAGCCTTCTTATTGTAGCGGTTTATGTTGATGATTTGTTGGTCACGGGTTCTAGCTTGGAGTTGATACTTGCTTTCAAAAGAGAAATGGCGGGGAAATTTGAAATGAGTGACTTGGGAAAGCTTACTTATTATCTTGGCATTGAGGTGATCCAAGGAAAAGATGGGATTGTGTTAAAACAAGAAAGATATGCAAAGAAGATTCTTGAAGAAGCTGGTATGAGTGAGTGTAATGCTAGTCAAACACCAATGACTGCAGGTTTGGAACTTTCTAAAGCACAAGGGGAGAAGCAGGTTAATGAGCAAGACTATAGAAGAAACATTGGGTGCCTTAGGTATCTACTTCACACAAGGCCGGACTTATCCTTTTGTGTTGGCATTTTAAGTAGATACTTACAAGAGCCAAAGGAGTCGCATGGGACGGCATTGAGGCAGATCTTGAGGTACATTCGAGGAACTCTTTCTCATGGTCTTCATTTTAAGCAAGGAGCAGAGTCGGGACTGATTGGCTATAGCGATAGTAGCCATAGTGTGGATGTTGATGACGGAAAAAGCACCGCGGGTCATGTATTTTATCTTAATGAATGTCCAATTACATGGTGTTCACAAAAACAACAAGTGGTAGCACTCTCTTCGTGTGAAGCTGAGTTTATGGCGGCAACGGAGGCAGCCAAGCAAGCCATTTGGCTCCAAGAATTGTTCGCGGAGGTCATTGGAGCATCATGTACAAGGGTAAGCATACGTGTTGATAACAAGTCAGCAATCGCACTCACCAAAAACCCGGTGTTTCACGGTAGGAGCAAGCACATTCACCGGAAATATCACTTCATACGAGAGTGTGTCGAGAATGGTCAAATTGAAGTCGAACATGTCCCTGGAGAAGAACAAAAGGCGGACATACTAACAAAGGCCCTAGGAAGAATCAAATTTAAAGAGATGAGAGATCTCATTGGTGTTCAAGACTTGGAGAAACTTGAAGTCAAGCTTAAGGGGGAGATTGTTGGTTTAAGCTTGAAGAGTAAACCGAAGTTTACTTGAACCGCAAGATATCGGTTTAAGATTAGGATAGAGTTAAGATCTTTAGGAGTTATCTAGAAGATTCTTAAGACCTTATCGAGTTAGGATTAGGTCAAGGTGTTGAGTCTCTATATAAGCATATGCCGAGCTTGTGGTATAGCTTATGAGTTGAGAGAGATTTGAGTTTAAGAGAGATTGTTGTAAGCTTTAGTTTTTGAGTTAGTTTTCTAAAGCATATCAATAAGAGAGTAATTCTTAAATTCTTTGTGTTCTTAACTCTTTTACAATCTAGATATATTCCATGGACATTGGGTTTGTTCGGATAAAAAACAAAATAACTTCAAAGGGGTGCTCAAGCGACGGAGAAGAGCATGTGTCACTTTTGAATTTGACCGGTACTCCTTTTTACGTTAGCCATCGTAATAGATTGATAGCGTCCGGTTGCAACAACATGGCATCATTGACGAATGTCGAGCCAATTATGGTGGGATGCAAGTCTAGCTGCAGCGCAACAAACCGTACAGCCTCAAAAGATTATCTTGCAGAAATCTATTGTGATGATTATAGCCAAATATTGGTGAATACAAGTACAAGTTGTAATGAAAAAAACTTCAATCAAACAAGCTGCAATGGGTTTCAATGCTTAAACGATACGCCAAAATCTCATAATTAATTCGCACCTTCCTAAGTAGGCCTGGGCAAAAAACCCGGACCCGAAACCCGGACCGATACCCGAACCGAAAAAACCGGTTCGGGGCGGGTACGGCTAAGAGGAAATTACCTCGTTGGGTACATTTTTTGAAAACCTGTGGGTATCGGGTCGGTCCGGGTAATACCCGTTACCCAAACAGGGTACCCGAATACCCGAACATATAATTAAATATAAAAAATATTAATTATATATAATTTTAATATAATTTAATTATATAGAATTACAATTATAAATCTAAATATGTCAATTAACTTTAGACTTAAATATCCAAAACAACCAAACTATCCAAAAACTATTTGTTATGTTTGTCAAAATTTAGCAATATGTATTCAAATATAACTAAATTTATTAAAATTTAACAAATTTTTAAGGTTTTTTTTCGGATACCCGGTATTTTATGTATAAAACCCGACATTTTACATATAAAATACCCGAACCGAACGGGTACCCATATTTTTTTGGGTATTTATAGGGTTTAAATTTTTTTACCCAAACCGACCCGAACCCGACGATACCCGAACCGGACCGGAACCGAATGTTTAAAAATACCCGAATGGGTCGTAAATTCATTACCCATTTAACCCGAACCCGAACGGGTTTTACCCGAACCCGAACGGGTTACCCATATGCCCAGGCCTATTCCTAAGGTATAAGCCGAATATTCAATTCCTTAATTCGGAAATTCCGAATTAAAGTATTCGGATTTCCCGAACTGGGGGGGGGACTAATTGTTTGTGCAGGAATTAGCACCTCCGACAATAGCGGCTTAACCCGGACGAATTACAAATAAAACTGAGATTTCAGTTTAAACCGGGATATCCCGGTTAAGCCTGTTAATGGGCCAAAGAAAGGAGGTCGCCTGGCGATCTCGACTCGAAGAAGGGAGATCGCCTAAACCGACTTCTTCGTTCAAGAAAAGGAAGATTTTCCTTAAAGGAAAAGGAGAATCGCGTAAAGAAAGGAAAAGCAGAAGATAAGACCCCGAAGATTTGGAAGATTAACATATCTCTAAACCTCCTTAATTATGTATAAATAGAGGGGTTTGTCCTCTATTGAAGGATCCACCACTTTTACACAAAAACCCTAGTTTTCTCGATTGTTCTTGAGCTAAACCCAAATGTTGTCTCTAAGCAATCAAATTAACCCTTTTATTCGAGTCTTTGATCAAAAATAGGAAGAGAGTTAATTGAATTTGTTTTCCTCCTTTAAACAAATTCGGTTTTTTATTTTTTAGTGATTCTCAATTAATAGTATAGATTTCATAACTTTTGATATAAAAAAAAAAATTCACCGTGCATAGCACGCGTTAATTATATCTTTTTTAAAAGTCATCATCATAATTAATTATCTCTTAGTGGATCTACTACTTTTTCTCAAATAAATATTTTATTGATTTTTTTCAATCATGCTATCTTTTGTAATAATTAGTTGAAATAAAAAAAGTTGAAATTTCTTGTACGCACTTATTTGAGTTAGATCGCAAACTATTTTGCAAGGAAACGGAAACTGGTAAGTGGAAACAAAACATTAGGAGACTCAGAAGCGGTTTAAATATATATATGAAACGGTATGTTTTGGAAATGTATATTCATACATATATATATAATATTTTAACAAAATGTAGATAACAAAGGAAAATTCTAAAAATACCACTTAATTGAGTTTTACCATTATTAGTTTTTTATGTCAAAAATATAACTAAAACATACTTTTTCCGAAAATACCACAAAACTAAAACTAAACTTTAAACTTTCAAAAGTAAATTATACCCTAAACCCTAAAACCAAAATACTAAAACCAAACAAAGCTTTTTTAAATTATAAACCCTTGAAAATCAATTTTAGTGTTTGTGGTATTTTTGGACTAAAAGGATTTGTAGTGGTATTTTTTGGAACAGAACAAATATAGTGACGATACTTTTGGAATAAAAGCTTAGTGTAGTCGATTTCTCTGTGTTAAAATTCCAAACATGAAAGTCATATAAAAAATGTTTAAAAACAACAAAAATTAGTATTTTTCTTGAATTCTAGCTTTCTAGGTTACCTTTAGTTATTTGGAAATAAAAATAACTGACTTATATTCCTTAAATTAACTACATTTTATTAAGTTACAAAAATACTATATATATTTATATTTACGAATTATTTACTAATAATTAAAAATTAAAATTAGAAGGCTAGACTCTGTCGCGTTTCCAACGTGCTTCTAAATTAATTTTTGATTCTGAACGGTTTTCAATTGTGAAACAGAACTTGGACAGAGTTTTGATGCAAATGAAAAAGTAAGATTCTTTCTTCATTTTAACCATCGTATTTAACTATATCTTTGTGGCTCTACTACTTTTTTTTTTTTTTCAAAATAATGACTTTATTAATTTTTGATCAATCATGATATTTTTTTTTGTAGGAACTAGGTGAAATAAAAAAATTGAAAATTATTTTACGCACTAATTTTCAGTTAGATTACGTGAGATGTTACTATTAAATATAGTTAAATATATTAAATTAGAAAAGATGCGATTATCTTTCAATTAAAGATCTCTAGCATTTTCTTTCTATTTTTTCATTATTGAGAAAGTGGTAAGATAACGAACAAAAGAAAATTCATAGATGAAGACTTGCTGCTGTTTCCAAGTAAACGCAACTTTCCCTTACAAAGAAAATTCAAAGACAAAGACTTGCTGCTGTCTCCAAGTAAACGCAACTTTTCCTTATAAAATAGGGCATACCTTACAATACCCGTATGCATTTTACCAAAGAAAAAAATCTTGAGCATATCATAAAATGAGCTCGAATACTAGTTGTTCCCTTTTGATTCTTCTCTCTTTGCTAGTTTTGTTGATCCTTGATTTTGCTAATCTCACTGTTTCCAGCTCTTGTCCTAGGAAATGTGGAGGAATCAACATCCCGTACCCATTTGGAATCGGAATGGGTTGCTATCTTGAGCACTCGTACGAAATTGAGTGTGTTAATTATTCTTCCTCTATTCCATGGAAGTTGGTCCCTTTTCTTTCCGCAATACGCAAGGAAGTTGTGAATATCTATCTCCCAACGTCATACATGGGGGTATATTCCATGGACATGGGGTTTGTTCGTATAAAAAACAAAATAACTTCAAAGGGGTGCTCAAGCGACGGAGAAGAGCATGTGTCACTTTTGAATTTGACCGGTACTCCTTTTTACGTTAGCCATCGTAATAGATTGATAGCGTCCGGTTGCAACAACATGGCATCATTGACGAATGTCGAGCCAATTATGGTGGGATGCAAGTCTAGCTGCAGCGCAACAAACCGTACAGCCTCAAAAGATTATCTTGCAGAAATCTATTGTGATGATTATAGCCAAATATTGGTGAAAACAAGTACAAGTTGTAATGGAAAAAACTTCAATCAAACAAGCTGCAATGGGTTTCAATGCTGCGAGACAAACATGCCTGCTCAGATTCAACAGATTGTTGGTGTGAGAATTGATAGCACCACAACAACCGGAGGGTGTAAAGTTGCCTTCTTAACAGACGAGGAACACTCTTTTTTAAATGGTTCTGATCCGAAACGGCTTCATGCGAAAGGAAAATCAACAGTTGCGCTATCATGGTTCATCCATACGACAAATCGTTCTTATGTAGATTCTTTAGGATGCCAAAATCTTGAAATTTTCAGACATTTAAGGGAAAAAACACTTGAAAGTACTTATGGAATAAGTTGTATTTGCGACTATAATGCTTATCGAAGCTATGCAAGATGCTCATGCAATAAGGGTTACCATGGCAACCCATACCTTCAGGGTGGAGGCGGATGCAAAGGTGAGAAATTGTGTTTATAGTTTCATAGAAACTGTGATGATAGTAAACATATAGGATCATTGTTTGACTACTATTTCTTTGTATTTTGAAAAGCAGATGTTAATGAATGTCTAGAAAACGACTATGATGGAAATTACAAATGTATGGGAGGGACGTGTGTCGATTTGCAGGGACACTATGAATGTGAGTACAAAAAACATCGGCCACTCGCTATAGGTATGTCGTGCAAATTTCTTTCGACATTTATATTACTGTATTATCTATCCAAGAAGTACAAGAAAAGTATGTAGGTTTTCATTTTTCTTTTGTCGGTTTGCAGGGATTGGTTCGAGTTTTGGCTCATTGATTTTTATTGTTGGAATGTACTGGTTATACAAATTTATGAGAAATCAAAAGAGGTTAAAGCAAAAGAAGAAGTTCTTCAAGCGTAATGGGGGTCTACTGTTGCAACAACAATTGACTGCAACAGAAGGCAACGTCGAGAAGACAAAAGTGTTCACTTCGAGAGAGTTGGAAAAAGCTACTGAAAACTTTAGCTTAAATAGAATACTTGGTCAGGGTGGTCAAGGTACTGTGTACAAAGGAATGCTTGGCGATGGTAGAATTGTAGCAGTGAAGAAGTCCAAAGTTGTGGATGAAGATAAGTTGGAAGAGTTCATCAATGAGGTCGTCATTCTTTCACAGATCAACCATAGAAACATTGTGAAACTCTTGGGTTGTTGTCTTGAGACAGATGTCCCAGTTCTTGTCTACGAGTTTATTCCTAATGGTAACCTTTTTGAACATCTTCATGAGGAATTGGAGGATTACACGATGACTACTTGGGAAGTGCGCCTCCGCATTGCTGTAGATATTGCAGGAGCTCTTTCGTACTTGCACTCGGCTGCATCCTCTCCAATCTATCACAGAGACGTCAAGTCTACAAACATAATGCTGGATGAAAAATATCGAGCCAAGGTGTCTGATTTTGGAACTTCAAGATCAGTAACGGTGGATCACACCCACTTGACAACGGTAGTTTCAGGTACGGTGGGATATATGGATCCAGAGTACTTTCAATCTAGCCAATTCACAGATAAAAGTGATGTCTATAGCTTTGGAGTGGTGCTCGTGGAGCTCATTACGGGTGAAAAATCTATTTCTTTTCTGCGATCTCAAGAAAACAGGACATTGGCAACTTATTTCATTCATACAATGAAAGAAAATACACTCTTTGACATCATCGACCCACGAATTAGAGATGGCTGCAAGTTGAATCAAGTGACTGCAGTTGCAAAAATTGCAAGGAAATGTTTGAATCTGAAGGGAAGAAAGCGACCAAGCATGAGAGAAGTATCCATGGAGTTAGAGAAGATTCGTTCGTCTTCAGGAGATATGCAGCCAGATGAGTATGTTAGCGAAAATGAGGAAGAAAGAGAGGAAGGAGTTGTGGAAGTTAATATAAAGGTAGAATCATGGAACAATGTGGCTGTTACTGCTCCAACGTATCAATGCAACATTGCGGCATCATCTTCATTGTGGTCAGATGTTGAACCATTGTTTCCTCTTCAGACACTATAATACTCAAATCTCACGTACCACTTTATAATCTCATGTGTTTGGTTTCACATTCGATTTTTGGGTTTGTGTGAGAAGATATTTCTATTAAAGTAGGTGGGAAAGGTAAAATAGGAAAGCCATGTCGCAAATTTCTTGCCTAATGTAATGTATGATATATTTTTTTTTTTTTGGTAAGGGTAATGTATGATACTATGATTAGCTTTATATTGGTAATTAATGGCATACTATTTTCACGTTTTAAACACATATATGATTCCGCTATTTTTTAAAAAGAATTTAAAACATTTATCAAAATTAATTGTGTTATCAATGTTCATCAAATTCAATCCCTATAGATCACTCACAATCGGCAATCATTTAATTAAATTCTAGTAATCATTGCACTAATACTTGCTTTGTAAGAACTGGTCGATTTTTCGTTTCTAGTGTTTTAAATTTTGATATCTAAACATGTTTTCTATCGATTGATTTAGCTAAATTGGGTTACGGCGTCCACTTTATAATCTCATGTGTTTGTCTATGTGAAAATGGTTACTAGTTTATAATATCAAGACTTTTTGTTTTGTTGTCTTGTTGTTTTGTTTAAAAGCAATGAGTTTTTAGAGATATGTAGAAACATTTGGTGTATGTATGTATCCATTTTCCTAAAGAGACGAACTTTTAAAAGAGCAAAAGTAAAAAAGTAAAAAAAAAAAAAAAAACATAAAATAAACAACATGCTGACAAATTATTAAAGAATTTTCTTACTTTGGCCAAACAAGAAACAAATGAGAGATAAAATTAGATCGTATAAACAAAACAAACGATAACATCACTCAGAGAAAAATCACGAATACACATACAAAACAAAACAAACAAAGAAAAGTTAAAGAAGAAACCAATCTTATACAAAATATTAGATTACAATTTTTTTTGTCAACTTAGATTGTATTAAACGAGGAAAACTAACTTATCAAGAGATACAAACATCTCATGTGAGAACATATATGAACCTTGTAAGGGATAAAAACATGGGATTGCCCATAATCAGGGATAAAAACATTGCCCATAATCAGGTCCGACTCAAATTTCTATGCGATCCAGAGCTAGAAAAAAAAATGAGCCCCAATATAACTACATATTTATAAAAATATTTAAAAAAATTGGTCCTTTTCACTAAAGAAAAAACCCCCAAAAAAAAATGATGTCCTTTTTGCAAATGCACTCCCAACACATGCACATGGCCGGGCCTACCCATAATAGATTAGATTGACACTATGTTCAAAAGTGTGAGAAAAAAACATGTGTAATAGTATTATATATCTCTAACTTAGCCAAATTCATGCAGACATATGATAGTGTAACAGTAATATCAGTCCCTAAATCAGTTTACTCTCTCACGTTTACTTTATTAATCAGTTTGGTTCAATTGTCCAGTTAAATTATCTTATTTTACATTTCATGTATTGAGAAAAATGTTATGACTCTATATGAAAGGCTTTTGCCAATTCTGGAGAAACCAATCAAAAATAAATATTTTTATCAATCTTTTTTCTCTATCATCATCATTCATCAACATAAAAAAAATGATTATTCTTCCCTAGTGATAATCTTCTAAAATTTGATTCGCCAACCTCCGGATTATAGGTGAATCTCTGGTTTGGAGTTTTTTTGTTATATCAAATTTTCATTAAAAAAATTCGCAAGGAGAACATAGAAATATCTTAAGGGTTGGAAGTTCAAGTTCAAAACCAGTTCAAAGAGAAACAAATTGATGGATGATAAGCTTTTTTTTTTTGAGGAAATTGCTTTTCTTAATAAAGATCCTAAAGAGATAATTTGGGACTATGTCAACAATATGTTCGAAGAAATTGTGGTTGAACGTGGGATGAAAGAATTCAACGTACGTATGTAGTTCATATAAACAAGATGTAGAAAAACGACACAAAAAATGAGAAAGGGAAAATGTTGAAACTAAATCTTCTTTATTCAAGATATCTATTTTGTTATAAGAAAATAGACATGGATTTTTCGTAATCAGTATTTATCATTTCGACATTTACATATTAGAGATCATATACCCTACTCGAGAAACAACAAACAGTCTGTAAAATTAGGATCTAATTCGTATCCTGCTCGATCTTGACCATCTTGGCTGAGTAATATAGTTTCAGGGTAAATATAAATGTCTTGGATACAGCAAGACTGAAATGAGTGAATTACTAAGCCGCTAGCTTTCATCAAATGGTACACATATGCCTCACTATGAGTTTTGGCCAGAAATTTGTTGAAAGCCAAGCAACCAATTTCGTTATCCATGGAAGATATACTCAGATTAACCCAAGTAATCTTCTTCTATGAGTCTGTCGCAACATTTCTCTTCCATATTATGCACCCTCTACGAAAGAAAAGATGCTAGAGAAAGAAAATAACATTAATTTGGATAATGGTTGGAAATAAGCAGAACTTGTTTAAATAAATACTAAGAAAGACAAGTTGTAGACTTGTAGCGATCCTATAATGAATTTAAGTACAAGTTGGTTTTTCAAAAGGTTGGTGAATATTTACTAGAGTCTCTTTTGTTGTAGGATGAAAAGTCCGTTGATTTGAGAAATCAAATAAAGCTTGAATTATTTACCAGAAGAGAAGTTATGTTTTTTTAAAAAATTACGCTCAAATGTTATTAATTGTGAGAACTATTTGCAGCTATGTTTGGAAGAGAAAATGAGACATGAAAGAAGAGTTTTATATGGATGAGCAAGCTTGAGAAAGACCACCAAATGTTATCTCCTAAAGCTTTGGTGTTCACAACTTTACTAATTCAAGGAAAAACAATCTATTGAGTGTAGGGAGTGTCACAATCATCTAAAGAAGCTAGTGGTAACAATTACCTCGAAAGATTACAAGTCGTTGGTTTATTATGTGGTGATGTTCAATTCTACTTGAAGCACAAATGGAAATCTAGGCTATTACAAACACTTCCAAGATTAGAATTTTGTGTGGATAATGTTTTGGTCTTCATAAATCATGCTAAGCTATTGTTCCCCAAGAACCACAAGCTGATAACTGGATTTTGTACTCAATGCAACGATCTGGAGCTCAGTACTGCCATGCCTCATATTGTGGTTGTGAAGTTGGTCAAATCAGTTCTACTACGCCCCACTATTAATGGTGTTTATGAAATTTTCACTTTCTCCAAACTGTAAACAAGGGAGAGGCAAAAGGTAAGATGATGTTGAATTTGAATGAGATACCACTACTTGAAAATGACAACAAAGTCGACCTTACCGTCAAGGAAAACTGGTTTTTCAATAAACCAATGATCAGAGGAGTATTTCATGATATGTCATCGTGTTTAGCAATGATATAGGTATCGTTTTTATAACCTTTTGTTTTTTCTAGAGTCATTTTAGAGTCTTTTTAGGTAATTACACGATCGGGATGCATTTGAAAATAAGGGTATTATTTCTAGACTTCCTAATTTGTACACTACAAAAAATATGAGCATTGATAGCACATGACGATAGCACGGTTTTCGTATTTGCTATTAAAAATGGTATTCAGAATTTGGTTACTATTCTATAGCATTTCAAAAACGCTAACTATACCATAACATTTCAAAAACGCTAAGTTTAATAAAAGCAAAGTGGGAAGCCAAAAATCACATTGGACCGCCGACACTTAACAAAATGAGGCGTTTAAGGCCCAACAAAAAAAAATCATATTACCAAACAAAACCTATATTTTCTTTATCTTTTCTCATTCTATTTCTCTGTGGATACTTCTTCGCTCTCTTCCTCTTCAAATTGTTCTTCCTCTTCACAATCTACCCATTAAATCCGTCGTGATGTCCATATCTCCGACTTCTCCTCCTCCCTCAATCCCACCACCTGTTATCGCTTGCGCCTATCTCACCTCTCTGGCTTCCCCCAACCTCTATCTCTTTCCTCAAATACAGATATATCAGATCTACCCTATCATTCGATAATTGGGATGGATAAGAAGCCCTCGGTTGTCTCAAGGCAATGGTAGAGATTCTGGTAATGGTGGATGGGATAACGATGATTCGTTCAGATCTTCATCTATAGATATGAGGCGTGGTCGTGGTGCTACGGCGAATTCGGAATCGTCGGAAGATATATATTCTCGGTCTCATATGCGGCAACGTCGCTCGCTTCATGTAAGTCTCTTTATCTCTTACGCTTCTACACATTATTTCGATTTTCTTAAATCTGGGGATTTTCGATTTTGATGGCTTAGTTGAAAATTTTGTTACTGATTCGGTGTTTTAATCTAATACGCATCAAAATTTTGGGTTAATTTTGTTGTTTATTAGGGTTTATGAGTTTCTGGTTTGGATTTGTAGGTGAATCTTTAATTTCTCTTTTTCTTGTTTTTCTTTTGAGACTTTGTACATTGTTCTTGGTTCTGCTCCGAATTATGAGGCTCTTACACAAGCCGTCGACTACCCCTCTTTTGTTTTTATAATTAATAACAGCAAGCATAAGTTCATGAGCTCCATCTTTTATTATTAAGCCACCATATGTTTCAGGTGGTTGACTTGATTTTAATATACAACGATGTGTGGTGATGAGAACATAAAAGAATGTGACTTGGTGTTCTCTAATAATTGTCGTGACTTGGTGTTCTTTAACAATTGTTGTAATAATGAAAACATGTGACTTGGTGTTCTCTAAAAATTGCTGTAAAATTTCTCTTATGTTAAGTAGAGTGATGTTTATGATTACCAATATATGTTGTGTTATATGTGTGTCAGGAAGCATTGGAGGAAATAGGAAAGCTATATGGGAAGAAAGTTTTTGTTTTTGGATGTACATAATGTAAGCTATTTCTCTAATCTTTTTTCTTGTTTTGATTATTGGCAGTCACTTTCTTCGTATCGTTGGTCTTAATACAACTGTAAAGCTATATTTTTAACACTATTTAACTGGAGACTTAGCCAAGAGCTTTGCCAATCAAAGCTACGAGAACCAATGGAGAAAGAGTCGGATTTCTTACCGGCGCAATGTATGATGTGTTGTCTCAGAGTTAGTGGTGTTGTTACAGTCACTGGAGTATGCCACAAGGATAAAGAAATTGCTCAGGTAAAAAATTGTGCTCTTTGTTTATTTCTTTTATGTTCCTATTACTATTTTGATAGTTTCTTTTACTTTTATTCCGTGTTGATTCATATTAACAATTACTGAGATGGAATAATATTTCTGGATTTTTGAGTTAGGCTTAGAAAATTAGGCCTGAGTTCAAGTAAGATGTTGCGGCTATGTCTTGGCTAAGGTAAGGAAAATTCTGGTCTCGTTTTAATTGGATTTCATTAACGAACGTTCATGAGTAAAAAGAGAAACCAATAGAAGATAGGCTTGTTGCAGGTGTTATAAAAGTTGTTAAGGTTCTCTGATGGCTCTTTCACCACGAGCTTCATCACAACTATCAGGTTTGAATCTCTTTAACCATGTAAAGAGATTAGAGACTGTGATATATGTATGATTCTCTCTTTTATTTTCTTCAAGATGTCTCTCTAAGTTTGTTATCTTTTTGACGTTTGATGCAGCATTGATTTTAAGATAAGGACTATAGAGGGATTGTGCACTGGAATGCTAACGGCAAGGCAAAACACATAAAGGAGACAAGATTGAAGTTTGTCTTTATGATGTTAGCTTTATTTTGTTTAAAACTTGGTATGATGTTATGTAAAAATGGATAATGTAACAATACTGTTATGTATGTTGATTATTTATGAAATATAAGATTATTTTATAAATCTAATTAAATTTATTTTGCAAAACAGGATTCAAATATAATATTTATATATAAATCAAATTAAATTTATATATCAAATATAAAATGCTATAATACAATATAAAATAACACTAAACGTGTGCTATAATATAGTATATTAGTGCACTATATTACCGCTATAATTGAACGATCTACAATAGCACGTCAAAAAACGCTATCGTATGGGAGACACCTAACATAGCTGCCGATATCATAGCATTTGTGAATTCGCTATGTTATATGTATGATAGCATATTTTCCGCGCTAATGATGAACATATTTCTTGTAGTGGTAATATTAGTCTGTGAACATTTTTAAGCACTTATAAATAGATTTTTGGGCCATTGTTTAGACCTACCTTGCAACTTCTTTTACTTTGCAATTCTCTTTGGATTTTGAGAGCTTGGAAACCCTTTGGAAGTTAATTGGGGAAAAGCTTGTTTCAGAATTCAAAACCTTGTAGAGAGAAGATCTTTCTAATCTCTATTCTCTCTTTGATTTCTTTTATGCTTTCTATTCAAATCATGTTATTTGTTTCCATGATCATGTATGAGTAGTCTGCTAGTTAGGTTTAGGAATTCTCAATAGGGATTTAGATGAATTGTTAGATCGATAAACTGTTAGGATAAAATCTATAGAGTTCTTCATCTAGGATTGTTCTTAATGCTAATTCTAGAGTAGCTAACTAGAATTTGATCTTAGGATTGATAGTTTGTCACGAGAGTGCGCTAAAATTCATGAACTATCTTAGGTGGGCAAAAGTAGCTATTCTCAAAGAGGTTTGGTTTAGATATTTTTGTGAACATATCAAACTTGATCGTTAATGCTTGTTTAGTATTAGGAATTTACAAACGAGAGTTGGGATTCCGAACATTAGACGTAGATAATCAATACAGACAAGAGTTGGTTGATTATAGTTTTGTGATCTAAGTTCTAGAATGGTTCTAATTTAATTCCTAACAATAACTACTAGATCTACAATTCTGATATTTCCTGAGAAATTCCCTAAGCCTGACGTTTTTCCCATCTGATTTACAACTAGATTTAATTGATGTTCTTGTTTTTAATTTACTTAATTTTCAGGTTAGCTTGATTTCTAAACTGTTAACTTCTTGTGTGACCAACAAAACTTTGTGAACCCGACGCTTAAGTGCTACGACGATCTCTTTATTTGAGGGAGTAACTTGAGGCAATTTGACTCATATCATTTCACTTGCAAAAGACACCCGATCTGATTAACCTTCATGGACATCCAGATTTCATCACTAAAGTTCTTGTTCAATGGAAAGAGCATCTCTCAGATCAGTTTTATCAAGCTTTCAATGAAAAGTAGTAAGCCTTTTGTCCTTGAGGAAAACTATCTTCTCAATAGGGGAGTATAAGATTCAGTGTTCTAAAAAGCGGTTTAGATTGTAGGCCCTGCCTAGGCGATAGGCGCTCAGGTGACGCCTACACGACCGCTTTGGCCGCCTGAAATCGCATGCATAAGTTTCGTTTCAGTGTATTTTTTAAATTTTAAATTACATAAATTTAAATTATAAGTTTTAACTCCATATATATTGTTTGATATGAATTGAATAAATGTTTTTCTTTAATTTTTGTTTACGATTGAATATTTTTATTTCGCTTATAAATAGTTTTATATGAGTTTTATCTATAATATCATATTTATAATGTTTTATGTTGTAAACGCCTAAACCGCCTAAAAATCGTCTAGGCGCCGAGAAAGTTATTGAGTCACCGTCTGCTTAGCGTCTAAAGCTTTCTTTAACATTGATAAAAGTATATCCTTAAACCGGTTTAATCTCTCGTTCAACTTATTAATAAGTTTGGTTCAATTTTCCAGTTTTTTTTTATAACTCAGGGTAGATCCTAGACCTATGGAGGGGCCCAGACTAATCCCTAGGGGAGGTGCAGCCCATGGATAGACCCTCTCTCCGGATATTCAAATGGGCCAAAAGCAAGGGCACATATCCATGTGGGTGTTCAGAAACAATGTGTTGGAGTTTCACGCAGCAGGTGGATCGAACTTGAGACGTGTTGGCGCCTCAAGCCCGTCTCCTGACCACTTGACCACAAGGTCCTGGACCAATTTTCCAGTTCTATTTAGCAATTTAGGTCTTGAGAAAAATGACGTGACTCTATATGTAAGGCTTTAGCCAGATATTGAGAGATCAATCAATAACAAATATCTTCTTCAATCTCTTTTCTCTCTATCAAGACTTCAAGACTTCAGCAGTTTTTTTTTTTTTTTTTTTTTGGTTTTAATGTTAAGATTTTATACCAAACGAACTGTTACAATCTAATGTACACAAAACAAAATAAAACACCCAATAACACAGGAACCAGCAGACAAGATTACAAGGGATAAGTGATATGATATAAGAGAAGTAAAACTGAAGAAGAGAGGGGGAGCGCAAGTCCGGCGACGGAAAAGACAAAAGAAGATTTCTTATAGTCCGATCAATTGCCAAACGGAGAGATGCGGTGGATGACGTGATGGAGGTGATCGATCCTGGCGTCGCGCTCCTTCCAAACGTGGTAAACCGCCGATTGTAAAAGAAGCTTTTGGATGGTGGTGACTTGAGGTCGACGAGGCTGATGGAGGATCCAATCCGAGGCAGCAGAAAGCCCCGAGGGGGGGGGGGGGTTTGGTGAGAATTTTGCAGCGAAGAACTCCCAAATTCCCGAAGAGAAGGAGCAATCGAAAAATAAATGCGCATGCATCTCATTCCCGTTAGAGCATAGAACACAAGAGGAGGGAATATTCATGCCCCATCCTCTTAGTCAGGGCCGGCCAATGGCTAAAGCCCAACAAGCCAATGCTTTAGGCAGCAAATTTTATATACATTTTTAGGGGCATCAATATTGAAATTGCCCAGTAGTATAGTGGTTAAGCGACTTTTTCTCTTCCTCTCCAACCAAGGTTCGAGTCCTATCACTTTTTTTCTTTCCAAAAACGAATATTTTCTTACTTTTTATTTTTATTTTAAATCTACTCGATTATTTGAATTTTCTAACTTCAGTTTCTTTTTATATTATTATATTAGATTGATTAACATTAAATTATTCACTAAACAATTTAATTTTTTTTTAAAACCTATTTTGCAAATTCTTTTTTTTTTCTTTTTATTTACTAAACAACTATATTAGATTGATTAACATTAAATTATTTTATTTTTTATATTTTATTTTTGTTTTAAAACAATGATGCTTCTGTCTTTTCTGTTTTTGGTTTTAACACTTTTTTTTTTTTGAACTCATGTTAACATTAAGTTTTAAAGAATTATGTTGTTTTGTTATGCGGGAAAAAAAAATTTGAGGCAACAACATTTTGGTTTGCTTTAGGCATCAAATAACTTTGGGCCGGCACTGCTCTTAGTCTATCTCTCGTGGGCAATCTGGCCAGCAAAGACATCCATGCGATAAGAGAAAACCGAGGCACATACTCTTTGAACCAAACCACCTTTGCCCTAGGAACAAGTGGCGAGTGAACCCGAATCTGCTCCCAAGTTTCATTGGAAGAGAAAGATGGAGTAAAAGAACCAGAGGCGTAACGCCAAAGAAATATATCGTTACCCCTGCAGGTGTGTGGAACTGCGGTCTCTGTTCTCTGAGATTGTCGTTTTTCCCTCATGATTACCTTATAGAATGTGATCGCAAATCTTCAGGTTCTTGGTGAATCTCTGGGTTGGATTTATCTTTCTTAGTTACACTATTTCAGAGAGCATCCCAAGACATTCTTCGACATCTAAATATATGAAGTTATGTCAAGGACGATTAAACTCAATTGTCCCCAAACAGAATTACAAAGGACAATCGTTTTTGACTTTCCTTCTTTTTCTCTCGTCTCAAAGAGATTTTTGATATCGTGCGAGTGCGAACAAAATACGGAAAAAGATTTTTGTGGTTGTTTGTAATGTTGGTAACAAGTCTTTAGAGCTTCTAAAAGTAGTACCGAGTATATATAGAACGCAAAGGAAAGAAGAAGAGATACAAAAAAAAAAAGACTTTTGTAATTTATACTTTGTAATATTGCTAGAAAGATTGAATACAGCAATTATGGCTCCAACTTTGCAAGGCGAGTGGATCAAGGTAGTTAATTAATTAATGATTCTATTTATTTAATATGAAACTTTTGAAGTAATTAATATATGTTCCATAATTCATCAACTTTTTTTGTTTTTTTGTTAAAGAATTCATGAACTAATATTGTTGAATAAAGTTGATAAACTAATATGTTGAATTCTTCTTCAACAAATATGAATTCTTTGAAGTAATACGTTCCATAATTCGTTAACAAAGAGAATGATATGTTCCATAACGCAATATCAAGATAATTATGCAAATTAAAGAAACAGATGTATCATCGTGGTGATTTACTTTTGATTTTGAATTGGCGATACAGGTGGAGCAGAAAGGTGGAAGAGGACCAGGACCAAGATGTTCACATGGCATAGCCGTGGTCGGAGACAAGCTCTACTGTTTCGGTGGCGAGTTAATACCAAACATGCACATCGACAAAGACCTTTACGTCTTTGACTTCAACACTCACACTTGGTCAATTGCTCCGGCTAATGGAGACCCCCCTCGCATCAGCTGCTTAGGTGTTCGCATGGTGGCCGTAGGAACTAAGCTCTATATCTTTGGAGGCCGTGATGAGAAGCGCGCCTTCAACGACTTTTACTCGTACGATACTGTGCAAAAAGAGTGGACGTTCTTGACGAAGCTTGATGAGGATGGAGGACCAGAAGCTCGTACTTTCCATTCAATGACTTCAGATGAAAACCACGTATATGTTTTTGGTGGGGTAAGCAAAGGTGGGTTGCAGACAACCCCGAAGCGGTTCAGGACGATAGAGGCCTATAACATCGATGATGGGGAATGGGTTCAGCTACCGGATCCTGGAGAAAACTTCGAGAAAAGAGGAGGAGCAGGATTTGCTGTGGTGCAAGGGAAGATTTGGGTGGTTTACGGGTTCGCAACTTCGATTATTCCCGGAGGAAAAAATGACTATGAGTCTAATGCTATACAATACTTTGATCCGGCTTCCGGGAAATGGACCCAAGTAAAGACAACAGGAGCGAAACCTTCTGCGAGGAGCGTGTTTGCGCATGCGGTAGTTGGAAAATATATAATAATATTTGGAGGTGAGGTTTGGCCAGACCTAAAGGGACATTTAGCTCCAGGGACGTTGTCCAATGAGGGTTACGTGTTGGACACTGAAACACTGGTGTGGGATAAGTTGGCAGAAGGAGGTGAACCAGCGATGCCACTCGGTTGGACCGCCTACACCTCTGCCACCGTCTATGGAAAGAAAGGCCTCCTCATGCATGGTGGTAAGCTGCCGACCAACGAGCGAACTGGTGATCTCTACTTCTACGCGGTCAATTCAGCTTAATGCGTGTCAATGTTGGTTTTGTGTTGTGTGGCTCGTCATTCGTCAAGTATTATCATCCAATAATGTGCCAGTTTATTGTTGGCCCTTTTATTACAAACTAGGTGAGTACCCGCGCTACGCGCGGGATTTTGTTATAAATTTTGTTTTAATATTTTTAAAAAATTTATTTAAATTTATATGTATATATTATTAGATTCCTGTATTTTTATAAAAATTATGTATTTGTCTAAATTTTTTTTTTTTTTTTGAATTTATTTTTGTATATCGTTGCATGTTTGAGACTAATATATACACTTTTTTAAAAAAATTCTCATTTAGCTTTTAAGATATATTTTAATATTATTTTTATTATTATTTTAGTATAATAACTATACAATTTGTAATTTTATATGGAGTTTATCAACTCTAATTGAAATGTTTTGTTTTTTTTTAGTTTGAACAATTTATTTAATGTTAAAAAAAAGCAAATATCCTCAAAACTTTAAACTTGAATGTAAAACAAAATGATTGGCTCGAAAAGACCATGTCCACAGTTGTATTTAAGTATTTGTATAAGAAAATTGCTATTTAAACTCCAATTTTTCTTGGTCTCCATTTTTTGTCCCTCTACTTTAACTGATTGTAGTAGTTGTTGTCGGCTTCTTGTTGGGATTTGGTTCCTCAAATGTGCTCCAGCCCTATAATGAATATTTTGTGTTATATATGTTTATGTAAATTTTTTTAAAAAAAATTATATTTACCTCGTCAAAGTCTTTATAACTTATGTTTGACACCATGAAATTCTGATTCTTGGGGGTATAGTTGAGAGGGGATACTCTTATTTGGAAACGGAAATGTTTGCCAGCAAGATCACTTAAACATGTTGGTAAGATATTGTTGTTACCTTTGTTGCCCTACAATAAATGTTTATTTTTAGGTTTAATTGTTATTAAAAATGAGTAAAATTTGCAATATTATAGGATAATTACTTTCATAAGATTTTATTTACCTTCTCTTCCATAATTGTGGTTGCCGTTTTGTTTATAAGTTTTCTCATTTCTTTGTCTAAAATCACAAATGTCGCACCATGTTCTCCATCATGAACATCAAGCTCCACTCGATACCTATGAAATAGTTGTATATAATAGTATTTATATATTAAAAATTCCAAATTGTTATATCTTTAATTCGTTGTGTTTGCAATTTATTAAAATTAGCTATAAGTAAATTATAGCGTACCTAAGAATTCCTTCCTCATTAGGCGTAACACAACTTTTGCATCGTAGTAGTGTTGTCCTTTTCTCTAAATTCCGTCCACAATCTTTACAAGATCTGTATGTCCATCCGTTTCTTTGTAGCACCCCAACAACATATGCGTTGCAAAAAAATTCAGCATCCTGAGTCTTTTAAAAGTGTTGTAGATTTATCAAGTTTAGTTAGTTGTACATGTATTTATATGTGATGATAAATTAAAATACTCTATTGTGTTAAATACCTGTTCGTTAGCTTTGGATATATAGTCGTAAAGTTCAGCGATGGATACTTCTTCTTTTTTCATGTCTCCCACCATGGTTTCTGCATGTCCATATGTTTCGCCTTCTTCGATTCCCATCCTATATGGATAATTAAACAATTGTTAAAATTTTTGTAGATAAGTAAATGTGTTACTTTTTAGCTAATTTATTTAAACCTTACTCTTTTGTAAATTTTTGGATGAAATCAAATGTTGAGTCAAAATATATCCTTGTTGCTTCCGTAGAATTCAAGTATAGGTTACCTTGTTCATGTTAAATGTAATTTATTAATATAAAAGTTAGTATGATGTAAAATATTTGGTTAAGTATATAATTAAATTATTATTAAAGGAATTACCTCCAAAGAGTTTTGGATTAATCGTTGTTACCACCATGACATTTTTGTTGGATTTTTTTTTGGAAATTTGTGAGCGGAAAGTTGATGCAGCCTCACCCCAAAGTTGTAAGTAGACAATAACAGACCTAATTATCAAGATTTAATTATATAATTTGATATATTTTCAAATTAATATGTTTTAGAAGTGTTTATAAGTTAGCATCACTTACGTATCCATCTTAAATCGCATGACCAAACGTTCTTTTGAAGTTCCATCATGAAGGTTTGATCCTTGCACAAACATTACTTGTCCAACAACATCTGTAAATTGAATGTCATTGTTATTTTCTTTAACAATAAAATAAATAAATATATATTATTTTGGTATAAAATATTTATAATGTGAATGTTTACCAATGTGAATGTTTACCAGGTAGTGCAAGGTTTGTGTTTGCTAGAGCTTGGAGGTGGTTGCTGTTCTGGAGCATGAAATTTTCTTGATTTATTGTTACGCCAATATTTCCTATCTTAGTCATGTTTGTTGATGGAAGAAAACGGATGGCTAATGGATTGTCTGTAACCTTGTCTAGATTTGTGCTTCTTCCCACTTCAAACCCACTAAGATTGAAGATTTCACTTTCTTGTAAAACATAACGGTTATGGTCGACAAGTGAAGCAGGTATGAAACCATGTATAACTGTGTTCTGCAAATAAAATGAGATTATGGTTTAGTTGTTGGTCTCTACATTGAAGGCTAAACGAAGCCCAACCTAGTAGGAGAATAGAACTAATTAAATGTAATACTAATGGGTATAAGAGCCTATTATGACAATATTAGAAATAAAGATTAAGGTCCACTAACCATGAGTTTAGGAAGCTGCACTGAAGTATTACGATAGGCCTCAGAAAATGCCTGGAAGACAAAAAATAAGAGTCTACGCATTCCTTTTGAGCAATTGCAAAAGGCTGCACTCAAAATAAAGAAGGTTACTCTAATGAATGGTAAGTGAACATGGAAAAATGATTATTCAACAGCTGCTCGCCGTTAATATGTTCCACGCTAATATCACCCCCAAAAGTGATAGGCTGGCCACCGTATTCTTCAATCTATAGTCCCATAGAAAAGAATTGTCAGAGATTACATGGAGTTTGGTGACATTGTAGAAGAAAATACTATTGGCTGCAGATGACATTTGTTAGCTAAAAGATGGATGAAGAGCAAAATCACAAAGGCATTTGAGAAGCCCATGGCGGGTAGAAACAGTTTCAAGGGCCATAATATTCAATTGTTTACATTTCTTGTCCCATAAACCAAAACTGTTTAAAGGAATTATTATTATTAAACTCGTAAGGAAATACATTTGTTTTCGTACGAATAACACCATCCTTCCATTCCTAACACCTATGTATTATTTGGTCAAATCGATATCCCGAAGTAAGAAAACAAGTTAAGAGCTGCAAACCAAAGCTGATTATAAACATTCTAATAACTTGGTGCATGATTCATGTAAATTGCACTCTAAAACAGGGAAATGAATCACCTGTTTAAAAACTTTTTCATCATCTTTTGCTGACCTAGCATAATTCACCAGGACCTGCAGCAGAAACAGAGTGTTTACTTCCATATCAGAAAACTAAGACTAATGTGTAGCAATTACGGAGATTAACCTATGGATGTGTCTCCATCATTATAATGACAAAAGAAACTGAATGCAATACTGAGCTAAAATCTTCATAACTCAAATTACTAATCTCACGAGTAATTTCATTCTTCGATTTCATTTTTTAAAAATTCACCAAAGCCTTCCCAATGTTCAGGAAATACTCGAGCAAACCATTTCAATTTTTTTTTCCGATGAAATTGGTCATGCAAAAAGCAGAGTTATCAAATTTACACTCCATGAACACATTACTCACATCATGATAGCAAATTTTTTTGCGAAACCCAGGGTTAATTCTTGTGGAGTCTAAATTGACACTGGATAGGAAATAGAATCAGTACCTGAGTGATGAAGTATTTTCCAGTGACAGTATGAAGGAGATCGAAGTCTATAACGCTAAGCTACTGAAGCTTTTGAAACATTGCGAGAACATTTCGTTCCGGAAATCGCAAGCTTGGCTTCACCTGGTGAGCAAATTCGAATTGACGCTGCAATTCCAGCAATACATCATCCATCTTCCTCGCTTTCTAACCGGAATTTGAACCTCAAATCATATTTGATATCTTCGATACAAAGAAGCTCTGGATTTTTTGGCGTCGGTACTCAGATTCTTTCTCAAGAAGTTCGATGATGTTCAGATACCGTATTATCTTTCCTCAATTGAATTTACTGGTCTACCGTAAGCCGGACCGGCCGGTTTTATCTCGGTACACTTTAATAGTTTTGAAATTGAGGGTTTCGAAACTTAAACCAAATAAACCCTAGATCTTTAGAAAATCAGAACGTTTCTTCTTTTCTCTTTTCTGCTTAAGTTCTTCTTCGCCGTAGCTAATCTTCGCCTAGGATTGTTTTCTAATCTGATTAGGAATCATATCTTCTTCTAGCTTCCTAGAAATAAGTTTTTGAGTGTAGAATATGAGCGACGATATCGGGTTTTTTTTCCAGTGATACGAATTGTTGGTTATAGAATATGAGAATTTGAAATTGTGACCAAAAAGATGCTTACTTAAGCAAACCCTTATTTATACAATTTACAGAAATATTCTATAGTCTTGCGAAAAATTAATAAATATTCTAGAAAATCAGTTTTTACTCCTTTTTAAATCTATAAAGCCTGTTAAGTGTCAACACTATCTACATTTTTATTTTATTTTGAAGATTTTTAAAATTTATGCAGTATATAAAAAAAAACATTTGTACTGTGATGGTAAAAGAAAATATTAGAAAAGGGCGTTAAAAACACAAAAACTACGTCGTTTTTTCATTGCTGGGTTTTGTCTCAAAAGCAAAAGCTGCTTTTGGTTCCCGTAGATCTAAAGTTACGTTCGAGTCTCTCCTCATCTATTTTTATTCCCCTCCAGTTTTCTCAGGCGGTACGGTCAAATCACATCGGAAAATTCAACCGGAGATCAAATGGCATTGCCGTCGATCTCATCAATCGGCGCGACAGTCTCAATCCTAATCTATTTCTCTCTTCCTTATTCAATCACAGCTGGTGAAAACAGCCTCCACCAATCTCCCGCCGCTAGATCACGACGTCCCATGGTGTTCCCATTGTTTCTCTCTCAACCAAATTCTTCTTCGAGATCCATTTCAATCCCACATCGAAAACTCCACAAATCCGACTCAAAATCACTGCCTCACTCTAGCATGAGACTCTACGACGATCTTCTTATTAACGGGTAAACAAAACCACCTTTTCCGATCTGGGTCGTGTAAAGATGTCTCTTTTATACTATTATCAAAATTTGTAGGTATTACACTACGAGGCTTTGGATTGGTACACCACCACAAATGTTTGCTCTTATAGTTGATTCTGGAAGTACTGTTACTTATGTTCCTTGTTCTGATTGTGAACAATGTGGCAAACACCAGGTAATGCTCAGTTCTCCAAAAGTTCAAATCTTGTGTCTTGTCTCGTGTAAAGTTCAAATTTTTAAACTTTCGTATGGTTTATTTGATCAGGACCCGAAATTTCAGCCAGAATTGTCTAGCACTTATCAACCTGTGAAGTGTAACATGGACTGTAATTGTGATGATGATAAAGAACAACGTGTTTATGAGAGAGAGTATGCGGAACATAGTAGTAGTAAAGGTGTGCTTGGAGAAGATCTTATTTCATTTGGCAATGAAAGCCAGCTGACACCTCAACGAGCTGTTTTCGGTTGCGAAACTGTTGAAACCGGTGATCTTTATAGTCAACGTGCTGATGGAATTATTGGATTAGGTCAAGGGGACCTTAGTCTTGTGGATCAGTTGGTTGATAAAGGTTTGATAAGCAACTCTTTTGGTTTGTGTTATGGAGGGATGGATGTTGGTGGAGGTTTGATGATTCTTGGCGGTTTTGATTATCCATCTGATATGATATTCACGGACTCAGACCCTGATCGTAGGTATGTTTCCAAGGGAATGTTTTGTCTGATTGGTGAATGGGATCTTGTATAATCCTAACAAATACGTTTAATACCTTTCACACATTTGCAGCATTTGATGAGGAAGCTGTAAGACCCTTATAACTCTCTGAGAATTGTTAATGTTTGGTTAAGTTCCCGGTTTCTGTGTGCCTTTTCTTACATTAGGCTCTTATCTTATTCTTTTGAAGATAATGAGAGAAGTTTCCCCCATTGAAGCAGATTGATGGTCCTGATCCAAATTTTAAAGATACTTGCTTCCTTGTCGCTGCAAGGTATTTGTTGTCTCTTGCAAACTTGTGATCTATATCATAACTTTCAATCAAGGGAAGTAACTGACTTTTAGATTTGTTTATGCTGAAGTAATGATGTCTCGGAACTTTCAAAGATATTCCCGGCAGTCGAGATGATATTTAAGAGTGGGCAATCATGGTTGTTGTCCCCTGAAAATTACATGTTTCGAGAATAGAATATGAGAATTTGAAATTGTGACAAAAGATGCTTACTTAAGCAAACCCTTTGGTGTGAAGAAGGATTGTAGCAATGGCGGTTTATAGAGAAGATGAAAGAGGACGAAATCAGGTAAAGGTTACGTATTTAGCTGCTTGTTAAGATTTGATTGGAGTTATGAGAATGTTTATGGATGAAATTGATATTTAGAAAGCAAAAGAGTATTATTAATGTTTGAAATAAGGCTTTCTGAGTTTGATTGTTATTTGATTTGATTTAGCAGATCAGAGCTTTTGGTGAAGCGTAAGATTGAGAAAGATAGAGAGAAAGTGGTCCGTGTTGACAGTATGTTAAAGAGGAATCCATTTGTCGAGTTAGTGCCATCTTGAAAGCCAAAGTTGAAGAAGAGTGAGAGGGCAATCGGTAAAGAAGAGAAAGCACCTAAACAAGTTCAAAAAGTGAGTAATTTGATGATATGATTTTCTACACGTGTAAAATGTTTTGCCCTTTTTTTTTTCCCGGGGATCTAATTTTATATGATTTATATCTTCTTTGCAGAATGTTGGTGACGACTCTGTAATAGTGGACTTATGGGCTGATGATAGTAAAGGTTTGCTTACTCATTTATTCTACTTTCTAGTTTCTTCTTAATTTTTTTTTTTCCAATGGCATGAAGTAACGTTTACTTTGACCAAAAAATAACTTGCAGGAGAAGATGAGAGCAATCCTAGAAAGGTAATGTGTGGACTTAAAAGATTAAAAATATATGGACTTACATCTGTAAACTTGTTCTTCGTGAATCTATCAATCTCTTGCTATGTTCACCACACACTTTACGACGCCTACACTTTTAGCCTTGTTTTGATTAGCCAAATCGTGTGCCATTCTATTTTCATTTTCACACTTAGCTCTAGATAAGATAAGATAAGATGAGAACTTTGGCTATTTGGAAATACATATGGGCTATATGTCTTGGGCTATTTTGTATAGCCCATTTGGCATTCATAATTAGATGATGATGTGTAAAAAATTAAAGCTGACTCATATTAACGAAATGTTTTGATTGGATGTCTAGAAAGCTGATGTGTCAGCTCCACAATAGCTAAAAATGCTGACGTGCCACTCTCCTGGAGAGAGTTAGCCTCCTTTTAAGTATTTGATTATATCTGTAGTACTGTGTTTTAAGTTTGTTGTCATTGGAATAATTACTAAAAAAGCGTTTTGATATTAAAATATTGAGATTATCTATAGTTCTATACATATTTCTCTTATTATCATTTGATTTTCCATCAATGGCCTTAACTCCTGAGTCTTGATACATGTGTATATTACATCACATGTATTTTAATTTTTAGGAACAAATAAGTGTTGACAAAAAAAATATGGTAAAAAAACAATTGTGATTTCCACCGCAAGAAATATTAAATAGGAGTTGGATGCGTTTTTCTGCAACCTCCTGCAAATACTATTGTCGGATGTTGCGTTATAAGCATGCGACACTAATCATAGAAACCGATTTTGTACTGTTTTATGACGTTTTTAATCTTTAGTTAAAGCTGTTGATTGATAGTCAATACGTTACGTCCTGACAAGGTAAACAATACAACACACATCTTTTTTTTTTTAATCTAACACACATCTCCATATTTAAGGCATATACATAAAATGTTCCATGATATTAAGGATCTTGGAGTTTTGGAATTCTTACTCTTGATAATAAAGTCTCAGGAAGACAAGATGACAACGTAAGTCATGTCCTTGATTTCTTTTTTGATTTTGGGTTACTTGGAGCTTAACCAACTAACTCAAAAATTCATTATTGTAGAGGGTTATATTCTTTCTGATGACAAGCTCGACCACTGACACTATTTGAGAAAATCCTAGACCAGGCCGGCGGTAAGATATAGCATCCGAAGACATTATTCAGAGAGCTAAATATGAAGCTGTGTCGAGGACGATCAAACGATCAAACGTACTAATATTGTGACCTCGACTCTTCTGTATAATATACGAGTAAGACCAAGGAATCACACAGCCACAAATCAAATCTAAAGGAAGAAACGGAAACGATGTTTGTGAAACTGACAAATGCTTTTTTAATGATGCTTGCCTCTACATAAAGAATTTCAAAACCAGAGATATCTACCTATCTAAAATGCGATTTCTCTCAGGAGCTGCAAAACAGTTCATGAGTACTTCAATGCAGATTGTTCAAAGAGCTGAGTAATATGGACCAATCATAAACCAGAAACTACTACTTTCTCCACAAACGGTTCATATGCTTCAGTCTGCGCGAGACCTGCTGCCAGAAGCTTTCTTCCCTCCATATTTCTGTTTTGAGAACTAGATACGCAACATCAACATCAGACCCATTTATGGATTCTAAAATTAGATTTGGACTGGTTCATGAGCATAAACAACTTACTTGCTTTCCTAGATTAAAGGGGATGTATTTGTACTTCATCATGTGTGCTATTTGGCGCCTCATTGTCAGAACAAACAGAACGATCCAATAGAAGAGTAGTATCGGCCAAAAGACGGGAATGTCGAAGAAAGAAAAGAATGTCATCACAAACGCTATGCAGAAAGCCTTAGTCATGGAGTACCTGGCAACAGATAAAATAGCCGATAGATCAGACTTTTAACACAAAAGAATTACCAAGCAAGATGATGTCACTTCTAAATGTAATTCACTTGGATACTCGTCTTCATTCACTAAAAACGGATACAATATCACTATCCCTAAGCTTATCGGCACCACTTAATTCTGTTATTACTCAAGGAACTCTAGATGTCTCACATATGGCTTGATTTGTCCATGGTTTAATGTTCAACTGGAATATCCATTGATTTTGAAACACAACATACTATAATGACACAATAGAATATATGTTCCGTGTATAATACTTTTTACCAGGCTTTAGATCTCAATCAATATTAGCACATAAACAGAGCTTGTACTGTAAAATTACCAGAACTTGAACTCTGGAAGTCGACGGATGAATGGTTTGAACTCATCTGAACCTTTTGTGGGTAACATTGGACCATCAGACGCATCAAGCTCAGGATCAACCAGTGGCGATAAAAACCCAATCAGCAAGTTCAGAACATAAATCCCCAACGCATAAGAAATGATATAGAACCCTTGAACATAGAAAACCCTCAAACAGTATATCACTGCAATCACAAGAGTCCCGATCCACCTATTAACCGCGTGAGGCGTAGTCTTGTCTAAGTAATACTGATACAGTCTCCACGCCTCATTCGCACGTTGTTGTACAGGTGATGCCATTGAAGCAGCGTCACCTCCAACTCCCTCCATTTACACACTAATATCCAGAAGAATCTGCAAACTCAACAAGATAATCTTACATCAACTACAAGATATCTATACAACAAATCTACACAGTTTTCGTAGTCCAATACCTAAATTTTTCACAGGAATGAGATCACCCTAACACATTTTCACATTATCGTAAAAGCTTGGACTAAATCAAGACCGATTAAGACCAAAACAGACTTGAATCGACTCACTAACACTAAAATTTTAAGTATCTAAGCAGAAATTTGCGCACCGATACTTGGAGATTGAAGAAAAACAACGATTAAGGTCAAGATTCGGAATCAGATCTCGAAATCAGAACTCTCTAGTCTCTAGTTTCAAGCTAGAACACAAGAGACGGTTATCGATCAAACCAACCGAGAATACGAGTTTCAAGCAACGCAAAGAAATGTTGAATAAGAGGAAGATAGGATTAGAGAAGATGAGAAACTGACTTGCGTAAGAATTAGGGTTTCTTTGAGCGAGAAGGAGATTTGAGATGATGATCCTTGAACGGAAGTGAGGAAGCGAAGCAGATCTATCGGAAGAAGACGAACCGACGAAGGAAGAAGAAGAAGAAGAAGAGAGCGATTGATAAATCTTGGAATAAAAGATTTCAATGGCGTCACTGTATTTATATGTATTTTCTACTTTCGCCCCAAATATTTAATAAGTTGTATTTAAAACCTTTATTTTGGTCCGTTTCTTCTCTCAAACACCCGTTTAATTTTATTTTTTTTTAACATAATGAAAAAGGACTAAATGGGGTTTAATTGCGAGTGAATTTTGATAGTTTAAACATTTTACCAAAATGTTGCAATATATTAAGAAAAATATTATGTGTTGTTAGATTATTAATTTAAAAGTAAATGCTAAATACTAGGAGAAATATGGTGATATTCCTTTAGTGAATTTATTATTGGATTTTAAAATGAGTATTATATTTTTAGAGAAATTGTTAAAAATGCCCCTTTTTCAATACTCCTTTTCAAAAATGCCCCCTTTGAGAGTCCATTTTTAAGTTTGCCCTCTTTTAATTTTTAATGACCATTTTACCCTTATTTGAAACAAAATTAGGTCCACAAAATACAAAATATTTTTTGGCGGGAAAAGTGATCCCGCAATTTTCCCGCCAAAACACTTGTAAAAACCTTTAAAATACCTTGTAAAATTTTCCCGTAAAAATTTTTCCCGCCAAAAAAATTTTTTTTGCGGGAAAAGTGATTCCGCAATTTTTTTGGCGGGAAAATTTTTGGCGGGAAAAATTTACAAGGTATTTTAAAGGTTTTACAGAGTATTTACAAGTGTTTTTGTAAGGTTTTACAATGTATTTTAAAAGGTTTTACAAGGTACTTATAAGGTTTTATAAGGTATTTATAACTTGTAAAACCTTATAAAAAACTTGTAAAACCTTATAACTTGTAAAACCTTATAAAATAGCTTGTAAAATATTATAATATCTTATAAATACCTTATAAATACGTTGTAAAACCTTTTAAAATACATTGTAAATTCTTATAAATACCCTGTAAAAAACTTTTAAAATACCTTGTAAATTTTTTGGCGGGAAAATTTAACGCCAAAAAAATTGCGGAATCACTTTTCCCGCAAAAAAAATTTTTTGGCGGGAAAAAATTTTACGGGAAAATTTTACAAGGTATTTTAAAGGTTTTTACAAGTGTTTTGGCGGGAAAAATTGCGGGATCAATTTTCCCGCCAAAAAATATTTTGTATTTTGTGGACCTAATTTTGTTATAATTCCTTATATATTTGTGATATATTTTATTAAAAGAAGGGTAATTTAGTCATTTTGTACATAAAAAGGGGTATTTTTAAAAATGGACAGCCAAAGGGGGCATTTTTGAAAAAGGGTATTGAAAAAGAAGCATTTTTGTGAGTCTCCCATATTTTTAAGTGATATAAAAGTGAAATATGCACATAGAAATCTCGGGGTAACCCTTATTATTTCAAAATTCATGTATTTGATTTTAAAATTATGATTTTTTTTTTTAAAATCTCATATTTGTTTATTAATCAATTATAATTCAGAAGCCAATAATGATCAAAATTTTCAAAAATATCACCATTTTGGTAAAAACTTAAGCAATAATATGATTTTTAAATGAGAAATTTACCAAAAATTCATAAACATTTAGTTTGGATTACAGATACTTATGATCTAATGATAATGATAATTGTTGAAACAATAAAATCATTTTTGAACAATTTCTAAATTTGAGAAAGAAAAAAAAAATTCTAAAATTTGAGTAGTTCATTTGTGGTTTAAAATTTTATGATCTAATGATAATTGTTGAAATAATAAATTCATTAATTGGTGACCCGTTTGATACCTTTTGAAATACAAGTGGCGAGTTTGGTTCCATTTGAAATGCAAGTGGTGAGCTTACTTAATTTTTAGAGATTTTTTGAAAAAGTAGGGAAAATCCGGATTACCCGGTATATATTTAATGATTTAGTTAAATCATAAAAAAGATAAATAATGTATAACTTTTTGTTTTTATTATATGCTTAGGTTTTAATAGTCATTTCAAAATATTCTTGTTATTTTTCTAATGTAATTTAGAAAGTACAAATTAGTTTTCTTATTTTTCTAACCTCGTAATCTTATTTGGTTATATATATGATTTAGAAAGTACAAATTAGTTTTCTTTATTTAACCTGTATATTGATTTAGAAGGTATAAATCCTAAGGAAAGTGAATATACACGCGAGTGGTGTGACATCCGAATATAAAGGAGAATAAGAGGTAAACATCTTGGTTCTCATTCCTAAGAGCATGTACATAGTTGATACTCTATGAGTATCATTAACAATATTTTAGTATTAATTATAATGTTTGTTTATTGTTTGAGATTTTTTATGATACTAGTACTAAATATGTTTCCATTGGTGATACCGATTTAAGTATCATAAAAAAAAAAAAAATCGAAAATAAATATATAAAAACATTAGATTACAAAATGTAATATTACAATTAATAAAAACGTAGAATATACTTAAGCAAAAAAAAACTCTAAAAGAAGCTTAATATTACAATTCAATAATGAATTCATTAAAATCACTCAAATTTTCTTTTTAGAATGACAATCATGCATGTATTGTAGATTTGAACATCAAGTAAAACATATATATTAAGTTAAGAAACTTGCTGGTACTAAGATAGTCTTGTCTCTATTCTTGTGTTTATGAAGATGACATGATCTACTCGTGTTTATTTTTCCTTGCTTTCATTAAACACTTTTGTTTATGTATCGAATGCTCTGCTTTTGGATTTTGGTGTATCTCCGATGTCCATAAACACATTAAGGATGCTATAGAACATTTATTTCTTATTGGAAATAAAATAACAAGTTCTGCTTATTACATTATACCAACATATATAAAGAACAAAACATTTGAGAAACAGACACAAAGAAACAAAAGCACAAACTCATATCGTTTGGAGAAGCCTAAGTCATTGAGTGAATGTGACTCCAAGCTTTTTGCTAGTTGACGTCCAGCAGTCATGTCCCTGGAGCAAAAGACTTGGCATCAGCACATCAAGATTTAAGCTAAAATCGCTTTGATCTTCTTTGCATCAATGAAAAATCTTACCTAATTACCGTAGAAGATACAAGAAATAATGAAAATGAATTGAATGAAAGAAATAAAGAAGTAAGAAAGGTAAAAATTGTCTAGACTCATCAAGCATGAAACGTTTCACCCCTGGTTTTAGGAGAAATAAGTTTTACGAAAACCTTCTAAAAGGAAATGACCCTAGAGCAGAGGAGGATATCAAAAAACAGAGCAAGAAACCCTAGAGGGCATATTGTCACCGCTTCGATTATATTGAAAGATTGTTCACTAAAAAAAAAAAAACTTTCTCCTTTTAATATGTAGATTTGTCTCAACCGAACATATTAAATTTTGCTAAAACAATAATTATTAAATATATACACTAGTTATTCCATATACAGTAAAACCCCTATAAACTAATACATCGTTAAAATAATAATTTTTTCGGTTCTAGATTTGATATTTTGACCCAAATATCACCACTTTAAATTAATAGACATGAATAAATTAATAAAATTTAGTAAAATATATTAGTCCTAATATTATTAATTTATAAAGGTTTTACGTGTATATATGCATAAATTTTTAATAATTTCATATAGTAATATATGCTTACATGCATAAGCTTATTTTTATGTTAGTCAACAACATGCAACATTCGGGCTACAATCCGAGTAGTGATATAGTAATGACACTAGCAAACCTCATGTCTTTTTTATCATTTTTTAGTTTTCTTTCATGAGTTTTCTTGTTTATTTGTAGAGATGGTATGAAAGTTCTAGTGGTTTATAGAGGAACTTTAGGATGTATTCCTCAAGAATTGGTCCCAATAATATTTCTAGTAAATTGTTTCAATCAATTACAATAATCTCTAAATTAAATTAAAAGAATTCACATTTATTGTTAGATCGTTTTAATCTTCACCATCCGTTTTAGAGATGCTTTTGTATGAATGGAGACATGATCCTTTATTAGAGATCATCCATCATTCTTAATAAAATTGCATTGATTGTTTCTCTCTAATTTGCTATTTTCAGTTCTTTAGTTTGCTCTTTCGAGTTTTCTCTCTCTCTAAAAGTCTGATTTTTTTTTTTGTCATCCGAAATTAGTTAGAGTTCAAAAGAGCCATTCCTGAGGAATGTTGTTTACATAGGTGATATGAAGCGGTTCTGTACGAACTTTTCGTGCCAGATTATCCGTTTTAACATTAGCCCTACGAGAAATTAGAGATAAAGAAAAAGATGAAAACTCCTCCTTGTCGCTCTGAAATTCCTCCAAGTACACTGAAAACGCCGGCCATTCGGTTGGAGAAGACACCATCTTCACCAGGTCTGAACAGTCTGTAAAGAACGCTACCTCTTGATTATCTGCACCAATCATACACTTCATCGCCCAGAGAAGGGCCTCGACTTCGGCATGTAATGGAGATAGACTTCTACGGATGTTCGCAGCTCCCATGGTTGGCGGCTCTCCATTTGATGATGTACAGAACCACCCTGTACCGAAGAACTTGTCACTTCCTTTCCATGATCCATCCACAAAACAACGGTATCCGGAATAATTTGATTCAAGTGAAACATCCCTCACTCGAATTCGATTTACCAAGTCCACAGAACCATGATTTTCATTATAAAGCTCAATTTGAGCTGATTGCCATAATTGTGCCTCTTTTTCCGCTAATCGTAATACCTCTATTGGGTCTGTATCTATGTTTTCAAAGATTTTTTCGTTCCTTGCTTTCCAAATATACCAAATAATCCATGGGAATGCTGATGAATCAAATTTCGAAGGTATTCTCCAAAATAAGTGATCCAAATTCGCAAAATTAGATTCTGTGGAAAAAATCCCCATAGCCGTAGGAATCTGTGAAAGCGCCTAAATCTGCCGTGCGGGATGGCACTGAAAGAGGGTATGATTGATCGTTTCCTCAGGTGCGCCACATCTGGCACATCCCGTGTCACAATCAATTCCTCATCTCCGCAAATTATCTGTAACTGGTACACAACCTGTTAAGATTTGCCACAAGAAATGGCGTATCTTAGGTGGACACTGCACTTGCCAAGAATATGCTTTTAACGGGTTGATATCAGGGCCAAAAAAGGTTGAATTGGTCTCCAACTTTTCTAACCGAGTGGTATGATATCCCGATTTGACTGTATATATTCCGGATTTTGTCAAATGCCAACCCAAAAAATCTTCCTTTGGTGGCGCACCCACGTGTATGGCGCTTATTAGCGCGACATCTTCTGGATCAAAGATCGCTTTTAAGAGATCAATATTCCAAAAGTTCGTCCGACGAAAAGAGAATCTGGAACCGTGATCAACCACCATAATTGTTTTGCAAGTAAAGCTGAATTAAAATTGTCAACATTCCGAAATCCTAAACCCTCTTCCGATTTGCTATTGCACAATTTATTCCAAACCATCCAATGCATACCTTTAGAATCGCCATTTGAGCTCCACCAAAAATTAGCAACTGCGCTAGTAAATTTAGAAATGATTGTTTTAGGTAGTCTAAAACTCTGGTTTTATTTTTAAAATGTTTACTTAGTCATTTTGCACGAGCCAAATAAGCTAAGATATCATTTTGATGGACAACAAAACATCTCATCTTTTCTTCACTCAAACGTTTTAGCTATGCGTTGAACAATAAAATGTTTCTAGCCAATGGCAGACAGAACAATAGTCACCCGGATACGTTCCACATGCTCTTTTTCTTAATTTTTTTCCTTTGTATAATTTAAATTAAAATAATAAAACAGCTTAAACCCTATTGAAAAAGAAAAAAATGCCCTCACCCAACTACAAATATCTCAGCCCAAAACTTTTATTAAACTTAAAACCTACTACATCCACAAAACCAAAGGCCTGCAAAACAAAAATTATGAAGATAAAAAAACTAAAACAAATCAACAATGGAAAAGTCAAACAGATGCATCGATCCACAAACTAATCTTTTTTTTTTCTTAATCGTTACTCTTTTGATTTTTTTTTTCGGTTCTTAATTACTAAAAGCATGAAACATGTCCACAATAATTGTTATATTCATTTAATTTTATTTTAGACTAAAAAAATTCTAACTATGCATAGAACATAATTGTAAGAATATTTCGTTTGAGATAAATTGTTTGGAATTAGTTAAGATTATGGATAATCAAAGACACTTTATCAACGTTTACTGCGATCAAAGCCACGAAGACTCTTTGTTTTCGTTTACAAGCAATTGAATATAATGTCAAAAGTACACATAGCCGTCTTTGGAGACATCAGACTCATTTCCCAAATCCTAATCAGAAGAGATGGTGCGTTGACGTAGAGAAAACACATTTATTAAAGAAAGATATTTCTTAAACTTTATGGGCAAGAAGAAGATATTTATATAACCTGACACACATAAACAAAAAAAAATATCTAGATATATGTACAGTTATTGTTCTTGATATTATTGTGCCCATTTGCATTAGACATGGCAGAAAAATGAACACGTCATTTTTCAACTAAAATAACTTTTAAACTTATTAAAATATTCGAAGATAAATTGTAATTCGTCGATGCTATACGAAATACGAGGTTTCTTTTTAACACCTTCTTTGTACAATAGATTGTGAGATTTACATCTTCTGCTCTTTCCGACAAAAGCCCATCTCTTCTGTCTTATTTTCTTCTGAAGGTTCTGTTTTTTTTTTCATCAAGAAAATGATACTAATAAGTTTTCGTTAGCATTTTTTTCTTCTTTTTCGTTTATTTCGTTCTTTGGACAGTTTATCTCCACGTATTCGTCTCTGGTAATAATCTCCATCACAAAATCGCTCTTGTTTTTTATTTTTTTGGTGACTACTATTGTATTTGATGATAAAGCTGCTCATCGATTGCATCGATTTGTATTTCTTCTACCCAATTATGGATTTTCACTTGTTTCTGGAATTTTATTTTTTCTGGTGTAATTGTAAGTATTCTTTTTGTAGAATTCCCTGAAAAAGAATGTGATCCTTACCATTGTTTGATGAAACTTTGTGTGTTCTTAGGTTTAATTCTCTTGTTTATTCCAAATTTTGATGTTGTGTGAAATCTGGCCACTTGTTTAATGCTCATGAGCTCTAGTTTTAGTGTTGTGTTTGTTTTGGATTATAGATTATGATTGAGATAAAGGATTTTTACTTCTCAGGGGATTTGATCTAGCCTCTGGAGAAGATCTCTGTAGGTATAATGTCTGAAGAGGTTATGGTTTTGGGTAAGGGTAACAAAGGAATCAGCAAGAATTCCTCAGTCCATCCATATGAATCAGCTTGGTTAGGTCGTTGGACTCAGTCAGGTAGTGAAGTGAAGTTTCATGATCGTGAAGCCAAGTGCTCTAAGGAGTTGATTAGGCCTGAAGATAATAATAATGTAAAAGAGAATCATGGTGTCGAGGTCTTGCCGTTTCCTATGTTCAAGGTTTCTCAAAAGAGAGAGACTACTACTACTACTAAACCGTCTTTCCATGACGATGTTGGTTCAAGCTCGAAAGCTATGGTTAATAGAATGCCATGGATGTATCCGCAAGGAGAGAATTTCAGTTCGAGTAACCGTCTTGATTTCCCAATTCAAGAAAAGACTACTCAAAACTTGCTAGAGTTGATAAGACCGGTGAGGATTTACGCAACGGTTGATTCGGTTAACTTGCCTGAAGAAGATGGTCATCAGCTATTGAAGGGGTCGACGGTTTCAATGAAACTGAAAGGGAAGATTTTTGGTGGGTATCTTGATCTATTTCCTAATCAAGATCACTGCCATAATAAAGGAGGAGCAAGGCTGCAGTCTCTAGAAAGCTCAAAGGATACCGAAGAAGATGGGCCGAGAAAAAATGAATCATCGGCAGAAACTGATACCTTGGAAATGGATAGACTTCAGAGGATACATCTTTCCGGTATGTTTAAAACCTTAAGATACATGTTTCTGCTTGCTCTTAGTATATTTTCATACTTTTCTGATTCTCATTCTTAATGGCAGGCTCCATTTCTTCGTCATCAACTAAGGTATTGTTCAATCTACAGGTCTACATATTTAAACACAAAAAAGCGTCTTGTCAGTTGTGATTGCGAAAGATGTTGAAATCTTAATCATCGGTCTTGAGAATTTCGCAGGGGAAAGGAATAAAAGGTGGTTCAGCCATTCCCAGGACTGAAATACCCGACATGAATGAAGAACCACCTTTGGTTCCGGATAGAGAGAATTCAATAGATGGACATCAGGGAGAAACAAGCAACTCGGCTACTCAAAGTATGAATGTGGAACACTTTCTGTCCAGAGATTGCAAACGTGTGAGGTTGGAACCAGAAGTAGAAGCCAGCAGTAGATGGGTCAAGCGTCTGAAAACAAGCGCCTCGGACTCCAGCAGACATGATGAAACCAAGAGTCTGAATATTAAAGAAGCATCACTGGGACAAAAAGGGAACAATAACCTATTCCTTGAAATCTTGAAGTCCGGAATCAACAATCTCCAACCAAGAAATCAAGAACCCGTCGTTTCACAAAGCAATGATCTGAAACAGGGAGGAGATGACATTACACTTCTGCATCCATGGATCCAGAGATGGTGCAAGAAGAAATCTACATCAACAGATCAACCAGGAGAGCCAGAGAGCCAAAAGGAGGTCGAGAAGAAACAGTATCCGAGTATTGCAGCCATGGCATTGATGGGGAAGGCTCTAAGCGGATTAAACCCGTATGGTCTTAGAAAAACCAACTCTCTGATGGTCTGGAATGCAAGGGATTTGAGGTAGGAAAACAAAACCATCATCCTCATCTTCCCTTGTTTATCATTACAACCGTAAAGTCAAGAACTAGATAGCAAGCTTGCTACAATCAAATTCGTGTAAGATTTTGACAGGTTCTACGTTATAAGTCAGTCTGACTATTCTTATAATAGTTTCACTATATGTATGAATACCTTGTTTGCATTATAAATCTTCACTGTTAATCGTTACCGCATCAGTATTTTGATATGTTACTGGCATTACCTATGCAACCAACATAACACAATTTCTGATTCCCTATGAATTTTTAAAACAATAGTTCCTTCGTGGGACAAAAATCTTGATTCAAGGGAAAAGGATCAACATTTAAACATTTGAGTCAAGTAAGACTAGAGAACACAATGAAAGGAAACTTAGTTGTGAGTAGCTCTAGTGTAAATCTGCTGGCTTGAGTGAGTAGAGACCATCTTTATTGTTCCTTTCACCATCAGATCTCTTATTGCCTTCCTTGCAAGCGACCCATTGATCTACATGACACACACAAACACACATTCTCATTACAAACATTTAAAAATGACACAACCAATACAACATATTCGATAATCACTTATGCAAAGATACTAATAACTATCCTAACACACTATAAAGAGCTATTCTAGTGAAAAGTTTGAAACTTTAAAGAGTGGAGATAGAGTTAGTTTACCCGAAGACGGTCAGAGAGAATAGAAGGAGTGATCAATTTGAACTTGGGAGCTTCAGATATAAGCTTGTCATAAGTTGCTTGATCAAACAGAACCATGTTGTTCACCTTCTCCTTTTGCTTTCCTTTGCTCCACTTCTGTTGAAATCAAGAAACGTAAACAAAACAAAACCCACCAGAGTTGGCTAGAAACCAACTAACCAAGTCCGAGCAATTTACGGATCATGAAAAATGATGTGATTTGAAGGAAAAAGGACCTTCTTTTTCTGCTTGCCGCCACCTGATTTGGCGGGTTTAGAAGATGGTGGTGGAACTTTGTCCTTCTTTGGTGCCTGGAATCAGCAGATAAAACCATTTTTTAGATTTATCATTCATACGAAAAACAGAGAGAAGCGGCGCTACAATGGAAGAAGGGAGCAGATTTAATCCCTTGGGTTTTATAGATTTTTTGAGTATTATTGCATAGAATCGGATACAATTTTTTTAATATTTATATACTTTGAGTAAATTTGAATCCGAATCCGAAAAACCCGACCCGAACCCGAAGTTTTAAATACCCGAACGGATCTTAATTTTCTAAACCCGAAAAATCCGGTCCGAATCCGACCTAAATATCCGAATGCCCAAGCCTATTTGTTATTCGCGGATTATACCGTATATTATTTTGTACTATATAGATAATCGAAGTCTAAAGTAAAAGGATTTTCTGGATTTTTTTTCGGGAAAATAGTATTTTTATATTCGTATAATCCGCAAAATGTGTTTTTCAACCTGGACAAACACGTAAAGTTAATTCCAACCCATATTCCAAAAAATTTTAAATTACATACCCAAACTTTATATTTAGTGCCTAATTCGAAATCGTAGTTAACGGATGTTAGTAGACCGTTACGGTTACTGAGTCGGTGGATACGTGTTTCTTAATCTGGTACCCGAACAAGTACCCGCTTACTCGAGATTTCCCCGACCGGATATTAGAGCTGATAACCGGTTATTGAAGTTTAACAGAATACCCAAAATATTTTTATATTTTTCAATTATTTTGTATCCGATTATACCCAAAATCTAGCAAAATAACCGAAATTTAAACCCAAATCTCCAAAAATATATAAATAATTTGGATATTCAGGTTCCACTAGATAAATCGGAAGTAATAGACAACGATTTTTGCTGTGTAAGAAGTTCGAAAGACTAATTAGAGATTGGAGATCTGTGTTGGGAAGTGAGCTAATTGTGTTCGTTTGAGTTAATGAGACACGATGTAATGTTTCCTCAAACTAAACTTATTTAGACACACTCACTCATATCATCCAAGCTATGCAAATACTCACGAGTATTTATCTAAATTTACTTGCAAACTCAAGAAAAATGGATGATATAAATTTTTATGGAACTTAAATTATGTACATACATGTATACTAATACGAGTTATACACGACCGAAACCTTTGCCGTTTTAATATTTTTCCATCACTTGGGTTTAATAGCCCATCAACTGAGATTAGGGATGTTACAACTTCACCAACTGAGATTAGGGATTGCTAGTTTTCATGTTATTTGGTAATCATTCATTGCAATAGCTACAAAATTTTATTCCGAAGAGCATTGATCAGGTCATACGAAAAAATTATTTTATTCTGATGCATACATACGTACACAAACACATACAAACATACATAATTTTTTATGATAAATATGAAGATGACCATATACAAACGGGCCTTTACCAAGGCTCAGTAAGGACAGTCATAATAACAATGGCACGTCTTAGATATGAATCCCTCGCAACGACCATAAGCATTAGGCCAGGGGTATGCCTGCTTACAGAACCTATCGCAATTAGCACATGATACACCAGAGTTCCATCGATTGCAAATCGTATTACCTGAAATCAATGGAAGAAAAGAACAAAAATGTGAATATGTGGTTAGGCATTTTACAATATATGAGATCGCGTGTGCACACATGTTGCCAACCTCTAATTACCTGGAAATGCGAAGATGGGCTGCCGGATCCACGGACCATATCGTCTAGGTGGCGCCTGCTCATCCTCATTTGTAACCAAAACAATTTCACCATCCGAAAGAGGCTTCAAGTTGTTCTTCTCGACTATCTCAGCTTTGATTACATGCACCCAAATGTATAGTCAATTTTATAGCAATGTACATATATTGAAAAATATCGTGTATCTTATAGTCTTGTGCTACATATTGTGAATATCTCTAGTTATCTCGATCTAATGTGTAGATATGTTTTATCACCGTTAATGAGAAACATATATAAGAAATTAATCAATATGAAATATGTAGATGTTAACAAGTTTGATATATGGTACCTATTGTTGGAGAGAAAGCACTGAAAACAATTGCGAAAATGAAAGCAAGCGTCACCATTTCCTTAGCCATATCTTAGTTTAGGTCTTGCTTGATCTTGTTGAAACCAAGCAACTCTCGGAGGGTACTTATAATGTTAAAGTGTGAAAGAAAAATGTGGACACATAGAGAAAAAAAACAAAATAGAAGATAAGAGAGAATCACAGAGGCTACAAGTTTATAGTGTAGCTTCCGTGGATTGTCCCTTATTGCTCTTAATTTCTACATCACAAAAAAATTGGTTACTTTAGTTAGGTACTATACAAAATCTGCACGTTGGGTCTATAGTAGATAACCAATTATATACCAATTAGAGTACAACAACATTAATCACATGTATTTATCAGCGAATAGTGCTGTATCTAGAACCAAAATAACTCAAAGTCCCATAAATTCTCCATCCATTATTTGACCAAATCAACTAAGTTCTCATTCACTTTCTTAGTTTTTTTTTTGTTTCTTCTTTCAGAGAACAATATCTCTAGACATAGCCTATCTATTCAATGCATCAATTAGGTTTAGCAAGTCTTCAATGACTTGGGAATTTTGGATTTTGGAAGCATCAGACCTCAATCTTACTCTTTAGCTAAAGACTAAGACTACTTCAAAGACCTTGATATGTTGTGTTTTTATCGGTTTTGAGTATTTGTTTTCTTTTCTAGATCATATATTTTATAGAGTCAAAGTGTGTTTTTAGAGTCTTTTAGTCCGTTATCGAGTTTTTACAGGTTTTAGGTTGCTTCGGAGGGAAACGAGCTGTTTTGGGATAAAACACACATTTGGAGATGCAGTTTCGTTTAGAAGTATCATACGTTTGGCCTCAGATGGAAGACTTCCCACCGTTAGATCTTTCTAAAGTTTTGACACAAGCTTGATGAAGATGTTAGCTTGATTTTCCAAGTGATTTGAAGGAAATCTAACGGTGCATTCAGGAGTTATACCCGATTTAGTGAAGACAGGTCATTCTGGCGAGCATTTGAAGCAGGTGCAGAGTTTGGAACCAGAGAAGGTTAGACCGATCGGTCCAGGAGAAGACCGATCGGTCCGGAGCTCGACGGCGGACCAGAGAGGGTTAGACCGATCGGTCCTCCACTAGACCGATCGGTCCGGAGCTTCGACGGCGAACAGACTTGGTTGGACCGATCGGTCCTCCTCTAGACCGATCGGTCTGATTTCCTGACGCCCGGTTTTGGTTTTCCTTAACCGGATTTATCTTCTATTTTCTGTACATGGGTATAAAAACCCCAGAGACCTAATTTTCTTTTCACGTTCTTTTCTCTGTAACTTTTGAGACTTCTCTTTGGAAGCTTTTTGGGATTCTAGAGATTCATCCTCTTTGACACTTTGGAGAAGATTTCTAAACCCTTATTCTTATTTATCAATTCAATTATGCTTTCCTTTCAATCTATTTGTCTTGTTTCTGTTGCTATGTGTGAGTAGTCCTCTAATTGGGTTTTAGGGTTCTAATTAGGAGATTCAATGAATTAATGGATTGATTGTTATTAGGAATTTCATTCTTTAGGTTCTTTGATTCACATGTTCTTAATGCTAGAATAGGATTGATCACCCTGTTGTAGATTCTAGGTTTTTTCTATGCATCAAAAGTGTTCGATAGAATGCCTGAAAGAATGTGAATTGAGCAATGTATTTCTAGCCAACGAAAGTTGATGTTAGGACGCATTGTGAACTTAATGAACTTGTTTGGTAATGCGAATTTGACTAGGAAATTGCATGCGAAAGTTTAGTAATAGAATAGTCAAATTTAGTGATTAATGTCTTGAAAGAGAATTGGTCTAAATATGTTCATGTTCAAGAACGGTTCTTAATTGTTGAATTCCTTGTTTCATGTTTCCTTTGTTTATTGATCTCTGAAATACTCTAATGCCCAATGTCTTTAAATTTTGAAGTTAAATCGTTTTATTTATTAGCATTTTTATTTCACAATCTGAAAACCAAACAAACAACCTTTCCGCTTTAGCTAAGAACGAGTCTCGGAAATCTTTAGTGTACCATTGGTTCTTGTGGATCGACCTCGAATATACTACCTAGCGGTTAGATATATCGAGCAATTACTCGAGCAATCAGACCTCAATCTTTTTTTTTTTTTGAATACCTGGAAGTTCAAGTCCGAAAGCCCTACATCTCCCAGAGGTGAGACCCACACCAGGTCAAATTCATCTCCTTTGGAGAAGAGATCCCTTCCAACGGACGTCGAACCCAGTACCTTCACTTGGAAGATTTACCACTGGACCAACACAACGTTGGTCTCAATCTTACTCTTTTATGTTTTTTTTTTTCTGGCAAATATACATCTGTTTATAAACAAAAGTTATATGGAGGCAGGCTCTTTAGAAAGGTATGAGGGTGAGGGATCGATTATAGTAGTATTGATTAGCTTAATATTCCAAGTATGTGTCATCGGTATAACCAGATGATTAACCATAAGGGAGAGGTAATAATTAGGTCCCTTACATGTTGCTCGTTTCGGACATTGAGCATATAGCTAAGGAGTATTTCATACAAATTAAGAACATCTCGAACCCACTCTTTTGGTTAGTTTTTCTTTAGCCAAAAATCTAGCCGATTTAATACACCTCCTTCCATTAAATGGCAAGTAGGATTTGATCGGATCTAGCAGATCATATTTTTTTTATGATGCCGACTCTTAAAACACTTAAGCAAAAAATGAATCTAGAGTCTTAATTACCCGCAATAATTTTTTTTGCCAATAATGTAGTATTAAAATCTTCCAGATTTCGATAGCCAAAGCCCCCATCCGATTTCTTTCGTCCAAATATTTGTCATTTTAAGTTTTTAACTAATGTAAACGTCTATTTTGTGAGCATTGATCGATCAGTTCATATATACGAAGAGGTATTTCTTTTATTCTGATGCATACATAGGTGATAGGTACACACATACACAGACAAACACACATAATTTACTTACACATACAAACATACATAATGTTTTTGATAAAAGTGATGATGACCATATACAAGCTAGCGACCTTCACCAAGGCGAACACTTAAAATAACATGTGCACGTACGGAATCCATATACTCCCACACAACGACCATAAGGCCTATATCCCCTCTTACAGTACTGGTCGCAATCATCACATGATATTGCAGGGTTTTCTTGACTGCAATACCCTTCATCTTACACCCAGAAAAGAAAAGAACAAAAATATGAATATGTGGTCAGGCATTTTTCAATAAATTCAATAAATGAGATCTTGTGCACACGTTACCAAGCTCTAGTTACCTGAAAATGAGAAGATGGGCTGCCGGATCCATGGACCATATCGTCTAGCTGGCGCCTGCTCATCCTCATTTGTAGCCAAAACAATTTCACCCTCGGATAGAGGCTTAAAGTTGCGCTTCTCGACGATCTCAGCTTTGATTACATGGACCCAAATGTATAGTGAATGTTATAACCATGACATATATTGAAACTAGAAAGCTGCCCACGCGATGCGTGGGTTATATATTTAATATTAATCCTGAATAATAATGAAATTTGTATTAAAGTAATACGTTCGATTATTAATATAGTTTTTTGAAAAGAATTTTTTAAAATATTAACTTTTATGTTCAGTTTCGAAGTATTTTTGTGAATTGCTAAAAAATAAATTCTGCTCTTTTTTTATTCAAGATGGTATGACATCAATATATACCACTACTTTTTCTTAATTTACATAAAATATTTTATTGTGGAAATATATATATCATACCTCATCGTACAGTCTCTTGTTTGTTGATTCATGATCCTTGGATCGGGAAAACGATCAAAATCAACTCCAACTATTTCTATGCGGCTTTTTTCATCCCAAACTCTGACCCCCTGAACTTATCAACCCGAACTCATACAATTTTAAAAAAACAAACCTAAACTATCTAACCGTTATCCAATTTCAACACAGTTTTTTTTTGTATTTGTTAATGTCGATTAGAATTGTTAAGTCGTAATTATCTGTTCTTTTGTATCTGAATCATTCCTTTTATTCAATTGGCTAAAAGTTAAATAATTCAGGTTTGTTACATTATTTAATAACATGTATATGTTAAAATTGGCTAACGATTACATAGTTCAGGTTTGTTATTTGAAATTTATGTGGGTTCAAGTTGATAATTGGGGTTGATATTGGCCGTTTTCCCTCGTTGGATCTCATCAGAAGGTAGATCTTCCTGACCTCATGAATTTCCCTTGACAATAAGCTTTAGATATTATATCTGTATAATCCATAATAAAATTAGGAGATCAAAGGTAAAACATAATCATATTTATTATTTTTTTTGCTAAATTTTATCTACATATGTTAAAAATTAAAGAAAAATTAAAATAATTTGTGATAATGATTAAATTTAATAAAATAGCAAGGTGGTCCAAATGAGCAAAAACATATTTTATATATGTTAATCTGTTTTTTTCACATCTCTCTCTCGCTTCCGACTCAGCACAGCTAGTCAAAGCTTTAAAATCGGAGCTTCAACACAAGGAGCTTCATGGGATTCTTTTCTATATCCTGAATTTATCTTCTACCTTTGATATTATTTCGTTTAGTTTCATTCCCCGTTTGCAGAACTCAAATGCCGATTCATTGGTAAAACAGTCTCTGGTTTCTCTTGTAATGGGCCTGGCCCAAACCTAAGTTAAATTGAATTAGCCTATGCACAAAAAACAAATATATATGTTACACTTAATTATAATCATATTTAATTTAGGAAAATGACTTCAGATGATATAATAAAAAATTTATCTTTGAAAGTTTATATTAAAAAAATTTAGTTCAGTTTTGATATATATATAAAAATTCAATTGTTTGAAAAAAAAAATGCCATTTTATAAACTTTGTATATATATATAGGTCATAACTCATAAGAGTACAAAAATTTAATAAATATAATGTAATGCCGTTTATCTAAATACTTTAATGGCATGTTAGGTTTTAACTGAATTAGTCAATTATGATATTCTATGCAATTACCCTTAGCAAACATAATTCTTTTCAAAAATCCCATGAGGATAGATTAAAAAAAAACCTTTGGTGGAACTTTTTAAATTTTTTGGTTGAATTTCATTGGGTTGGTTTTATGGAAACTTTGATAAAAATAAATACAAATTTTATATTCTCTCATTGATCTTTATTTCTTACTTAATTTGTATGATTGACTAAAAAATATTGAATTCAAAACATAATCAAGTCAAATGTTATACAATATTAAAAATAAAAAAAAAAACTATTTACTCGAGATATAGGAAACTCAAACGTCGATCCCTCTCAAACGTTGAGTAATTATGTAAAAGAAATAAAGAATGGCATAAACTATCAAATAAAGAATGACTCATGATCCCATGAGTTTTACGTATTCAAGAACAAAATCATCTTGAAACAACTTTACGTATTCATAAATTTGAAAACAAACTCTTAACTTTTTGATAAGTGATGTTGAGAATAATTACATAAATGGTTTTACAATTTATATCATAAATATTTTAACAAACTTATGGTTTTCAAATTTATGAATACATATAGATCATAAGAGTAAAAAATTTAATAAATATAATGTAATGCCATTTATCTAAATACTTAAATTTATAATTACACTTTAACTGACCATAATAATATATATAAATTAGGATAGATTAAAAAAAAACCTTTGGTGGAACTTTTTAAATTTTTTGGTTGAATTTCATTGGGTTGGTTTTATGGAAACTTTGATAAAAATAAATACAAATTTTATATTCTCTCATTGATCTTTATTTCTTACTTAATTTGTATGATTGACTAAAAAATATTGAATTCAAAACATAATCAAGTCAAATGTTATACAATATTAAAAATAAAAAAAAAACTATTTACTCGAGATATAGGAAACTCAAACGTCGATCCCTCTCAAACGTTGAGTAATTATGTAAAAGAAATAAAGAATGGCATAAACTATCAAATAAAGAATGACTCATGATCCCATGAGTTTTACGTATTCAAGAACAAAATCATCTTGAAACAACTTTACGTATTCATAAATTTGAAAACAAACTCTTAACTTTTTGATAAGTGATGTTGAGAATAATTACATAAATGGTTTTACAATTTATATCATAAATATTTTAACAAACTTATGGTTTTCAAATTTATGAATACATATAGATCATAAGAGTAAAAAATTTAATAAATATAATGTAATGCCATTTATCTAAATACTTAAATTTATAATTACACTTTAACTGACCATAATAATATATATAAATTTTCTCAATGTATGTATATAAATCTTATTGGTGAGTTGAAAAATAGAGAAACAATTAAAAATAGAACTTTTAAAAAAATAGAACACTTTTATGTAGAACTAATGGTGTTGGTGAACCTAACTTGAACACCATATGAAATCACAAACCTAACTTGAACACCAAATGAGAAAACTTTTGTAGATATTTTTACTATGTGGACGATAGCCTGAAATAAAGAGAAAACAACTAAAAGTCAATAAAAAATAAAAGAATGGACTGGAAAAAGCAAAAACTCTACAATAGTTTTTTTAGCTTGACATGTGGGTAATATATAGAAGTAGATTAATTGGATTCAATATTTAGAGTATTAATTTACACTCTAAAATTAATTAGATTTAATGTTTTGAATTAATTGGAGTTATTGTGGTTATCTGTTAGCCTAATGCATCAATTTAGAGTTATTTGACGTTACATATGTTTTAATAAGTTCATTTGTGGGTTTTACTTTGGGTAACTAATTCCATAACAAAAATAAAAACACTAATATATTTCGGTATTAGAAGTCACATGAAAAGCGTTACTGGAGAAAAAAACTCGTCGCAAATATTTATTTTGAGAGAAGGCGTAACACATGGAGCAATACATTAATATAATGCACGTTACTATATTTCTTTATTAAAATTACATTAACTGTTACATAAGTTAGAATTTCATTTATTGAGACATTTATAAAAAAATATACAGTAAAACCTCTATATATTAATAATGTTGGGACCAACTCGGAAAAAAATTATTATCTTATTAATTTATCGATTTATGTCATATTTTACACTGGTCCTAACTCGGAACCTAAAGAATTTATTAATTTAGAGAGGTTATTAATGTATAGAGTATTAATTTATAGAGGTTTTAAATAATTTAATAATAAATTAATAATACATTAATAATAAATTAATAATACATTAATAATAAATTAATAATACATTAATAATTCCTGTAAATTATATTATACTATATAAATACATTAAATGTATTGTGTAATAAAATTGTAAATAAATACTCCAACTTGGAGTTGTAACAGGTGAGAATAAATTGGTGTTATAAATGTTTTTATAAAAAAGGTAGATCGGAAAGAAGAAAAAAAAAGAGACAAATTAGAAAAGATTTGAAATGTATTTTATGGAGATATGAAAATATTATGTAAGATAGAAAAATGAGGAAAACAATTAAATGTAAAAATAGATGCCAAATGTACTAATGTTATGAGAAGTTTTAAAAATGTACTAATATTTTGTGAAGTTAAAATTTTACTGATCCATAATTTTGAATCAGATGAATAAGTGGTGATTAAGTAGATAATAATTTTGGCAAAACAAATTAGATACAAATTTCAATTTAAATACATGTCAAATGTATCAATAGGATAAGAGAAATATCTTTTTTGGAATTAAATTGTAGGTACAAACTTTCAAAACTAAGGATTTTAAATAAATTAAAACAAACATTAATGAAATGAAAGATGACACATGTCACCAAAAGAGAGTGCCAAATGTCGCAATGGTAGGAAAAGTTAGAAGAAAACCTTCTCATATTATATAAGACTAGATGAGGACCCGCACTACGTGCGGGCTTTCACTTTATATTTCATAATTATAAGTATATAAATATAAACATTAGGTTAGTTTTTGTTAATAGGCAAGAAGACAAAATTTTCCTTATAAACGAGATTACCCTGATATTAAGCATATAAATTTACCTTTTTTTTGCATTTACATTTAGATTCCTAATAAAAAAACTGTTCTCACTACACATTATCTTTTTATAATATTATTTCATTATTGTTATCCTTAAACCAAAAGAAGAAGACAATGCAAAGAAGATTGGAGTACCCGCACTAAAATTAATGTTCATGGTATTTAGGTATAAATGTTAAGCATTGATAATTGGGTTGTCGTTTTGTTTGAACAACGATGTTATTAGTTTATAGCAAATAAACAAATAGAACCAAACCTTGATAAGCCTTATTGATTTGTCGAAACATAAATGTAAAATAATTCTCGTCTTTAAATTTTTATCGTTGCCACTTTTGCAAAAACAACTAAAACAATACGAACTTCATCACTGAAAAACTCCATCATTGAGGATATTAGTCTAATAATTTGATGTTAGAGGTTCTGACGTTCTCCTCACCATTTTTAATATATTATATAGAAAATTTTTTTAAGAGAATAACAAAACTCAAAAATTCTGGTATGAGAAACCCCAATAAAATAATTATATTGAAGAAAAAATAAATAATATTTAAATATAATTAGTATTAATACAAAAAATACGTTAATTTTTATAATATGTATAATTAAATAATATATGTTCCACTAACTTACATTAATTATTAGTGGACACATGTCAAATGCTAAAGTGATGATGTGTCACTCATATGGAGAGAGTTGGTCAACTTTCATATATATGATATATCGTGTATCTTATAGTCACGTGCTACATATTGTGAATGTCTCTAGCTATCGCTAATGTGTAGATATGTTTTATCACATATAAGAAATTAATCAATATGAAATATGTAGAATAAGAAATAACTTAAGAAATATGTTTCTAAGTTAACAAGTTTGATATGGTACCTATTGTTGGAGAGAAAGCACTCAAAACAATTGCGAAAATGAAAACAAGCGTCACCATTTCCTTAGCCATATCTTAGTTTAGGTCTTGCTTGATCTTGTTAGAAACCAACCAACTCTCGGAGGGTACTTATAATGTTAAAGTGTGAAAGAAAAATGTGGACACATATAGAAAGAAACAAAATAGAAGATAAGAGAGAATCACAGAGGCTACAAGTGTATAGTGTAGCTTCCGTGGATTATCTCTTATAGCTCTTAATTTCTACATCACAAAAAAATTGGTTACTTTAGTTAGGTACTTTACAAAATCTGCACGTTGTACATGTCTGTATTAAAAATATAATGAACTTTGCATAATCCACAAGTGTTTGTTTCTCCATCTTATAAAGTCTTGTATAATCAATTAGTTTTGACACAAGCATATGAAATTATAGTTATAGTTGTATACCAATTATAACACGACAACAATCACGTGTATATACAAAGATTATTTATGTAGTAGACAAACTTAAAACCAAAAAGAACTTAACTTGGCCAAAATCAACCAAGTTCTCATTCAATAGTTCAAATATGAAACTCACATTAAGAAAACAGTATGGTAATGAAGTATAAACTCCTAAACCGCTGTAGAACCCTGTGGAACTAGAGGATTCCAACACCCACAAAAGGGTCTATGGGTCGAGACATTGAGGGTCATTTATCTGATTCAATCTTAAATTTTACATCCCCCAGTATATAGAAAAGAAAGAAGCTTTGTGCCGTCGGAATCGACACAATCAATTTGTCGGTAGTCTCCTTTTGGTCATATCCTAGTAAGAGATGAGGACTAAACCGCCATTTTCATCTCTATCTTCTTGTGAGGATCATATCCTGTGAGGTCAAAGTCAGCAGCCACAAAAGAATCGATTTGTTTCTTCTCTGAGTTGATCTTCAAAACCTACAGTAGTGAGCCCGTGGCGGAAAACAAAAACACAGTAAGGATAGGTGAATATGCATTCCGCGATGATCATTGTTGGCGATATACTTACAGGAAAAGGTTTCGGTGGGTTCAGAAGTTGCTCTTGCAGAGGCCTTACATGAGTTTTGTACACATGAGCATCCCCAAGAACATGGATAAAATCACCAGGAACAAGATCACACACGTGAGCCAGCATGCAAGTAAGAAGAGAGTAGGAAGCAATGTTAAACGGCACACCAAGGCCCATATCCGCTGAACGTTGATACATTTGACATGAGAGTTCCCCTTCTGCCACATAGAACTGCAACAAAAAAAAGAGGAAAATAAATCAAACTCATTGTAATTGTAAACGAAAGGATTTATAAGTAAAGTGCAATCAATTACCTGTGCAAACATATGGCATGGAGGAAGTGCCATCAACTTGAGGTCAGAAGGATTCCAAGCTGACATTATAATACGCCGATCATCAGGATTGTTCTTGATTTTGTCAATTACATCTAAGAGTTGATCAAAACCTTGACCAGTATAATCAGCATGCATATTTGTGTACCTGTAAAGCAAGAGAAAGATGTTTCACCGAAACAAATCCATCGAAACAGAGAATAAAAGCCAACATATGCATTAAAATGATACGGACTTAGCACCAAAGTGTCGCCATTGAAATCCGTATACAGGTCCAAGGTCGCCTTCCTCTCTCTCTGTCAGACCGATACTGAAATTATGGTGGATAAATCAGTGAGAAGGTCGTGACGATCAATTTTTCATTTACCAAAAGGATATTACCCATCGAGATACTCTCTTGACGCATTCCCATCCCATATATGGATACCTTTTTCCTGAAGAACCTGCCCATGTATAAAGTCTATCAGAGATATAGCCAATTCAATTGCATAGTTTTAGAGAACAGCAGAGACACTATGGCTTAATCATGGTGATGTAATATCTCCTTTTTTACCTTTGCATTGGTTGAACCGCTTATAAACCATAGAAGTTCCTCAACAACACCTCTCCAAAAAACTCTCTACACAAAAGATGCAAACAGATTGCGTGAGTTTGAATATGAGATAGTGTAGATATGCAACTGCCACCAAATTAAAACCACCAAATACAATTGAAAACAAAGCATTCTCCTTGAGTCAACGTGGAAAGTTAAGGAAAAGTGAGCATACCTTAGTTGTCAGAAGTGGAAAACTTCTGCGTAAATTGAATTTCATCTGTTTTCCAAGGAAATGTAAGAAGATCATTTAACCTTAGTAACCAACCGCAGAAAGATTAAACACATATAGAAAGGGGTTTTCACATCACCTGGCAACCAAATTTTGATAATGTACCAGTCCCGGTCCTATCATTCTTCACATTGCCATTAGAGATGATATCTTCAACCATATTCAAATACAGAAATTCCTCATGCTGATCAAAAACCATCTTGGGAAGAAACAAAAACTTCTTCCCATCAAATTGAAGAGACTGTGACACATTGCTTTCATCAGTAGAACTTTTTACACGGACAAAAGTCGTGAAGCAAAACCGAAGTCCATTTTCAGTTACTGGAAACGATGAACACCAAGGCTGATAAACAGATGTGTCAACCGCAGGTATAAACGTATCACATTTAATACTTGTATCAATCTCAGTTAAATGGATAGCATCACAACTAGGCCTGTTCAATGCTTCCCTACACAAATACAACCAACCAACACTTAATTCCAACAACAAAATTACAAATCACCAAAAGGGATGAGAAATCAACACATTACCTCAATATGTCACCACCTCCTATAACAAACACCCTCTCAATAGATAAACAATACGGCGGTGCAGCTAACAAATCAAGAGCAGAATCTACACTACTGCAAGTGACAACATTCTCAGTGTTAGCTATTTCAAACCCACCAGAACGAGTTAAAACAACGTTAAGCCGACCCGAAAGCGGCCTATGCTTAATTGGAATAGCCTCCCAAGTTTTTCTACCCATCACAACAGCATTTTTCTTAGAGGAATCTGAAGTGGTCAACGTAATGTCCTTGAAGAACTTGAGATCTGTAGGCAAATTCCATGGCAATTTCCCATCTTTACCAATACCCATTTCTTTAGTTGCAGCAACAACAACTTGGTAAGTCCTTTGAGGCTCTGAAGCAAGTCTAGTGGTGTCATTGCCATTGAGAGTTGTTGTTGCCATGGTGGAAATCAAAAACCTTGGAGATGATACTTGCAATAGATGGATTGCGATGGCTATTACAAAGCCAAAGCAGAGACTGAGAAAATCAAACACAAGAATCAGATTCAAACAATTGAAGAATCGCAATTTGAAACAAAGAGCGTAGACGTAAGCAAAAGGGTGTGAAGAAGAGATTAGTAACTGACCGATTTAAAGGCGAAAGGAAGAATCTTTGAGTGATTGGGAAAATACCCAGAAGAGATTATCGAAAACCCAGAAGAAAGGTAAGGATTTGAGACACGAAATCAGGAGAAAGTAGGTAAAGGCTACTTTTTTTTTTTTGGTCAGGAGTTGAAAAGGACAGGAAGAGAGGATAAGCGGGAGAGAATAGAGGGAAACGCCGATTCGTAAAACGCTCCAAGTAGACGACGACGTGTCTCTATCGTCCAACTAAAATAGAAGATCATCGAGTAAAAAAGTGAGGGTCGGATTTTAAAGGTAAGACAACTATCCGGATGCTATCCACTACTGCGAACGATGGTTTTAAATGGACTAAATTGTTGCCGACAGCAGATCGATTCGTAAAAGTGTTGTTTTAATTTATTTATTTTTCGTCTAAATGATTCATTGATGGGATACATTTGAGTTATACATCACGGCAAGGAAAGAGATCCTTCCGAAAACAAAGCCGGCGGGTAAGGCTCCAAAGGACAGACATAAAAGAAAGAAAAAACCTTAAAGAACAGGGACAATGACAAAAAACAAAAGCTCAAAAGCAACACAACTGAAACTCTTCACCAAAAGCACCCGACGAACAATTCCATAGAACAGCTTTGGCGCTGGAGAGAAGTTACAAACAGGAGCTTCGAAGAGGACCCAACATTAGATTGCCTTCAACAGAGAAAGCCCGAGAAGGGTACAAAACCGAACTCACACAACCACAACTCCAGCAGAACCGAACACAGATGAACAAGAGACTTAGAGCACAGAACCTAACCATTACTACCACTCCAAAAACTAGAGAGCACGAGAAGGCGAAGGGACAAAGAGAAACCTTGAAATCCGGAGGGGAAAAACTTCAAAAAGGACCACCATTTTTTACACGCGGACATTCGTAGACCCAGCCAGAGCCACCTACATGCTAATAATTGGTTACGCCACGCAAGAAAAGGAATGGAGACCGAGCCCCCTGCATCGTCTAAAACTCATACCGTAAAGGAAAAGAGCTAGTAGGTGCCTTTGCAGAAGACTACCATCAGAAAGAAGAACCCACAAAACGAAAACCTTCACCATCTCACACCACTAGTGTTGTTTTAATTAAATAATTTGTTTTTTGTCGTAAGTATTTTTGTTTTCAATATAGATTTTAATAATTATGTGTGTTAAAATTACTAATTATTATGGACTTTCTCATATTTATATTTTATTATTCCCTCTTTATCAAAAAAAGATATTTTGGTTAAATATGTTATACTTATATCATGTACACTAATCAAGAAAGCTTGTAAAATTACTTTAACTTGGTAAGAACATGTGTAATGTACGGATAAATTTAACGTTTTTTTAATTTTATGAATAGTTTTATATATAGTAAAATATATATTGTTTCTTAGGTTATATTTTCACTATGTTTGAACATATTATTAAACTCATTTTTAATAATTAATTTATTATAAAGTAATATTATCGTACTATATGGTGAATTTTTGTAAAAAAAATTTATTTATTTATAAACAGTTATTTCTGGTTAAAATATCACTTTAAGGGATGCAGAAAGAGTATATAAATAGTTGTGAAAAATAAAATAAAAAATTTAAGAATGAACCGAGAGAAAATTAAAATTTGAAGAATATGTGGGCATTGAAATAGAACGGTTTAAGTTGGTGCTTTTAGGACCACAATTTTTAGTTGGTTAGTCCTTTCTAGACACTTCTAAAATTGAGTTGGCTCTGCTAGATCTTTAAAAGGGGTTGTGCCACAAACAATTTCAAGTAATACTCCATTCAAAATATCTCTTTTCATGTAGAGGTAGAGTGTCACCTTGACGTGGTGGAAGTCATCATCTTCATAATGCACACAACTCTTAGTAATAATTGAATGGATTCTAATTTGACCACTCGTGCAAAATCTTATCAAAACCCACATCTTCTATTTGAGAATAATCTTAAGTTACCAGTTTAGTTTTTTTTTTTTGGTATTGTGACGAGCTGAACAAAACGAGCAAATCCTTTATTGGAGACATTGTCCTTATTCGTTCGCAATCATAAGTGGTTGTCTGACCATACATTTTAACATTTTTTCAAATGGGATACCAAACCCGACATAATACATGAATTCCTATATTCAAAACACTTGAACCGAATCAAGAACCGAATGGATATCCGAAATATCCGAACTACAATTATATATCTAAAATTATTAGTTACATTTAACTTCAAATAATCTATACACTCAAAATTACAATTATTAACTAAAGATATTATTTTTAGACTGAAATAAATGAAATATCTAAAACTCTTTAGTTATATTTGATAAAATTTAACCAATGTTTTAGTTTTTTTTTTTTTGGATATTCCGAATATTTTTGGATTGTTTTAGATAGTTTGGGAAAACAACTAGCAAACCGAATAAAAAAATTTCGGTTCTAAAAAAGTTTTCTGTTTAAAGAATTGTATCGACTCGAACCGAGAAGGAACCAAATCGAACCCAAACTAAAATTATAAAATTCTTAAATGGACCTCAACCCTGCTAACTAAATTATCCAAAACCAAAAAGAACCGATCCAAACCGAACTAATTAACCCAATGACCAGGCTTAATTTGATTTACTTATCTTTTCTTAAGGTACTATGGTTGATGTAAAATATGTTTTAATCTCTAAGTGGTGGGCTGCACTTAGTCCAAATTGGCGTCATACCCTCTTCTATTAATTATAGCATTTATTGTACAGATACGAATCGATTTTGATAAATTTAATATTTTATCACACACATGTCCATTTCAATATATTAAGAACAAACCAATTGTAAGAAAAAAAGAACATAAAAAAAAACCACCTTTGGACCTTATCAATAGCTTGTTAAAATGAAAATCAAGTACTTTTCTCTACATGTCTTATTAGTTTCAGATGATCCTCACCATTACCATCTTTCACCCTACCTTCTTCTCAAGAACTCATCTCCAATAAGGTAAGGAAAAAACAAAACTCTTTTTGCTTCTCTTTTTCTCAATCTTGATAATTTCTTATTTTGGATTCTCTTTTAATTTACTTGATCGTTTACTATCTACCTTTCTCCGGGATTTCGATATGATGAACTTCATTGCGCTATTCGCGTTTCATTAGTACTCAATGATATGAATAATCTGACCAAATGTTATTTTGAACAATCTTAATCATCTTGTAGGTGTTTCATCAAAAGTCAAAACCATGGCTGACACCAAACAAGGTTATAAGTCAATGCATTTACCTTAATTAGCCATAGATAGAAAATTTCATCTTGTCTAAAATGTTAATGTAAACCAACCATTTGTGGTTTAGATATGGAGAATTCAGATGATGGGAGAAAGATAGTGAAGATGAGCTCGCTTAAACAGAAAGCGATAAGTGCATCAAATAGATTCAAGAACTCGTTCAAGAAGAAGACTCGGAGGACCAGCAGCAAAATCGTGTCCGCAGCCAATACAGATGACATCAATGGGGAGGATTATCTGTCTGTGGAAGCGTTCCGTCAAGTCCTTGTCCTCAACGACCTTTTGCCTTCCAAACACGACGATCTTCACATGATGCTCAGGTTTTTATATTTTTCTTTAAGATCCCTAGCTATTAGGCCAAATAATGTGTTGTGTTATGTAATAAAATATCATGAAGTCAACTAATGGAAAAATATATTTAGTAAAAAAACAAACAAACAAAAAAATGTAAATTATGAATAAGTTTAGTATCACCTACGAATGATCCAAACGAACATTTTATTTGATGAGGAGATAGTTTAATAGATGACCAAAAATTTGATGTCTTAACATTATAACATTTCATAAAATCTTCATACCATAAAACAATGTTCCTCTCTTACAAGTGAATCAAGAAACGTTTTACACTTTCATATAATTAAATACATATTCATGAAGAGTTTATAGCAGTCTTGCTTTGCTAGCTATCGCTAAGAAATTTCGCTGCTAAATGTTACTTATTTGTAGATGATTATTGCAATTGTAATATTATGAGTTTTGATGTTTATTATCTACATAGATTCTTAAGGGCGAGAAAATTTGACATTGAGAAAGCAAAGCAAATGTGGAGTGACATGCTTCAATGGAGGATGGATTTCGGAGTCGATACAATCATTGAGGTTAACTTTTTGTCCAAGAATCTTGGAACATCTTAGACCGGTCATTTATATATATCTATACAATCTTTGACGAGTTATTATTTGTTTGGTTTATTTTCTTTAATAATGAAGGATTTCGAGTTTGACGAGATCGATGAAGTACTCAAACATTATCCGCAAGGTTATCATGGAGTGGACAGAGAAGGCAGGCCGGTTTACATTGAAAGATTAGGTCAAATCGATGCAAACAAGCTGTTACAAGCGACTACAATGGACCGGTATGAGAAATACCATGTGAAAGAGTTCGAGAAGATGTTCAAGATCAAGTTCCCTTCTTGCTCTGCCGCAGCCAAGAAGCACATTGACCAAAGCACAACCATTTTTGATGTGCAAGGCGTGGTTTGTCACATTTTAATACCTCAATTCTTCTTTGGAAAATGTATAAATATGAAAAATGATTTAAATGTATAAAACGGTGTGTCATTTTTCAATTATTAGGGGCTTAAGAACTTCAACAAATCTGCGAGAGAGCTGCTTCAGCGACTTCTGAAGATCGATAATGACAATTACCCTGAGGTAGTTTAATCTCAAACAGCTTATTATTCTTAGGAGTAACAACGTTCTAATACATTATTCTTCATAGACTTTGAACAGAATGTTCATCATCAATGCCGGTCCTGGATTCCGGCTCTTGTGGGGTCCAATTAAAAAGTTCCTTGATCCAAAAACGACATCAAAGATTCATGTTCTTGGGAACAAATACCAGCCCAAATTGCTCGAAGCCATCGACCCTAGGTAAGATTCTAGTTCTTACCTCATTGATATATCTTGCTTTGTATTAGAAATCATGGACTAATGTACTTATTACTAATATTCTACAAAAATCCGTGTATTCTCGTTTGTTGTTTTAGCGAGTTGCCACATTTCTTTGGCGGCCGTTGCACTTGTGCAGACAAAGGTGGCTGCTTGCGATCTGACAAAGGCCCATGGAATGATCCTGAGCTTCTTAAGGTCAACTTTGGAGCTTAGCTAGAACACTTTTTAATTTAAATTTTTTCTGAGCCACTGACCAAATATAAGTGTGTTCTTATGGAAAGCAGATACCTAAGAGCCCTGAAGCCAGATTCTCGACAATTTCAGAGGATGACCACTTGCTTGTAGAAGAAGGAACATCAATCTCGATGGTCTTTGAAGTAAGCTAAGATAAGTTTAAACTACGATATCTAATCAAGTACGGACCTCATTCTTTTATATGCATTAAATTTTGTAGCCTCTAGAGAGAAACAAATTGAAAACCATCGAAGAGAATGTGAGTGAGAAGAACATTGCCGCGGTTGACAAGTTCATGGCTCTGTCTTTGCCTCCAAAACCTAATTTAAAAACCCTAAGAAAAGGTATATATCTACTCACATTAATGCTCAAGTCGAAAGGTATACTTATTGCTCTAAAATTTCAATCTGTTTACTCCTCCTACACTCTTACGTAGGGAAGGAGCCACAAAGGAAAGATGATGGCTTTCTTGTGGGAGGGGTTATCGCTTTTGTGATGGGAATTGTTGCAATGCTCCGGCTATCTAAAGACGTTCCAAGGAAGCTCACGGATGCTGCATTATTCGGTAACTCAGTTTTCTACGAGGAAACAAAAATGTCTAAACCGAACCAAGAGCAATTTCCAGCACCAGTCTCAAGCTCCGAGTACACAACTATGGTGAAACGTATGGCCGAGCTTGAAGAAAAGTATAAGTCCCTTGACTCAAAATCAGCAGATGATGCTTTAGAGAAAGAGGATAAACTTCAGGCTGCGCTTAACCGAGTTCAAGTGCTTGAGCATGAGTTATCTGAGACCAAAAAGGTAAGGTCTATATTACCTCTATCAAATCAGTCGAATATGTAGTAATGATTGGTTTGGCTTCTTTATTTTTTCGGGTTAGGCTTTGGATGAAACGATGGTTAACCAGAAGGGGATTCTTGAATATATTGAGAAGAAAAAGAAGAAGAAGAGTCTGGTGAGACAAATCATTGAGAGAACTTATCTACTTAATACTACATTCGTTGTCTAGATTTCTAAACATTTTGTTATATTTCATTTCAGTTTTTCAGGTTCTAAATTCGCTAACAATGGTATTATCTCCCGCGAAAATACGAAAAGCAACAGAGTGTTTCTCTTACAATTATGAGGAATATATAAATGCATATAGTGGAACTAAACTGTCTGATTTGTATGGTTTTGTATATAACTTTGTTGTTAAACAAGAAGTGGATTTCGCCATTAGAGGATTGTTTTGGGTGTTCTCTTGCAATTTAGAGTGCTTTACTTTTCGACCAAAAGAAAGAAAGAAAAAAAGAGTGCTTATTTTTTAGGGTTCTCGTGCAATGTTCTTTTGTGGTGGTGATTTCTACTTATACGTGAATTAACTCGTCGTAAAGGATAATATAATGTAAGTTTGAGGTGGTGATTGTCAATTGCTAACTGTTCTTGAAGCTCGGATGAGAAATTTAGTTAGTGAGACAAAATAAGAAGAGGTTCTTGATAATTAAAGTTTTGGGTTCAAGGTGAGTGCACGAGAGACAGATTTCTGGTGTGGTTGGATATGTCGACGCACTAGTAAGAGCCTAAAGAGAGAAAACAAAGGAGGATTTCCTTTTTTAAACACATATAGAGATATGCATTCTAGGGTGTGTGAGTGAAAGTTTGTTTTTTGTTTTAAAACTCATGATGTTGATTTTCATGGTGTAAACTTTTGTTTTATATTGGACTATAAGTAACTGATCCAGCGTGAGTAAGATATGTGGTATCAAATGATGGATCAGTTAATAGATCGATATAACATGGATGATTCAAAGGAAAGAGAACTCAGATTGTCAAATAGGAAGAAGCCGGTTCATATCTACCAATTATGATGCTAAAGAAAGTTGCTCAAGAAGAAATCTTTGAATATCACTACAAATTAATGTCAAGAAACTAAAGGATATCTCTCCAATATGTCCAAGCTGTCATCTCTATCAATTAAGAAAAGCTATATATGGACCATGGGTAAGGCAATCGACTAAAGTAGACTAATGCATGATAAATTCAAGATGCTAGCTAGAATCATACAACCAAACTCATTCTCAAGATAATGAATCGTGCAATCCATGATCTTAATCTATTTCTTTTTTTTTTTTTGATCAAACTGAAACTTGCATTAAATAAACACCAGAGTTTACCCTCCATTAGAGGAGGAACGAATTACAGAGGACAAAGCAGATTTAGCTAAGCTATCAGCTAAGACATTTTCCAAACGGGGAACAAATTGAAAAGAGATAGTGGTAAAGGAGACACTCAAATCTCTGATGTCGTGAAGCAGGCTTCGGAGATCGACATTACTGTTTCCAGTGTTGAGAAGCGAGATTAGCACTTTACAATCGGAGAAGACCTTGAGCTTGTGAAAACCAGCAGATTGAGCATCCAACATAGCAAATTTCACAGCAAGTGTCTCTGCAATAAGAGCTGAACCAACAAACTTATGGTTAGCTGAATTTTGACTCAAAATCTTTTTTGAGCCATTCCGGAACAACCATCCCATCCCACTGCAGCCATCACTGGCCCATGCTGCGTCAACAAAGCACTCGTGGGTATCTAGACATGGGGGTTGAATAGAGGGAGCCGGCTGCGACTTCCGGTTACGAGACAGAAGTAATTGGGCTTCCATCCATCTTCGTGCCTCCACAATAGCTCTGTTTAGCACCATCTGAGCTGGAGTGGAGCGATCTTAATCTATTTCTTTATGATCACCTCATTATGCTAAATTTCTTTTTCTCACTAGGAGATTGACAAACATTGAAAACAAATCCAATAAAATCAGTAAACACCTTAGTCATCAATTCTCGTTGGTTAGGTATGCAAAACTCATGTAAAGTTGGCCTAGCCATTTCATTGATGACCTCCCGGGAAAAAAAATTCTATGACAGATTATAATTAGAAAGTTCAAACCTAGTATTAAACACATCCTAACGATAAATCAATCAATGATCACCCTATTCTATCAAACCCATAATCAATATATTTGTTTGGTATCACATAATCAATATATAAGAAAGATATAATGAAATAAATAAAAAAGATAAGGATTGATGAATAAATCTTCACTAGTTTGAAAGGAAATATGACAGCTTCATCATCAAGGAAAATTACAGAAATTGAAACATGTTTTTTTTCTTTCAAATCCACTAAACTAACAGAATATAATTTGTTTTTTAGACCGAAATGCACAATCGTGCGAGTACGATCACCATCCACTATAAAACCCGTTGATCAATATCATATGAAGAAATGAAATCATAGGAAATAATGGAGGGAATTTGCGAAAATAGCAATTAGAAAGATATATAGTTTTTTTCTTGGATAAAAGATATATATATATATAAGTTTTGACCAAACACTACATATTGGATTCGATTAATGACACAAATCGATATACTATTTATTAAAAATTTAAGAGGTGACGAAGATAAATGGTGGTATTATATGACTAGTAAACCCATACTTTTTACCCCATCGGCTTACCAACTATCGAAGAATATATATTTATTTTGTGTAAAAGCAAGTTGAACCAACTTAACTCGTCCATTTTCATAATCCAAATCGCATCTTTTCGTAAAGACTAAATTATGACTTCTAAAATATCAATTCGTTCTAAAATATCTTAATCTTTTCTTAAAGTTTTGTATTTGGTAAAGTTAATTTATCCTTATGAGTTATTGAAACCACACTTCTACAAATCATTCGATCTAACTTTTAATTTTTAATAAATTCGGATGAAGATCACCTCTTTTCATCATTTAATATATATTATAACTTTATTTTAGGACGAATTGATATTCTATCAATCTTCCATTTTCATAAGAAAAAAAAAAACTGTTTTGCCTAATCCAAAAGTTTATATATAAATTTTGCAGATATACCTACAAATAAGTGAGCTGTCTATCCAACTCATAATTTAGTATATGAATTGACTGGACGTAAATCTTATAAATACCTCATTAGATCTCTCATAGAGAGGATTCAAACTTTTCTGGAGAGACAATTTATTCTTGAAATAACAGTAAACCCTCATAACAGCAAGAAAAATGTACTACAAAAATGTACTTAACCTTTAAAAACAAGTGCTATATACTTCCTCCGTCCCACAAAGATAGATTTTTTAGAAATTTCACATTTTTTAAGAAATAATGTATAATGACAATTTTAATCTTTTAACCTTTTAACACATTTTAAAGAATATATTATTTTTTATTATTTAATAAGGGTAAAATAGGTAAACTGTTTTAAATTTGACATTGGAAACACAAAACTTCTATCTTTGTGGGACAAATTTTTTTTCTAAAAAATTCATCTTTGTTGGACGGAGGGAGTATATACCACTACAAGAAAAATGAGTTCTTCTCGAGTGTTCGCTGATCTGGGCGTCAAATGGCTTTTAAGATACTGATGTTCCAAGTGAGTTTGAACATATTTTCAGTGGTGCATGTTTATATGCTTCTAAAAAGGTCGATCCTGGGTAATTCTAAAAGACCTTATATAGAAAGGCAATAACTAAAATTTTGACCAAAATTAGGTATTTATGTTTTATAATATCAAATTATTAATAGAAGTAATGTGTGGTAGGAAAAAAAAAATTATTAATAGAATTTGGGAGCGTATGGTATATATAGAAAAGATAAATCTTATTTTTTCTTAACTGAACATAAATTTCCTTAACAACAAAAACTTCATATACACATTTATTTATATGACTATATTTTGCAGGTGAGTAGTAATGCAGTAACTAAGTGAAATATCGTTTTCATAGGGCTTGACCAATTTTTAGAGCAGGTCTACTTTAAGAAAAGTTAGAAGGTTAAGTCAAACTGAGCACATCGAGTTATTTTAATTAATATTTCATACTTTTGATAAAGGTTAACCTATAATTAAAATATTTAATTTACATAAGAATTCTCTTTTTATTCTCCACTACTCTCCTCTTTAAGTTTGCAATTTGGTGAAGTTTCTTTGTCCTTATGAATTATTGAGACCACACTTGTCTTCTAAAGATGATTCTTAGTAAATTCGGCTGACGATCAAAACTATAACGTTTAACGTTTTGTTGAAACTTACTTTAGACAAGATGACAAAAAATAAAATACAATTGAAGAAAAAAATAGATGTTTAAAATGGTGGAAAATAAATAGATGTCCAAAGTGAGTGGCATGAAGTATTCATGCACAAATCGGACAAAATGGGTTTTGTCCACATTGGAATTTGGTTTGAAATATCATTAGTATATAAGGTGGAGATAGAATGAGCTCATCAATACTAGACACGAATAGAAGCTGTCCGGGCAAGAATTTACTCCGATCATTACATCCATTCCCAAACCAAAAGAAGAAGACTTACCCAAATCAATATATGTTCGAAACAAATGGCCGGTTTAGCTATGTGACATCGATCAATCTTAGGATGAACGAACTATCCAAATAACAATTACAATCTTAAAGCACCTATAAGTGTTTTCTAGTTTTTAAATTTTTTTAGATATTAGGCTTAACTGATAATAATTAATCGAAATATTATCATTTTATACCAAAACACATAAATAAATAAACTTAATCTTAAAATCAAAGCCACTAACTTCTTTAGACTTATGGTGGCCAACAAGGAAACAACAGGAAAGTGGTCTCCTTTCAACTTTTCTTTCTTCCCCATTTTCATGAAAAAATTAATTAAAAAGTCTCAAAAAAGCATAATACGACATTAATTTGTATTAATCGTCAAGTTGCAATTATGTGTCTAATCATTTTTTACAATGCCACACCAAATATATATTATAATGATAAATGAATGAATAAACTCTTTAACTTGGCCTCTTGTTTCTTCTCATTCATTATACCTAAAGAGTCGAGACCAATTAAGAACTCAACTTTCCCCGAGAAAAAAAAAATCCTAGGAGGGCTAATAAAGTTATGGGTGTGTCACCATTAATGTTGAAGAAACTTGGTTTCATCTTCATGATTGTTTCAGCTTCTGCTCTTTCTGTCTCTTTTGCAGGTTTCATTTCTCTCCCTCTCTCACTCACTCTCATCTGTTTTGTTGCAGCTTTTCTCTATACTTCATGTGCGCAAAGAATTTATTTAGTCTTGTATAGAAAGAAAGGATCATAATTGTATAATCACTTAAGATTAAGTGCATATTAATGCATGACGTTTATAAGCATGAACGTTTTATGACACGATCCCGAGGTTTTTTGGTATATGTCCAAGAGATTTTTTTTTTTCTGTTTTAGTTGTAAGATATTTGCTTCTGTTCCCACCAAAAGTATTTTGTATCAATATTTTTAAAATTTTATTTATTTTAATAACACCGTAAAATAAAATTGTGTTTTCATCAAACATCCCTTGAAAATTGTAAAGACATATAGAAAAGATGAATTTTCATTTAGAATTTACTATGTTCAAAAGAAAGAAATAATTAGAATTTTAAAATTGAAATACATAGTATTTAATTTGAACTAAGAAAACATTTTAACGCTTTTCTCTTGAGCATGAGGTGTAGTTTACTAGTTTGTGTTACTATCGTCGTTATGATTTAAATATTGTAGTTTGTCGTTATGTAAACCATAATATTAAAAATTATTTTTGATGAACACTAACAACATAACGAAACTAATCAACTATGATGATCATGATTTAGTTATATATAATAATAATAATTAAAATATCTTTTACAGATGTAACAAAAAAACTTCTTTTGTTATGCAGGCCGACCATCGGTTCTAGTCCATACACATATAAATCTTCGTGATGAGGTTAGTCTAACTAACATATGTAGGGCAATGTGTTTCATATATATTTGTGCATACATAACTACATAAGCATATATTTTCTAAACTGTGATAACTCTTCCTTGTTTCCAAGCTAAGAAACAATTTTTGGAACTAAATTTGGTGAAATGTGAGACAGATGGTGGAAAGAAGCATGCATGATCATGAGAGGCTTTTAAGAATGAACACAAAGGATTATGGGCACAAGAGTCCGTCGCCAAGACTTGAGAGGCCTCCTTTCAAGCTTATTCCCAATTGATGGCATCAGAATTGGTTCTAATCAATCCTTAATTAATATAAATATATATATACATATATAGGTTTAATTAGTTTCAGTGACTATATAGTTTCGTCGAAATTGAGAGATGTAATATAAATATATGTAATAACTAAATAAAAGGTAAGCAGCTAGACCTAGCTATGCTACTACTATATACTATATATGCTCTGCATATATATCCATGGCATCACTATAACGTGTCTTTGTCTTCGGGTTTCAAATATAGGTCCTTGTGTAATACTATTAATTTGTACACATATATATATAACAAATGAAAAATTGGTTTTTCAATGAAAAAGGAGACAAATTTAGTAATTGTAGTACACTACTTTTGTTCCATTGAGTGATATAAATATTATTTAGAAATTTACTATCATTTAGAATTAAAAATTTAAAGTCAGTTCCTACCCAATAAAAATAGGGCAATGGTGTTAGCTTTTTTTTTTCTATCCTAAAATTGTGAATGTTTCATATCATGCCATATTGCATTTTGAATTTTCATTTGTAGTCTATTTAGTCATCAAAAAAGTTATTTTTCAAGGTATGAATGATTTGAAAAAATTATAAAGAAACGGAATGAAAAGATAAAAAAAGCTTATAAAAATAGATATTCAAGAGAGTCCACCAATTAAGAAGGCCTCCCCATTCACTTGAGTGAGCATAATCGAGAGATAGAATGTGGTTACGCACGACTTTGTCAATTGAATGAACCATGAATGATGTAGGGTGGTTGCCTTTTAATGGCATCTTCTTTTCCTCTCCGTCCAAAAATGGTTTTAGTTGAAGTAGAACAGAGTTGATACTATTCATTGCAGTGGAGATAAGGTAGTTTAAAGTGTCAGTCGAATCCTCAAAAGAATTTATGTTTGCTTGTTTATATAAAAAAACAAAAAACTGTTATGAATCATAGTTTATAACAATGTTTGTACCAATTTTATATTATTATGCCTTTTATTCAAGCCAAAACATTGAGAAATGTTTTTTTTTTGGTTAAGGATATTAAGGTAAGTCGTAGACAAAATGAAGTAGTATATGAAATTTTTAAAGCATTCTTATAAATTTGGATAAAGATAGACATTAGAATTGTACGTGAAATATTCTGATTATTTATCCTGGATCACATTGATGAGAAATGTGTGGCCAAAGATGTTAACGAATTGTGAACAAAATATGGCAATATAACACTGGTTTGTTTAACTTTTAAAAATATTTCGATATGCAAATTAAAAAAAAGTTCAGAACAAGCTTAAAAGGAGAGACAATTTGCATGAGATGATATGCCAGAAAAAGATCATATGAATGATTTTCTTACGGTTATGGGTTGATTTAGTATATCATTTTAATAGTGGGTGATGGGAAAATAAGGATTCAAATACGAGGTCTTCGTTCATAAGGAAGGCACTTGTCAACTCGAGATAAGGAATTCCTCCCAAAATAATGAGGTATTCGGCAAACTCTATACCGTTGATTATGTATTGGACGGATTGAAAATCAACATCAATTATATTAGCTGCTCTGAAGAAGGTTGTGGTCTGTCTGGTTAAAGGATATGTCCAACAGTTATGCCCAATCTGGGTTTTGTATCCGGGATTGACAAGATGACCCAAATCATGAAAATTTAAATTCAATTCCTACCCTCATTAAAATAGGGCGAAGGTGTTAACTTTTTTTTTTCTATAAAAAATTGTGAATGTTTCATATCATACCATAACGCATTAGTTTTGAATTTTTTCGTTTGTACTCTGTTCAATCCTCAAAAATGTTATTTTCAAGGTATGAATGATTTGAATATTATAAAGAAACAAAAGTGAAAACAGAGACAACTTTATAAAAATTAGATGTTCATGAGAGAGTCCACCAATTAAGACGGCCTCACCATTCACTTGAAAGCATAATCGAGGTGTCAGTCGAGTCCTCAAACCAATTTATGTATGCTTGTTGATAGATATTTATATATATATTTTTTTTTTGTTATGAATCATAATCCTATAACTATGTTTGTACCAATTTTGTTTTATTATTCTACCTTATATTCAAACCAAACATTAAGAAATGTTTGTTTTTGCTAAGAAGCTTACGGTAAGTCAAAGACAATGAAGTTGTAAGAAAGATGTATATGGAATCTTTAAAACATGCTAAGAAATTTGAATAAAAGTAGACATTAGAAGTGAGTGTGAAATAATCTAGTGAAATGACTATATATCCTTGATCACATTGCTGAGAAATGTGTGGCCAAATATGTTAACGAATTGTGAACAAAATATGGCAATATGACACTAGTGGGCATCTAAAGATTTTTCGATGCACAAATTTGCATGAGATGATTTGTGCTTAATTCTTAGAATTTAAACTACAATTTACTCTCAACTTGTTCATTTTAAAAACAAAACACTCTCAATACGGAGCCTTGAGCTCCTCTTAGCAGCATTGGAGGTTTATTATGCAAATCCAAAAGTTGAAGATGTTAACTGGAATTGAGATTAAATTCAATGGTTTTTATTGCAAAAGTATTATTTATTTTTTTCTTCCTGATAAAAGTGTAATTGGTCTCAGTCTCTCAGCTTCGAAGCACGAGCGGAGCGAGGCAAACCAAAAAATCCAGTTCGCTTCGTTGCCATCTTCAATTCTTGTTCATCTTCCTCAAATTCATCTCTAAATTTCCAACCTTTACTTCTTTAATGGAGATTCTCCTTCCCGATCAAGCAACCTCCAACGGTATATGAATCTTCTCTCTGAAAAATTAGGTTTTTCGTCTGATTCTATGCATGTCGTTCCCAAATCTGATTTTGAGTTCAATCGGTTAACTTTCTTCTGTTGTTCATATAGAGAGTAATGTGACTATGTGGCTTTGTTCAGGGTACTACAAGAATGTGCATAAAAGAAAGCAAAATCAAGTTGATGATGGACTCTGTTCCGAGTCTGAAGCAAAGCGGTTAAAGAGTTCATCCAAAGTGATTGATTACTCTAACCCATTTGCAATTAGTAACATGCTTGAAGCATTAGATGGTGGTAAATTTGGGAGTGTTACTAAAGAGTTGCAAGAGATAGCTGATATGAGGATGGATTTGGTTAAGCGTTGTATTTGGTTATATCCATCGTTAGCGTATACCGAGTTTGAAGATGAGAAGACGATGATTAGTTTGGATAATCAACAGGTTGTGGAAGGTGGTGTTATTAATTTGGATGATGATGATGATGATAATGATGATAAAGCTATCTGTGTTGTTCCTTCGTCTGAGATTGTGGTTCTTGATTCTGATGATGAAGATAATGAGAGGCAGAGGCCTATGTATCAGTTTCAGTCTACTCTTGTACAGCTTCAGAAGAATCTAGGGGATGTGACTCCAGTAACGCCGCAATTCACTTTCGAGGAGGTCGATTTAGGGAGGAGCAAGGAGATGCCTTCTGTAATTAAGGCCGTGGTGGTAAGTTCTGTTTTTTCTCTCGAGCTATCGAGTACTGCGTTTGAACTTGATTAAAGGTTACAAATTAATGTCACCTGTGTTTACAAACTAGCAATACAAGAGGTTTAGTTTTTGTTTATTTGTAATTTTCACAGGAGGGAGAAACAATTAGAGGCAAAGTCGTTGCCATAGAAAATGGTGTGGCTAACGAAAAAGGTGTCTACGTGGGGGTTGAGGATGATGACAGTGATAATGAGTCTGAAGCAGCAGATGAAGATCTTGGTAATATCTGGAATGAAATGGCCATGTCAATAGAGTGTTCCAAGGTATATATGTCTCAACATACAGTGCTCCTAGGGCTTGATGTTGCATCTCTTAGGTTTCTTGTATTTGAGATAGTTAGTAGAAAGCTCATTTGAAGAACTTCGTTCCTTAAATTGATCTTTTTTTTTGCCACTTTTCCTGCTTTGTTCATTTCTGATTACAATAAAATGTACAGGATATAGCAGGGGAGACTTCGCATAAGCAAAAGGCAGATGTAGTGGAAGACTGTGAGCACTCATTTATTCTAAAGGATGATATGGGTTATGTTTGCCGTGTCTGCGGAGTTATTGAGAAAAGTATACTAGAGATAATTGATGTGCAATTCACTAAAGTAAGTATCCTTTTTTCTGATACTAAGCTAATGTAGCTTTCAAGGAAAAGTATGTTTCTTGGTACTCGACAAATTTTGTTGTCTGAATACGATAATAGGGTAGGACTTCTTCATACATGTAGTCTATTTTCATTACCTCCATTATGCCTAGGTTTTTTAAATTTTGTTATCTAACTGTTTTGGAAACTGTGATATCCATATGATCTTGAGATTGATTCCCAAGTCAGAGTCTGACGGAGCTTCTAATTTTTCTTGTAACTTTCATTGTAGGCAAAACGAAACACAAGAACATATGCCTCTGAAACTAGAAATAAAAGGTTTGGCGAATCTGATGCTGAACTTAAGTTTTCTGAAGAAGGGCTGATGATAGGTGGACTTGCTGCTCATCCAACGCATGCTGACAAAATGAAGCCTCATCAAGTTGAGGGATTCCAGTTCCTTTGCAGCAATTTAGTGGCAGACGATCCTGGTGGTTGTATCATGGCTCATGCTCCAGGTTCTGGAAAAACCTTCATGATCATCAGTTTTATGCAGAGCTTCCTTGCCAAGTATCCTCAGGCTAAGCCACTGGTTGTGCTTCCAAAGGGAATTTTGTCTACTTGGAAAAGAGAGTTCCTGAGATGGCAAGTTGAGGACATACCACTGCTTGATTTCTATAGTGCTAAAGCAGAAAACCGAGCACAGCAGCTGGCTATCTTGAGAAAATGGATGGAGAAGGAGAAGAAGAGTATCTTATTTCTTGGGTACAAGCAGTTCTCAACTATTGTGTGTGATGATACAAGTACCGACTCACTTTCTTGCCAGGAGATACTGCTCAAAGTACCTACGATCCTCATTTTGGATGAAGGACACACTCCAAGGAATGAGGACACAAATGTATTGCAGTCCCTTGCCCAAGTCCAAACACCAAGAAAAGTTGTCCTCTCAGGAACGCTTTATCAGAACCATGTAAAGGAGGTTTTCAACATTTTGAACCTCGTTCGACCCAAATTCCTCAAATTGGATACCTCCAAGTCTATCGTGAAGAGGATATTGAGTTATGCTCCTATATCTGATGTCAGGTCCCATATGGGAAACAATTCAGATGTGTCTTCGGCCTTCAATGAAATTGTGGAGTACACACTGCAGAAGAGCGAGGATTTCACGATGAAAATTAATGTAATCCAAGATTTGCGGGAGATGACAAAGAAAGTGCTTCATTACTACAAAGGAGATTTCCTAGATGAGCTTCCTGGACTTGCTGATTTCACTGTGGTTCTTAATCTGTCTCCAAGGCAGTTGAACGAAGTGAAGAAGTTAAGACGTGAGAAGAGAAAATTTAAGGTTTCGGCTGTGGGAAGTGCAATTTACCTTCACCCGAAGCTGAAAGTTTTCTCTGAGAAGGCTGATGATGTCTCTGATACAACTATGGACGAAATGCTAGATAGGCTAGATGTGAATGAAGGTGTCAAAGCAAAGTTCTTCCTTAACTTGATAAACCTGTGCGACTCAGCAGGTGAAAAGCTCTTGGTTTTCAGCCAGTATCTCATTCCTCTGAAGTTTCTTGAAAGATTAGCTGCTGTAGCTAAGGGTTGGAAACTAGGGAAAGAAGCTTTTGTTCTTACAGGCGATACCAGTCCTGAGCAGCGTGAGTGGTCAATGGAAAGGTTTAACAATTCGCCAGATGCCAAAATCTTCTTTGGTTCGATAAAAGCATGTGGAGAAGGAATCTCACTTGTTGGAGCATCTCGCATACTGATATTGGATGTTCCTCTAAACCCTTCTGTGACACGCCAAGCCATCGGGCGGGCTTTTCGACCCGGACAAACAAAGAAGGTTCATGCATACAGATTGATTGCTGGGTCATCACCTGAGGAGGAGGATCACAACACTTGCTTCAAAAAGGAAGTCATCTCAAAGATGTGGTTCGAGTGGAACGAGTACTGCGGATACAGAAACTTTGAGGTAGAGACAATTGATGTGGATGATGCTGATGATATGTTCCTTGAAAGTCCTACCTTAAGAGAAGACATAAGAGTTCTCTACAAAAGGTAAAGTCAGTTTTGACCAGATCCACACATAACTCTTTACGATCACATTTCTCTGTTGGTGATCGTCCTCAATTTTCATTTTTCAGGTAAATGCAGACATAATGCAGACGGAAACTTGTTCTTCAGGTTTTGGACATGCTTAGGTTTTAGGAATCTGTCAATAAGATAACTTCGGGAAGATCCTTTTTGAATTTTCTGAAAGATTTTTAGCATTTTAAGTGTAGTTTTGATGTCAAACATTTGGTCTTATGTGCCGATGACCATATAATTAGTCTATTATATTAACCATTAAGAAAAAATCGTTTCTAATCTCAGATTGTGCTCATCTTCTCCTCATTAATCTACATTTTCGTTGTTTTGGGTTTACTTTCACAAAAGAATACATTTCTACACCTTTCTATCCTCCTCATCAAGCTACAAAGTCATGCAACAATTGTGAAGAGCCAAGCCGGTGCTGGTGGTTGCGAGAGTTTAAGTATTGGAGATCGGTTCCCGGGATGGTATTCTCGTAGTTATCTATCCCACCGGACATAGGAACATCGCTGTCGGAATTCTGAATCCCCAATGTTAAAGACATCCCACCACTACCATTTCTTGTTATGTCAGTCACCATCATGAACCGGTCACCACCACGGGCCACCGTGCTTTGTCCAATGCTACTGCTTGGCACACTAGATACACGTCCGTTGTTGGAATTAGACTCAGTTTGCTGCTCTTGAATGTCTGTGATTTCTGGTGTGTTTTCAGAAGACAGGTTGGGATCATTCTCCTCCAATGCATCTGTGAATTCCTCCTTGTACATCTCCTCAACCATTGGTTTCCAGAGACGCACCCGCGCATTTATGAACCAGTTCGATACCTTTCAACAATCATCAAACGAAACAATGAAAAATGAACACAACAAAATGAAAAGGATTCAATGAGAGAAACGACACAAAAGCTAACAGTGCAATACCTGGCCTCGGCTCAACCCCGTTTGTCTAGCGAGCATGATCTTGTCTGAATCCTTTGGATAGCTAAGTTCAAGGTTTTGAAACAACTGGTCAGAATCTCTTGTGATCAATCAAGAAATTCAGAAGTGTAGTAGAGAGACTTACGGGTGGAGGAAGTGCTCGAACAGCCAAGCACGGAGAACCAAAACAGAGGAATCAGGTAAACCGCGTTGAGGCCGCCAAGTGTGAGGTTGCATAACACCTAACCGCTGCAACGCTCTTTGTTGCCTTACCTGTTGATCAACATTCCTTAACCTGCTTATCCCCACTCCTCTCCCATCTGATCCATCCTGTTGCCCTCCTAAACTTTTCCTTATCACCAAGATTTGTCCGGATATCGCATCCCTTAAGCAACGAAAATGCCTAGAGATGGTCTGAAGTGCAAGGGCCGTGTATGGTTTGGCTGCTCCACATCCCGCTATTACATCGAAAGATGACACAACTATCTGCATCTGATGGTAGTACTGCTTGTAATTTCTATCCACCTTTAAACAACAAAGAATCAAACAGCACTTTATGTTATCAAGAACAATCATTTACAAGCATAGAGGACATGTTATAAGGCGAATTACCTCATCTAATATCGATAAAAGTTTCGACAACTTGCTCTGCAGTTCTTGTCTCTCTGCTTGAGGGATTTCAGCAATATTCGTCTGATGATTCTTCTCTTTCACTTCATCAATCTTGTCTCCCTGTGGCTGAAACTGCTTCAGAGCTTTCTTAACATTAACAGCTTCATCAAGAAGCTCTTGAGCAGCCTTGAGATACTTTGAGTTATGAATGGTTCGAGTAAAACCCGAAACAACCTGTGTTGCATACTCATTGTTATTATTGCCTCTCGATGTCTCAATCTGCGAGCTGAGGCCAAGACGCATCATCACAGGGAAGCGACTCCTGTCATTGTCTTCTTGATCTCTCCAAGAACCAGAATCTTGAATCTCCACCATTTGTGAAACTCCACCAAGATTTGACAATACTTGAATCTCTTTAGAAGCTGAGACATTATTAGTTGCTTCTCTAGGAAAAGTCTCTGAGAAAGAATTTGTGTAGCTCATTGCGTTTCCAGGGACAAATTCTGGTCTGGAATAAATCTCACTTGAGCCAGTTTTGTAATAAGTTGCCATAGTCTTCTTCTTCTTCTTCTTATGATCAGATCAAAACCATCAAACAAGGATTCATCTGTTTCAGAATCAAACACAAATCAACACTAAGCCCTTTTACTTCACTCACATTATGTAATAAAATCATAATTCAACAAGGAGAAATTAGAAATTGAACCAATGAAACATGTGAATGAGAAAGTAAGGATAGATTAAAAAATTACCAGTAAATCATCTGCTGACTTTGTGGGTGTTAAAAGGAGGAGACACTAAATCTCAAATTGAAAAAGGAAAAAAAAATATTTTTTTTTAAGTCTTGATGATCCCAAGAACACAAAATTAACAACAAACCCTCCTCAAATCAAAATCTTGATAATATAAAATGTTTGACCCACACAAAAGATTCAAGAAAACAAAAGACCCATCTCCCTAAAGCAAGTTTTTAACTTTCCTTTTGAGGTAGAAGATAATGAATATTTCTTTAAAGCTGGTTGGTTCTTGAACTTGCTTCTTGATTCTTCTTCTTCTTGTTTCTTGGAGTCAAGTCTTTTGGTGAAGATAACAAAAACAAAAACAAAATGTTTTAAAAAGTAAAAATGTGTTAAGGAGATTCTGTTCTTAACAAACCAGTTGGTAGAGATCTAAACCCTTCTCTAAAACCTAATCCTAAACCCTAATGCCTCTCTCTATCTCTCTTTCGTGTCTCTGGCCTTTTTGTTTGTTTGCTGCAATAAAATTGATTGAAGCTATAACCACCATACAATCATTTTCATTGTTTTTATATTATTATTTTTCTTTTAGTTGTCAATATGATATATTGATATATTCCTAATTGGTTACCAAAATAAAGATATTCTAATTCTTCTAAGATGATGTGTTTATCAAGCATAGTTTTGGAGAGTAAGACAAAATTTAATGGACGTTTTTCATATCTAATTTTGGTGCAATACAATTTTTAAATAATTCATGTCCAATTTGTAACCAAAGATATTTTATTTACTTATAGACTAGTCCATCTTTATTAGAGTGGGAATAATTTGAGTAGCCCTTAAGACAACGTGTCAAAGTTTACACACGGATGTATATTTTCAACTTCTTTTCAATAAAATAATTTCACTTTTTTGGTATGCTTTTTACAGTTTCTTCTTCTTTGTCTTTAAATTTCACTTTTCAACATTTGAAAATTTTGGTTCTATCAAATAATATCTGTGATGGTCCACATGCTATACTATACTACTACATAATTTGCATTTGCATACAACTATTTTTGCAAGGAAGAAAATAACACTAAACACATATATTCTTATCTCTTTCTCATAAATAATGAATAAGTGGCCTTTTTCCCCACTTAGCTTTGTCTTCTTGTGCCCACAGAGTTTAGGTATTTATGGATTAATTCCTTTTTTCCACAATTTTTCTAACTTTTACTTTCTTCTCACTGAGTGTAGGTCCATATCTTGTCATGGAGGAGGACTCTACGATTTAAGAAGCAGACACAAATTGAGTAGATACCAACTCCAAGACATTTATAATAAGTCTCATTTGTGGTACGAAATGGTGGTAAGAGCCTAAGAGCACACGCACTGGTACATTTTTAAGTCGGGTGTGAGCATTAAAGTATTTGAAAATAAGAGAAAGTGGGATTGGAGTCGCAAGTGGGATGTAAGGTTACAACCGGATGTGGGATTACGTGGCAGCGTCTGGTTGGTCATTTATTTTTTGTAATTGGAAAATTAAAATCATTTGGCAACTTTTTACATTATTTTATTATTAAATCCCCACTAATACACACCCACCCACATGCACCACTGTGGGTGCTCTAAGAAATAAGTCTAGTTAAAATTTGTGGTGAGAGATGTTAGTGTGATAGAAAATGGTGGTACCACTTTTTCTTTACTACTACACTGAAAGGTTATATCCCGGTTATATAGGACGTAGTACACATTATACAACAACGGTATTAATGGAAAAAACTCGAATTAACATGTGTATATTTTTTGCATGGAGAGACCAAAATAGACATTTTTGTGAATTAAGTGATTTAGTTAGTTTCTATTTAAAAAAATTACGAAATGTACACAGTTAATTTATCTATTCGTGTGTTGAAACATAGGTAAGTATTTTATTTACACTGCAAATTTCGAGGATAAAAACGTGAAAAAGAAATAAAAATAGTAATGAATATATATAATTTGGGGTGGATAAGTGAAGAACGTGAAATGATGGGTGGCGAAGGAAAGAAGGGAAAGATGTCTGAATTGGGACAGAGAGATGGCAGAAGGAGAAAGAGAGAGACCTGGACAATGGACAGAGTCAGTGGATAGGGAAGAGTGTCTTAATAATATACGACGACCAACCAGCCCTTCTTATTATTAATACTATTAATCTATATAATAATAACAGATTGTCAAAAAAAAAATCTATATAATAATAACAAAAATAATAATGGAAAATGGACAGAGATAAATATCGAATATGACATGAAGCCGAAGATTTTTGGTTGGGAAATAAGAGAATTGTAAATGTTTAAAGCTTTTTGTTCCCTACTCACGTTGAAGTTGAGATTCTATTGGTTTTAGTAAAAGAATTAATACACAAAAACACTCAGATTCTGTTGCTAAAATAAAGTTGAAATAAGTTTAATTACCATACCATGATAAGCAACCACTTCCACACTAATACATGCACCAAATGCTCATTAGTTACATAATTTGGATATAATATTAATCCTAGAGCCACATTTCTCTAAGTCTTTGGTCCCCTGAAGGATTAGATGAACCAGCTTGCTTTTCAATTAAGCCAAGTTCTTTCTGGAGAGCTCTTCTTCAATTACATAAACTAAAAGGAAATATTCCCGTTGCCGGAACTTGAACCCGGGTCTCTCAGGTGAGAGCTGAGTATCTTGAACAACTAGACTACAATGGAATGTCATTATTCATTAATGTAATCTTCATTAATTTTACTGCTAACTAATCTGGTTCATAATAATGTGACAAAACAAAAACATTGCGAGTACAATTATCTTGATCTCTTCAAAATGTCTACCAACTTATCTATAGAAAGAGTCATTAACTCATTATGGACGCGTCTGTCCCAACCATTAAAGCTATTGAATCTGCGCATATGATTGTCACAGAACCATACTAAATTGACACAGTTTGAGATTAGCGATACCGCAAAACCATAAGCCTTTCTGGCAAAATGGCGGATTTAGATTCATTTATAATATTATAGACAAACCTTATGAGCTTGTCTTTGCTCTTTTCCATACAATGACAACACCATAGAAATCAGACGAAGCCAACAAGTTCTCTCCATGGTTCCACGCAACACACATTACTGGAAACCTGTGACCCTGCAGCATCCATTTCTCACAACTCGTGAGTCTGGTTTCCTACAATTTTTAATTCCTACACAAATATCAGATGTAAGAAAAAAAAATTGTCTAACCTGTAGCTTGTTTACGCATGTGTGCTTTGGTTTGGTTAGATCATAGAAGTAGACATTCGAGTCCTCGCTCCCAGCAACTGTAGTTTCAAACAAGAAGAAACGTAGAGCAGATTACTAGCAGTTCTAAAGAGATATATGTATTTACTATTACCAAAATCATAGGTAAATGAAGGATTGAAATTCAAACCTATGTATTCTCCTTTCTCTAGGGATAATAGCGGGCAAAACGATGCTTGGATTCTGTGTATTCGCGGGGCTAATTTGAGGGAGCAACGCAAAGTCAGATAACCTTTTATCTGAAGAGCAACACTGCATCACCAACACAAAGCAGAACAATCAATTATAAGGATCAATAAGGAAAAAAAAGTGAGCAAATCAAGAAACAAAAGGAGAAGAAGTTCTGCTGCTGAACCTAAAGAAACACAAGTTTCCGTCCTGAGTACATGTGAGCAGAACAGGGCCTGATGCCAGGAGGGAGAAGCTTCGGTACTTCACAGTTGTGACAGGGGATTTGTGATTAGTACGATGGCGATGAGACCGGGATAATGAACCTGTATGCGAATCCATGCTAACTGAATATATAGTTCCCTGCAATTATTATTAACTACCTTGTAAGAACAATGTTGAAACGCCACAGAAACTTTTATCTAGTTAATGGTCAAAGCATCATGTTACCCCTTCTAGCATACCAAACAATGCAAAAATTGATCAGTCTTGACCACAATATGGGTAATCGGTATAGCCAACCATAACCATAATAGACCATCTCCCTAGTTTTTATCTTTTGACATCAGTATAGAGAAAAGTTACCTGCCCATCTCCACAGAAAATTATTTGGCCAGTGTGATCATGGTCCATAGATGTCACCTCATCCTCGAACAACAGTTTTTTAATAATTCTCCCAGTGCTGAAATTGAACACCTACTTTGTCAAGCAGAGAGGTGTTAGGCACAAAATAAGTAAACAATTCGAGGACAAAAAAAGCAAAATACAAATGTACTTAGCTACAAGGAGTAGTGCAGTTACCGTGAGTTCCTTGTTTGCATTGCCAGCAGAGAGGAAATTGTTATTAACCTGTTGAAAATATGATAAAATATCTTCAATGGAGAAGCAAGAGAAAACCACAAACATCCTCACTCAGTATCTTATATGAGACGACTTTCACAATCAAAACAAAAAGTTGCAAGTTGTTACAAGGGAAAAATAAATAGATGATGAAGAACATCAAACTTACAGGGTGGAAACGGATACAAAACTGTGGAGAGATTCCATATATAACTCTAATACAAACGCCTCTTGACAACTCCCATACTCGTATTGTCTTATCAAGTGATGATGACGCGATATATTGATTGTTTGACGAGAAGTCAAAATCTGAATTTTAAGAAACAATAAAGTAAGAAGTTTGTATTAATATTAGACATAGGATCTTAAAAAATGTCATACATACACACTTATGCTCTATCCATTACAGATAATTTCTTTTACATTTTCCACTCAAATCTTACCCCTAACAAAGCATAGAAAGTAAGTACCATGCATCATATTCTCAGATTTTTTCAAGAGCAATTCAGGGTAGCAGATACAGAAAAGACAAAGGTAACAGTACCAGTCAATCGAACCTGTGACATCTTTAGAGTGCCCTGTCAACTGCTTGAGGACAGAAGGCTCTTCTAAGAGACTACAAACTGTTAAGCTTCCATCTGATGCTCCATATGCAAGTAAATCAGAACTCATGTGGCCAAACTTGAGAACAGTAACTGCATAAGAGATACACAGACTCACTCTTAGAACAAAAAAAAAACACAAAGTGAGTCAACTAAACACAAACAACAATAAATAAAATACCAGAAGATTTGCATTGATCGAAGATGCAATGCATTCCAACAAACGAATAAGCATGTTCAACACCACCACGACGATAAGAACTATCACCATCACTCAAACTTGAACTAAAACTCGCTCTACGGCTTGAAACCTGATTAACACTCCGTAAATCCTAGAAATAAAACACCTGAATAAGTTCATCGCAGAACAAACAAAGTCCATTGATAAGAAGTGATGAATTCTACTTACTCTACTAGAAGTAAAGCTCTCAGCTTCAAATTGATGAGAAAGAGGACTCGGAGACGGTAACCATCGACCACTGAAGCATCAACCAGTAAATTAACCTGACGTCAGAATTGTATAAGCAACCAAACACACAGAATTGTATACCGAAAACAAGTAAGATTAGGATCTAAAACCTGTTTCCTGGACTACTTAAGAGACTAGGCGTTCTCAGATTCTCCCATTTTCTAGGTTTGCTAATGAAATTACGATATGCAACATATCCTTTTCCATTGCATCTCCAATCCTTCAATGAAACCACAAATCAAACCTCAGCTCTATAACACACATGAAACAAGGAATTTAAAAGCTTAATCTCTATGCTCACATAACGGCGAGAGATAACACCAGATTCAGCTTTCCGATGAAGAAGAATCCGGCGAATTCCGATGTATTGTGGATCTGAATCGGTTGTTGTTGGCTGCATCATACAGCTTATAAACTCAGGATCCTTTGATTGTTTCTTAGCTTCGTCTTTCTCACCGATCTCTACCTCTGATGATCCGGTTTTCTCCTCCATTTTGATCAATTTTCCGAGCATCCAACTTGGTCGTTAAGCCTCCGTAGATCGAATCGTTGCAAAGTGATGAGTGAAAATCAATCAATTGATCAGTCTCAAGTTCTGAATTCTGAGAATTTTGAAAACTTTAAATCTGCAAGTCGAAGATGACGAATCATGAAATTTTTACAAGAAACTAAAATAACCGAATTATATTACAAATTAAACCCTCTACTTTATGAAAATTCGTTTTTTTAACGGTTGTCTTTTTGTCCATTCAAAGAGATCCACTACTAAAGTTCACTTATTAATCCCCTTATTAACCAACTTCACTAGTTTTTATTTACTTATTTCCTCTGTTTTAAGGGTTGGATCAACTGTTCTGAGTTCATAACCATTTTAGATATATGTTTGTAGTAGTGATTCAACATTTTAAGCTTCTGAAGCTTTCATTCCCATTTTTTTATTCTACATTGCGAAAATATTCGTGCCGATTGTCTAGCTAAAAAAGCAAGAGTACGAGGTTCTTTATACTCCCATGTAAGATCATCGGTTCTGGATTTCCTCTCTCAAGAAGAGAGTCTTCGTCCGATAACCTAATAAAATGATGTTTTGGTGGAAAAGAAAAGAGGTTGGGTCATATTTCCCTCTTAGAATTTTCATATAACACCAGTTCCACATAGACTTTGACCGTCGTTCTAGTTCCTCCTAAAATGAAAGTTCTAAATTTATTTGTACACAAAACTAAATTTCAAAATCTGTATAAAAAAACTATTAAAATTTTATATTTTATTTCTTATTAGTGTACTGTACTCTATACCCAAAGTAATGGTTAGTGGCTCTCTTTGATGGGCTATATCGAACAAAGTGAAGGTCCTCCGTATGCAAGAATTGTAAGCTAGTTAACCGAGTCAAGTCTCAAAATGCCATGATAAACCAGTCAACAACATGAATGAAAATTGTTGGGTATCCAGTCTCATGAGAAATATGGTACGAAGTTTCATCTTTATCAGGCACTGATGAGAAGAGTAAAAGTCCTTATTAAAACTTTAAAGTCCCTATGAGCTAGGTCTCTTGGTTTGCGTTAAGCCAAAAAAAAATGAGTATACTAACTTACTAAGCATAAATTAGTTGTGGAAAGAGACAATTGGGAAATGTGGTATAAGGAAAAAATTCAAAAAGATAACTCACTCATGACAATACCAAACAGAATGTGTATTCACCAGTCTTCTTCTTCTTCTACACTTTTTTTTTGTCTGATTAACGTTTGGTCTTAAAGGCACAAAGAACTCACTCACAATGCATTTATTCATTGTTATTCAATCATAGAGATACAACAAATTATATTCTTATAGATTCTCAAGAATTACATGAAGGAGAATCATCAATAGGATGCCAGAATCTGTTGAAAAACCACATTCTGTCACCCTCCACCGCGTAACCATCATGGTTCCTGTGCCATCCATAGCGAGCGTGCGTCCTGTTCTTTATCGAGAATATCGCATGCCCGAAGCTTGCTTCTCTGTAGGCAGAGTACTTAGGCTGAGGCTCAGTCATTCTACAAGAAACCATATCACACATTCAAACTCATTCTCTGTAGAATCTAATCGAAAATCGGTTCCAGTGATAAGAAATGTTAGCTTACTTGGTGGCCAATCCCTCAATATTGCCTCCATCACCAATGGTGATGTAGACTGGAGCTGATTGATCTTTGACTGGAGTGCAAATGCCGTTAACAACATTGTAAGCTATGTTTGATACACGTTCCTGGTTTCATGATAGCTCACATTTCTCAGTATCTATAGTTTAAAGAGACATAATGAGCCAAAGTTATTGATCTTACCGATCTTTCGTAGGCATGGACATGACCTGCAAAAACTACATCTACTTTGTACTTGACAAACCACGCCTCATACATCACTCTCATGGTTTCACCTTCCATGTAATGATAATCATAGCTGTTGTACCACGGTGAATGCATCAGAACAATCAACCATGGAGTTTCCGTCCTGTTAACTTTTGGGAACTCCTCTTCGAGCCATTGGTATTGTGGAGTGTATTTTCCTGTCCAAGAAAAGATAGAATATTCAGGTCCTCTTACTCTTGGTTTAAGAATATTGCACAAAAAGGGTCAAGATTTTTAAGATGCCTTGCCATATGCTGAATATGAAGCTAGCACGATTATGTAAGCCGATCCTCTCTTAATCGAGTACCAGAATGGTTCTGTGCTGCCTGATGACCGATAAGGAGTACGGTACCTATGCGTGAATGGCTTAAACGGTCTGTTTTCCCCCTACAGATTAACATAAAAACAATCCATCTCAATCTTTAGTCTAACTAGATGCTCTTATAGCATTTTTAAGCCTAAAGCAAAAACAAAGAAGATGAAGCAAGAAGCATTACGATCTCGGGGGCAAAATCGAGTTCATGGTTTCCGGTAGTCCAAATCCAAGGCTGATATGCTGTGCTTCTTTCAGCAAATCTTCCCCAACTGTCCCATCTCCTATTGTCATGATCCGGATAAGTATCAGCGTATGAGATATCGCCAACAAACAAAACCGCTTGCCCTTTTGTTGGGTTATTCTCATAATGTGTCAAGGTTATGTTTGAGTCATAACTCTGCCCAAGATCCCCTGCAAAACAAAAATTTGCAACACAAGATCAAGTCCATGGGAGAGGCTAATAAAATGCATTTTTTAAAAAAAGTTAAAACCATGACACTATGTTTCAGGACAATACCAATGAGACCAAAAGTGTAGGGAACATCAGGACCAATCTCAGGAGGAGTGAAGAACCAAAACATACGCTCTGTTTGTCCCACACCTACTACATAATAGTACTTGGTGTCATACTGTAATAAGAAAACCACAACATCAGCTAACAACAATACTAGCAAAGATGATGGTAGTATTAAAAATGATGATGGTAAACCTCTAAGTTTCTGATGGGGCAATGATGGATATAACCAGAAGTATAATTGTAGAACTTGTAAGTATTGGTTTTGCCATGAGCTTTATGCTTTTTAGAGCTATTATCTTTCCAGTAAATGACTTTGTTAGATCCTTTAGCTTCTTGTGTAACCCATGATACTATCACTGCCTTCCCTTCTACATCTCCTTGTGTTATATGCACCTTTTTGCCCCAAAATCAAAAACCCATTAAATCAAATTGTTTTTACAAATTAAGAAATGAAAAAGTTAATATCTTTATAAACTCCCAATTAACAAGCTTGAATCTATCAGAATCGTCCAATAAAAAGCTTTTTTGCCATTAGAACAAGATTAAACAATAGAAAACAAAAAGTGAAACCTAATATTTAAAATGAAAAAGATAACTAAAACACCACCTACCAAAATAAAGCTTGGAAATTTAATAATTATAAACAGAACCCACCACAAAACTCATAAAAGACTGTTGAATTTATTAAAAAAAAATGTAAAGATTTGAAAGAAAATTGTGAAACCTGTTGAGGAGCATTATAGCCACAAGGAACACGAAAAACATCGCTATCAAGAGGCATATCAATGGTTGCTTCTAATTTTCTGACATATCTACTGGTGACGCCTCCATTACAGAGTAAGCTGTTGAGGACAAAACACAGAACAAGAACAATGGAAAAGAAATCTGATTTTCGGACACGATCCATTTTTGGATTTTTTTCGATAAACAAGGGGAGAAAAACCTTATAAGAGAAGAGACAGGGGAAATGTATGAGGCTTAAGGTACGGAATATTCGTTAATGGAGCCGTGTCGTCAACACTGTTTCCATCGAGTTTTTTTTTGTTTGGGGAAATTAAAAGAAAAGAAAAGAATATAATAATTCTATTTCTTTAACTTTGGTTTTTGTATTGTTTGACCCAAATGTCCAAATGTCGATGTGGGATAAGTTATCGAACGGTTGGATATTTATTTTAATAATCTGGTCACACGAATCTATGCTTCCTCTTTTGTTGTCTTCTGTTTATTTTATTTTTTAATAGTATAGATATTATTTGTCAACTGTAACTTTTTTTCTCTTCTTGATTTTGGCATTTTGTTACACAAGAATTTAAAAATCATGCCGTTAGGAACGAGAAAAAAAAAGCCAGTGGTGCACAGTCAATTTTAGTTTTTTTTTTTTTCAATTATATTTTAAAATAAAAATATTTGAACCAACTAAAGAACAGATCCAGCATGAACACTCTAAATAAAGAACCAAATAAAAACATTTAAACCAAATAAAGAACAGATCCAGTTTGAACACTCTAAATAAAGAATCAAATAAAAACATTTGATCCATGGATTATTTTCATTTTCTGGTTTTGTGGAGTGCCAAGAAAATTAAAGTCAATTACTAGCCCACCAAGTTTCATTGAATTTAGTCTCTTAATACAATTTTATAATGAAAGAATATGTGAATTAGCTGAAAATGTTAATATATATAGTACCTATATGGAATATATGGAATATATGAATTAAGTGAATGATCATTTTATGAACAGTATGAACAAAAATAATTCTCTACCATATTGACATTTCTTTCTGTTTTGTGCAGTTAAAATTTTGTGTGTCCTTACTCATCTTTATTTTTTCCTCTCTTCATAGAAATTGAGTCAAACTTACCATATTACTCTACTCCACATATGCTATAGTTTGAATTTTTAAAATGATTACATAACATTCAAAAAATGGATATGTGAGTCTAACTGTGGTGAAATCCTACTATCTAAAAACATATAAATAAAATGTTATTATATTTTATTTACCAATGTACACAAAATATTATTTAATTTCATATGTTTAAAATAAAGGCCATGCATGATATAGGTACATAGGAAAAAAAATAGAAAATAGATATGTGTTTCTAATTAGTGAGAAACACGTCATGCTATTTTAAAAACATAAAATCAAATGCTATTTTTATTCAATTTACTAATCTGATGCAAAATAGCCTTCAATTTCATTTGTTTTTAATAGAAGTTATATAGGTAAATATATAACAAAACACATTTTTATATGTTTGTTAAACATGAAAACATGTTAGATTGGTAAATAGAACAAACTAACATTATACTATATGTTTGACAATAGCATGACATGAATTTACTTGGAATTTCAGTTTTGTTTTGTGTGTTTGTTTTAAAAATTCAAATTATGGTAATATTTGAAAAAAAATAGTATTGCAAAATTAACTCGATTTGCATAAGCATAAAATAAAAATGAGAAGAGGTACAAAAAATTCTTATTGCATGGGAAATAAAAAGAAATGTTAAAGATCGTAGAAGATTATTTTTTTGGTTAGTCATATGCAGGAGGACCTATATATATAACATGGTTACTGGATGGATTACTGTTTTTCATACGATTATTGGCCAAAGTTAATAAATAGCTATTTTTTCTTAGTACATCGACATCAATTATAGATTAAAATAAACCAATCGCAATATATTTAAATAACAATAAATTGATTATATGCTCAAATAGACTTAGGTCGTCAACCAAGGCATATGCTTATGGATGGACAATGATAAACGATTTATTCCATTCCCACATAGACCATGCAATATGATTGGTCCAGAAATTTCGCAAAAGCAAACGAAATAAATATTGTGATTAACAAAATAGACCTCTATAATCATATGATCAATCTCTTTACAAAGATAAAACCATCCGATGTAGTTCTAGACAAACAGGCAAAAATATATGTATTGGAGTTCTTTTTTTTTTGGTATCATGATATGTACTGGAGTTCAATCAACAATATTTTTAATCTATATGTGCTTCCGGAATAATAAGATATCAATATCGGAAAACAAAACGAAGCATTTGCCTAGCCATATCAAAATACAATCAAGTTGACTTATAAGAAGTCTAGGTGAGAGAGATGGAGCACTAAGAGAGGTAAAGGAGCAAGGAGTTCCACGTCCTTACGAATGAGAAACGAAGAAAGTTAGAGACCAATCGTATCGTTTACTTTTTGACGCATGATCGCTTGTCATTTTAGACCATACCATATCTATCAAAATCCAATAATGTTCTAATTGTGGACCCAATTTTCAATCTTTTATGTAACTTTCTTCTTTTGTACAATCCACCTTTTCATGCTATAAAGTTTGTAATTGACATGCTCAAACTTTTTTAAATGATTATTAGTCGCTCTTTTTTTTTTTTTTCAAGAATTGTATCATGTGAAAATATAACTAACTTCATCAAGAAAATAACAGTTTAGGGGAATAGGAGTGAAGACTAACTAAATCAGAAAAAATATCTATATACTAATTAAGAAGCATAGTATTGTTTTGCTCATGTGGAAATATTACATACATAGACTTAAAAAGGTATGATTGATGATACAAAATGGTAAACGAGTTTTAACCAAAAAAAAAGCGGTGAACAATACCGGAATAGTTAAAACATATAAGAGATAGCGATACACAAACATATTGGTGATATTGTTTTTGATATTGCTAATTTTTGTTGTTTTTGTAATTGGTAACTAATAAGGAAAACATGATGGAAAATAAAGAAATATCAAAGGGAACTAACACAATATTTTAGGGTTATTGTATGGATGAGTTTGAAGGATTTTACCATTCGTTTAACTGACGACCGACGAGTGATTTTTTCCAATAACATGATATGTAAGTATAATTTATTAATTAGAAATTAGATCACGAAATTGAATTTCAATTATTTGTGGAAATATATCCATTGGTAGAACCTCTGATAAAAGAACGAGATGTTGTCTATGAATCACTTACATATTCTTCTGTTCCAGGAACGATTCATCTTTCCCGAACGCAGCATACAACTCTCCCTTGTACTGCACTCTCCAAGTGTGCTTAGAAGTCAGTTTTGGTTACTTTCTTCTATTGCCATTTAGTTAATTAGATGCCCACAAATTGTCATTTACTTAATTTGTATTCCATTTTTTTGTCATTTACAAAAATTGCGTCTATTAAGCCTATACAAGCATATAATTTATCTAGTAATTAAAAAATAAATATATATAAAACATATAATAGAAACATTGAAAAGGCATTAGATAGACTGTCTCAAAAATTAAAAACTCATTACAAATTCACAAATAGTAAAAAAGATGGGCTGAGCCACATCATTTGCAGGGTATCCTATTAATATGCTACTTCAATTTTCAAACTCTCTAATCATTGCAAATATTAAGCTTCCCTCATGAACTGTGATTATACTCTCTTGATTCTATCACCTTCAACTACCAGAAAGCCTTCACTCGATAGCGTTGCGACCGCTTTTCTTACCTGTTTAATGCGGCACAACAACAAATACTTTGTTATGTCTCTGTCCTTAGATCAAAACTTTTTGAATGTAGCAAAAGAGTGTTATAAATGACTCACATCATGAAGATGAATTTCGGTGTTTATGTTGCCTCCATGCTTCTTCAGTTCTTCAAGTAACTGCAACAACATTTCCATTGTACTTAGAAACGGTTTCTCTAATTGTAAAATGATTTGCTTGCTTTTGGCATATAACAAATTGGGAAAGATAAAGGAGTAATGTATTAATACCTCGGATAAGCGCATTGATGATCCTCCAATTTGCATCTTCTCCAGAGCTATGTCTCGAATTGACGACACAAAGGTATCCCGTCTCATTCGTTCACTCGCTGACACTCCAGTATTTATCAGGTCCATGTCAATGGTCCCTTCACCAAAATAAGTACAGGTGTTTATTGTTAGAATTGGTATTGAATGCTACTGTTTATCTCTATCCTGATGATAATAATGGGTTAAAATTTACTGTGAAGAAACTACCTGTGGCGTGATCGGTAGCTGATTGTTGCATTGCAACTCTGAGAAGTCGAAATGCCTCGTCGACGTCATGTTTTTCAACCTTTATCCATCACAAAAACCATTTCAGTTGGTTTGAAACGATGAAAGGAAATTACTTAAAAGTTAAATATGAGTGTTTAACTAACCCATTCGGAGAAGCGCATCCGAGCCAAGGCCTCACTAAGTCTGATCAAACTTTCAATCTGCCTAGGAGTTGCTGTTATGACCTGTGCCAAATTCAGAGAGTTTAAGGCGTTAGACTAATCATAGCCTTTGTTAAGACATCGAAAACACATATTGAAGTTCCGAGAGCACACCTTTTTGCTACTACCGGCAAAACTTCCCTGCTTTTCTCATCTCAACATATCCTCGGGTCAACTCCTCTGCAGCTTCATCTGATAGTTTAGGATGAATGTTCTTGCGGGCATAGCTAACATAAGTTGTCAGTGTAGTAATATCTATAGCTTCCTCCTGAGCACTCTGCATATTGACACGAAATGATACCAATCAAGTAAGATAAAGGCAAAACACAATTATCTGTCAACATATCATACACACTGGGAAAAAATATAATAGAAGACCTCGGCGTTCTCAAAATGAAGGGCCACAATATGCTTTGCAAGCCTTCGGTCAGTCTGCTCATCGGGCTTGTCAAGAATCAAGTAGATCAAATCGAATCTAAGAAGCAAAATGAGATAAAATTAGTAACACCAGTGGAGATGCAGAAGAGGAAATCACTAGACTTTAGAAAAAATAATCTCACTTTGTTGAAGGATTGCAACATACCTAGAAAGCAAGGTTGGAGGAAGGTGAATATTCTCAATAACAGAAAGCCGGGGATTATAGCGTGAGCCACTAGGATTTGCGCAAGCCAACACAGAGGTTCTGGCATTTAGTGATGCAATAATACCAGCTTTTGCTATTGAAACAGTCTGCTGTTCCATCACCTGACAGAAACAATGTTCATCGGTAATGCAATCTTATGGACTCGAGACCACATTCACAAGGGGCACCCAGAAACTGTATGCTATGACTTTGAGAAAGCGAGAGGAACAAACCTCATGCAGCATGCTCCTCGCACTGTCAGACATTTTGTCAAATTCATCAATACAGCAGATACCTCGGTCGCTAAGAACAAGAGCTCCACTCTCTAAAACCTAAACAATGTAGCATTCACAGTAACAGGTCAGATATAGAAGACCCTCAAAATACAATGAAAAAAACAGCTGACTATAAAAAGATTGAAGACAAGATTAACATACAGTTTCTCCTGTCTCAGGATCTTTAGCTACATAAGCTGTTAAACCAACAGCTGAGCTCCCTCGCCCACTTGTGTAAATGCCACGGGGTGAAAGCTTATGAATGTACTGGAGCAGCTGGGACTTGCTTGTACCAGGGTCACCAACAAGTAAGATGTTGATGTCACCACGAAAATTAGCACCCGATGCCAAGTTCAAAGCATTCCCTCCAAAAAGCTTCACAATAAAAATTTGTCTCAGTAAAAGGAACTAATGTCGTTTGGATTTTGCTGAAACATAAGCAACTACCAAAAGCGTTACAGTACCTGGCACAGAAGACCCTTTTTGACATCATCCAACTCCCAGATGTTTGGTGCTAGTGATCTACTAAGCCTCTCGTATATATCTGGCTGTTTAGAGAGTTCCTGAAACTTCCTCAGCTGAAAAGTAACACAAATATTGGTTGGAATGGAGGGACGAAGAAATAAGTTACAAACCTAGATATCCTTTCATTTAAAAAGATGAGTTACCTTCTCCTCATCTAACTCGACATCTTCATCGACTCTACGCAGACTATTGTCAACGTCCATAGGATCCTCAGCAGACATTCTTAACTTACTTGCTTTCTTTATGTGAAGGCAATCGATGTAGGTCTGTACTCAGCGTAAAAGAAATGAAAATGTCAGAACGTAATAAGAATAAAGAAGAATCACTAACAGAAGGAAAAAATAAGATGACATGCCTTAAACACAGATTTCACAGTCCTGTGAGCAGGCCCCACTCGAACGGTCATTGCTCTGTAAATTCCGGTGACCTATCCAGAAAACAAGCTTTTGAATGTCAACCAAAACCATAGGAATGAATGTACTATCCTGATAAAATTACTACTTTTTTACCTCAATTCTATCACCAGGCTTCCCATTATCAACTAGCTTATCATGCAGCAACAAGCTAACTGTGTGAGGTGTTCCTCCTTCTGGAATCTCGTCAGGCGTTTCCTGAAGCCTCACAATCTGCTTATCGGCAAACCTGATTCACAAATGTAAAAGATAAGTTACAGGATTTAAAATAAAATCAGACAAATTTTGTGTCTAGAACTTACCTGCATCGGTTGTGCACTAGTGTCATGGAGTTCTTAGCCATGCACTCTTGTTTCAAGCAAGTAGGAGGCTCACTTATTTTCCCTAATAACCAAACAAACATTAGGAGAAACTATGCAGATATATACAGAAACTGATAAATCCAAGTGATCAAATTACCTCTATCAACGATGATGGGGTCAGAGAAGTATCCACAAACGAGGCATCTAAACACAGCTTCTCTGATTTCAGGAATGATAGAACTACTCCGAATTATCATACCTTTCAAAGAGATCATCTTCTCGATATCTAACAAACCAAAACCACACATCCAAACATAAGCTAAGCTAGCCACTAGAGAGAACTAATAAACACAGAAAAACAAAAACTGAATCATACTAACCAGATGGATTGAGATTTCTCATGGAAGTAGATGTCCTAAGGTTAAAAATCCTCACTTGAACATGTTTCTCGAACAAACGATTAATCGTGGAAACAATATCCATCAGCACAATATCGAAGATAGCGAGAACTTCCAACGGATACCGAACCATCTTGTTATACAAATCAGGATCATAATCAAACACATCAAACGCATCAACATCAATCCATTCTCCTTCAATTTCAATCACCTTCCTTATGGAAACCATATACTTCCCTTCTCTAAACAAATCCTCACTATTCTCTCTAGCTTCTCTAAAATGCTTAACAAACATTTCAATCGCAGATTTAACATCTTGCACACTGATGTTAGTACCCCAGACGAAAGTCGGAGTAGTATCATCAGCGCCGTCGTCTTCACCGTCATCGGAAGAAGGCAGTGGTTCGTCAGTAGACAGTGGTGTCCCTGGGTCTCCGCCGCCGCCACCTCCTCCACCACCGCGTCCATTTCTTCCATTAGATCTGGCGGCGGAAGGACGAGATGTTGGAGGAGTGGAATTGGATGATGCGAGACGTGAAGGTGGTGGTGGAGGAGTTGCGAATTGCGTAGGAGTAGAGGATCTTCCTCGCCGGCGACGGTGAAGTGCGGCGGGGGAAGAGTAGGTGTTTTCGATAGGGCTTGAAACGTTTTCTCCGGGAGAGGAAGGACCTGAAGTAGTGAAACTCGTCAAAATTACGAAACAGTTTCGGCATTGAGAGAGAGGGAAAGTGGAAGAGAGATATTACCGTCGTTAGGGTTGCCGGGGGAAGAATCGGAAGCCATGGCTGATCGGAGAATTGAGAGAGACGGAGTGAGAGGTTTCGGCGCTTTTTAGTGAGAAGAGATGAATTAGGCGGGGACTTCACTTGATTTTGGCGCCATTATTAAATGGGCTTTAAATGGGCCTGACTCTTGGGCCTATAAACTCTTATGACTCGGAAGGCTTATTGATCCTAAAGCTTTAACCAGAGAGAGTATGCATGGAGATGGAGTGATTACTACTATAGAGGTTTATTTTGTTTTTCACTCTCTGTAATCTATTATGAACTACGAAACTTGTAAATTTTTTATTTGATAAAATAAAAAACTTGAAAGTTGTTAGTTTTGTTTATTTTTTAGAAAATACTACATTAGAGGACGAAATAATTCATTTTTTTAAATAACTTGATGTTAACTAAATCTAAATCACTCATGGGGCTGAAGCAAGTTTTTTTTCTTTTTTTTTGTAACAAGTTGATTTACATATATCCTTGGTGAAAAACTCACCAAGAAAATTTTGTTAAATACTAAAAAAAAAGTTCCATAGTTTGTTGTTTTACCAAGCAAATAGTTTTTAATGAATGAACAAAATCTGTTTGTAAGTTAATATCATAATTTCCAAGAAATCCTCAATCTTCATAGACTAGAGAGTGTCAATATATCAATTTTTATGGACTTAAAAACATTTTTTTCCTAAGGAAATCAATTAAAATCCTCAAGATTCTTCATGTACTATAGAGTGTTAAGATTGAAGTAACGGTTCTTCATATTAAAGGATCCATATGAAGCCCAATATAGTGTCTCATGTGTAGTCCAAAAGCCCATGTAATGGTCCATGTAACTAGGGTTCTTAGCAAGATAGTGACTCATATATATAGTCATGTAATGAGAACTTTAATGTTAACTTTGAGAGTTGTCTCAAAACAACTCTCCTTCTCATCTTTATGAAAGTATCAATTGAATCATTGTGTTCTTGGTGACAACTTAAGTTCTTCTTCCTCTCTTTACTTCTTTGCACAATAAAGCTTTAATAAGCTATCTTATTTTTCAGTTTCATATTTCTATGTTAATAAGCTCTCTAAGAGCATTAATCTCATTATCTCATTGTCTTGAGTTTGTCAACACTTCATTGATTCTTCTACAAAAGAGGTCACAAATTCATACAGCAACTAAAAATCGATTTACAAGTTTGCAGAAACTGAACAATCCAAGAACAACTAAAAAAGAAATCAATAAGCAAATCCAAACACTACCATTTACACACAAAAAAAATGAGAAATCTAAACCGTTTCATCGAAGAAAATTTGAAGAAATCGAACCTATCAGCACCTGAAATTGATACCAAAGCCATGCTTACCATGAACACACCCAGGTTTCAACTTCAAATACGAAGATCTCTTCCCCAATTTCCTAATCCTCTGTCTCTTTAGCTTCTTGCTCACGCTCCTTGGAACCAACTCATCATCAAGATCATTATAGTCATCTTCATCAGCATCAAGATCATTAAAGTCATCTTCATCATCAACACCATCGCGATTGATATAATCTCCGATACAATTACGAGAACCTCCACCAAGAAACATTATCTGCCGACGAAACGAACTGTTACGGTAATCAGCAAGAACACGAACAACACCATCGACGAGAACAAAATCAGCTGCGAAGAGATCATTAGTGTCAGTCTCCGAAGCTTCGAGGTAGATTATGTCTTCGGAGAGACTCTCAACGGCGAAGGAATTGAGGAACTCCAAGAGGTCGAGTACGAGATCGTCTTCTTCTTGATTCGCCATTTTCGTTTTCTCTGTGATTTCGTCGGAGAAAGTTTGTTACAGTCTCTCTGTTTGTTTTCTATTTCAACACTGATGGAAAAATCACAAGGAAGAAATGGCCGATTTTATATGCGTGTTGTTTTGTAACTGGAGAAAAACGTCATGCAGTTCTTTTGCTCAAACTCAAGACGGAATGTAGTCTTAAGAATGTCTGTACCCAAAGAAAAACGTCACGCAGTTTTCTTGTACACACTCTGAGGCGCTACTTTTGTTTGGCGAGTAATTAGGCTTTTGACCAGAGGAGGAATTAGAGCATGATTATTAAGAAATCTTGTAACTTGATAGTTCATATAATTTGGAGCATTGATTTATGGGTTTAAAACAATTCCAATAATTACTCTTTAACAGTTTATCAAGTGTTGTGTTACACTGACATTGACAGTTAGAAAACTAAATAATGTAACTGGAAGAAACAAGTGATCCTTGAATTGACATAATTTTCGGTGCAAATTTTGAAGCCTGTCCTAATAAGGATGATGGTAAAATAGATCACAGAAACAATAATAATATTCTTTGATACGCCACAAAAAAAGAATATGGCAGATTGGTGGTGTTCAAGTAAAAATGACAAGTTATCAATTTGGCTTTAAGGCTGTAAGCAGAGAGCTGTTTTGAGTGTTGGGATCGTACTAAATCATGATGCGAAGGACGGCGAGTCCCACAGCTGAGATCGACACAAGTGTACCTATGCAATATTTGATGACTTCGTATTTTGAAGCTTCTAATTGAGCTCTCAGCGCATGAATTTCCTGCAAAAGCAAATTATATTATGTCTTCTCATCTTCCTAAGTTTCAGTCTATAATATAGTTCATGAGTAAAGGGAATAGTTGCTATATACCCTGTCAAGCTTGTTTGTGAGATTTGTTGTTTCGGTATTCTGATTAGCTAGCTCATCGCGTATTCGACTGTGAGTAACAAAACAACCAATACCAGATTACCAAATACTCTATGTATCACGCCTTCACTTGCAGATGGCTACATTGGTAAATAGTCATAGAAGGAGAGTACTGTGCAAAATTCAGAGTTTTCTTACCCTCTTTCAAGATTCAAATCCAAGCGCTGTCCAGCTGTGACCTTATCAATTTCGTACCTGTTTCAAGTGAGAGGTCTTAGGTCTTAGTTTCAGATTGGTTAAGAGCATATTACAAGGCGAACTATGGTCACAAACCTTAGCTCACTTCGCATCTTCTCTATATCGCCTCTCAATTTTTCTGTCTCACGTTGCAATACAGTAAAATGATGCTCCTTTAAAAAGAATGAAGAAGAGTTGGTATCATAAATCTTCTTACTGCGTTATACAGGGAAGCACAGACAATGCTATTTTGCCTAAACTACTTACAGTAGATGCTGGTGCTACATTGATTTAACACATGACATGAAAATGTACAGTACAATGGTATGCAAATAAACACAATATACCGATTTTTCTGGCTACAAGTGCCTAAGACTCCAACTCATAAACAGCTGCAACAGTGAGAGTTTGAATTACTAAACAGGCCCTCTTCCTAGATAAACTAAATTACTCAAACACGCAGCTTGTACCTGTTATATTCCTGAATTCCTCTACAATATCACCCAACAGGTATTTCAGATCTTCTATTTTCAAAGTAACAACACGTCCTCTCAAACTAATCCAGAATGAGAATAAAGAGAGGATAACAAAGAGGCAGAAGATGAAGAATTATAAACGCAAAGACCACACACCAGGATATGTATGTACCAATGAGTAGCCCAGACTGTAATCCTAAACAACAATGTAACTAAGACAATGGTACTTGAGATAAAAAAAAATGCAGTAAAACTTGGAAGGACTTTTTTGAGGACATCACCAAATTTTGCACATCAAACCAGAAAACTACCACAAGTTTTCGAGGTTCTGAACCACTAGTAATCAAAAACAACCGCTAATGTATGCAAGGTCAGAAACATTTTCTAACGGTAGATGTTACCTGAGAACTTTTTACTTCAGACTTAAATTTTGACAGATTTGAATCTTGAATCATTTCAATCTGCAAACACACAAATCACAAGTAAGAAAAAGAGAGTTTCACATAATTCAAACAGTAGTTTTCCACAACTTAATGAACAGTAATTGAAACAATTACCTTCTGCATTTCTGCTTTTGACACAAAAGACTCAGACACATTTTCCAAGCTATCATTCAAAACCTCAGTAATAGCAGAAGTTATTGCCTCAGCTTGTTTCGATGGAACACCTTGAGCTTCAAGACTCCTCACCTTTCACAAAACATCAAAATAAACCCAAAGAAAACTACAAACATACATTGCTTTCTCCTACAGCAACTTAAAATCCTAGAGATTCCAAAAGTTCTCAATACTAAAAATTCATGCCAAGTTCTAGATCTAGTCTACATAGAGAGAATGAAATTACCAGAGCCAATGTATCAACGAGAAAGGCACGTCTTCCATTAGCTTTCGTGAGTTCAGAAAATTGACGATACGGAAATGGTCGACGATCAAGGAATCCGAGAGAGGAACCGAGACCTCGAGGTTTAGCGAGAGTAATCGCAGATTGAGCTCCCAATAGAGCCAATCGCTTGGACAATGTCATCGATTAGAAATTGAAAGAATCAATAACCGGAGATTAAGGAACTAGGCTAAAACCTAATCGCGGTATAGATTTTCCGGTGGAGGAGACGGTGATTTGGGAATCGGAGAATCGAGAGAGAGAGAATTTTGAGAAGCTAGACCTTGACGACGAAAGGGTTCTTCTGCTTCTGGGTTTGTTTGATTTTTTTTTTCTCAATGGGTTTGGTGTTTAATTACATATTTACCCTTTACCAGTTTCTTATAGAACAAATCGTAATTAATTACTTGCCCGCAAAGTTCTTCTCTTCCAATTTTTGTATTTCTCTCTCTAATCTTCAGGGATTTATTAAATTTATTTGATGACACCTCAGCCTAAACTGCCACGTCAGTAGTCTGCATTGACACGTCAGTGATTGGACTCTGTTTCAGACCCAAATAAAAAGGACACTTATTATTGGGCTGTAAATTTAAGGCCCATATAACTTTTACAATTTTACTATGCAGTTCGAGAGTTTTAGATCAATTTCTTTGTGGATATAACTTGTCTCTAGAGTAAACAATGATGAACCATCCATTATTTGAATTTCCAATTCGACCACAATCAAGACACACATGCTTAGTTGAATATATCATTCGAAGAAGATTACACTTTTTATTAAATTATGTATAGTACTGGTTTAATAGTCTCAGTTAAGTTATATAGAGATTGGTTTACTGTATAGTTGGTTTAGTATCAAGTGTATATAAACACACGTTGTAACAAATTTTTCCTTTGAGAAAGATAGAAAATCGATTCAAAAATCTCTTTGCTCATGTTCCTATCATGGTATCAGAGTATTTTCTGCGTTTTCCAGTTGATTCACCAAATCTCTTCAGATTCTTCTTCAATTTCTTCGATTACTCATCTCTATCATCGTCGATTGTTCTTTTGCACTCTCGATTTCGGCGAAAATGGTGAAGAAAGGAGGAAAACTGAGAAATCAAAGTGGTACACCTGACGATGGTGGTTCTGTTCTTCGATCTACTCGTAATTCACCGATCCTTAAAGATCCTAAGGTTGCGATGTCAAAACAACATCTCACTCAACGATTCGAAGCTTCTGGTTTATCGATTGTATCTCATATCCTAGATAGAACTAATTACAACAGTTGGTCAATTGCGATGAAGATTATCTTAGATGCGAATAATAAGCTAGGTTTGGTTGATGGATCGTTATTGCGACCTTTTGAGGATGATTCTAGTTTTCGTATCTGGAGTAGATGTAATAGTATGGTGAAGTCATGGATTCTTAATATCGTGAACAAGGAGATCTATGATAGTATACTTTATTATCAAGATGCAATGGAGATGTGAGATGATTTCTTCACTAGGTTCAAGGTTAATAATCTACCGCGGAAATATCAAATTGAACAAGTTGTCATGACACTCAAGCAGGGAGATCTGGATTTATCAACATACTTCACTAAGAAGAAGACATTGTGGGAACAATTGTCTAACACAAGAACTCGCACTATGAGGAAATGTGACTGTGATCAGGTCAAGGAACTACTTGAGGAAGCAGAGACAAGCCGAGTGATTCAGATTTTGATGGGATTGAATGATATAACTTCAACAACATTCATGGTCAAATACTAAACATGAAACCAAAGCCTGGATTGAATGAGATCTACAACATGGTAGACCAAGATGAGAGTCAGAGAATTATATTGTTGGATATTCATGATCGGTGTCTACTCCTTCAGCTTTTCAAGCTCATGCTATTCTTACTAAACAAAATTCTATTCTGGCAACACAAGGGAACTTTCAAAAGCCTAAGTGTTCTCATTGCTTCCGTGTTGGTGATACTGTGGATAAGTGCTACAAAGTCTATGGTTATCCACCTGGTCATCCAAGGGCTAAGAAGAACACTTATGTGGGAAGTACTAATTTGACTAGTTCAGACTCGGTTTTGTCTCAGAAGGAGAATTTCCCTGAAGAAAAAAATGAAGATATGTCAAAGGATCAACTCCAACAGATGATCTCTTATTAAAGCTCTAAACTTACAGTTAACAATTAAATGTACCATCTTATTTATCTTATAATGTAATCTTAATATTTTGAAAATATAATTATATTTAAGTTCTTAGATAAATTTTATTATGTTTTCTCTCGGCTTAGAAATTCATATGAATGGAAATGTTGATTATGAGTCTAGGTCATTTTAATAATTTATTGGTACTATAATAAAGGGCAATACCATAAAATCACAATTTTTAGACATTAATTCGTCCATCCACAAATAAATCCAATGAAAGGACCAGAACTAGAACATGAAAAGAAAAAGAAAAAGAGAAAAACAAGTCTTTTATTTTGGTTTAAAAAAACCAAAATCTTTTTAAGCGTTAAACGACCCTTGCTAGTCCGACTACTACCATGCATGATATTGAGTGGAACGTGAATTTTACAATTCTAAATTCCTGACACACCAAAACATCTGATCTTCCTAAGTTTCGAGGTGAATAGTGTAACATGAAATAAATTCATGAATCAAAGAAAAAGCCATACCTCATCAAGCTTGTTTTTGGCCTTCCCAATTTCAGATCTGTTTCAAATGAGAGGTCTAGTATCCGATTAGTTAAAGCAAATATTACAATACGTTGAGGATGTGTGACTAGATACGTACCCTAGGTGTTACGTACCCAATAAAGCAAATATTTTCTTAAAACATCAACTTTTGCACATATATAACAGCCACATATTTTCAAGGTGTTATGAAATATGAACCCATCGTAATCACAAAAAAGCACTATTTTATGCAAAAAAAACAAACAAACTATACATATAAAAAAGTATATGTTACCTGAGAATTATTCGACTGATTTAAATCTTTAGTGAGCTCGGAAATTTGGCGGTACGGGAATGAACGATGATAAGAGGAGCTGAGAACTCGTGGTCTAGATATTAAGGTCCATATGCCTTCAATTTTTGTACAATACACAACAACAAAAAAATTGAAAATAAATAAGTAGGTTTATAGTTTATCGATTTTAAACCTAAACCGTTTTCATTTTATATGAAATATTTCCATTCTTAGCAAAAAAAAAAGAAAATAAATAAGTAAACATTGTCAAGAATTGTTTACCGTTCCTTGGAATAGACCATCGATCTTTTTTTATCTCGCTGACTTGTTTGTTACCATATTTCCTTTCCTTTTTTAGGCTTATATTTTCTCGAATTTAGTAAAAGAAACAATCTATATTTAGTGTGTGTAAAGTATATTTAATAAGAATACGACAACTTTCTACAAGTAAAATACTTAACTTTTTTTTATTAAAATTATTGAATCATGAGATATGCTACTTCATTTATAGTTGTTTGTCTCCTCATACTCGTCGTTACGAACCATGTTAACGGTAATATATTATTCTCATGTAGATTTTAACATTTTGTTCGTAAGATATGAAACATTGATTCTGTAAGATTTTAAAACAAAACTTTTAATATTTTTGTAGTATTAACTGTTTAGTTAAAAAACTACATATCTTATCTACAATCAATCTTTTATTTTTCTTATTGAAAACAGGACAGGGCAAAACAAAATGTCTTGCTAAACTGGAGGGTTATGGAACATGTGGACCTAACGGATCTAAGTTGTGTTTAAATGAACTTGAACAAGATCCCAAACATTCCAAATTTAGCAAAGTAGCTAATGGTTGTGAATGTCAAGACCGGGGTAAAAGAAAAGAATTCAACATGGGCCTATCTCATTCGTGTGTGTGTTATAGTACCCGTTCTTGCGAAGGACCAATAAATGGAATTGGATCTTCTCAATAACTAAGATACAAGTTACGAGAGTTTGGTGTTGATTGTACCTAATATGATTTACAAATTTATATCTATATGTTAGTCTATGTCAATAAAAAATTTATTTTTATTTTAGTCTAAATAAATAAATTTATCTACAAAATGTAAATCAATAATAATGATCGTTTTTTGCGGTTAATTTAAAGTGTAATATTGGACAATTTAAAAAAGTTTGAAGTGTTTAATAGGGAAAACGGCCTTTTTCAACCTCAACTATTTGCAGGCGGGTTTTTCCAACCCAAACTATTACCCCTAGTAGATTTCAACCTAAACCCAAAATTAATTCAAAATCGAAACCTGAACTAATGCAAATGAGCCGATTTCAACACGACGCGAAACGGTGTTAGTTCGAAAGTTAACGGTTGCTCAACCTTGGGTAATTGTCTCTCTACAGCATTCATCAAACCTTGAAAATAAAATCAAATAACTTTGAGAACTGTTAACTTCCAAACTAACATTGTTTCACGTCGTGTTGAAATCGGCTCATTTACATTAGTTTAGGTTTTGATTTTGAATTATTTTTGGGTTCGAGTTGAAATCGACTTGGGGTCATAGTTTGGGTTGGAAAAACCCGCCAGCAAATAGTTGAGGTTGAAAAAGGCCGTTTTCCCAGTGTTTAATATATTATCTCATAATACATCTCTATTTCATTTGTCTAACTATTTATTTTTTAAAATAGTGATTGTCAGATACCACCATTTACTTAATTTTATAAACTGTTCCACCACTTATATTTCACTTGAGTTTAGTTTTTCTCCTCTTCTACTAGTTAATTTATTCACACATCTGTCTTATGTAAAATGTTATTTCATCTTATGTTTACCTGACAATCTTCAATTATTGTTTATTTAAAGGATGAAAATAAAGTTGAAAAAGGTACTAGTTAATTATTTTTTTTACAAATAATAGGGTCAACCTTAGCTTAACAAATATTTACTAATATTTCACATAAAATTAAAAGTATATGTTATTCCTATACTTTTATTTGGTCATCATGTTGTCTTGGCTAATCTAGTAATGTTAGTTTAGAGTCATGGCGGTAGCACATCATTCTGCAACATGTTTCCTTCCATGCACTACTACATTGACTACTTTTGTAGGTTGACCATAAACATAGTAGGAGTTATTGTAACAGTTCTTTTTATGTCTTTTGAAAAAACGTATTCTGTTATCATAAATTCAACAAACAATAATGTTTGTACACATTGAAAGCAAGATATATAAAACATGTAAAAGTCATAAAGAGCTCTAATATAAATGTTAAAAAATATGTTATACATAATCAAACAATGTAATTAAGAGATATCATCAAGAGTGATACTTTCAGCATTCTTTTCAAAGGTGTTTGGTTGCACTGCTTTCGTAAATATGTTCGATCATAATTTCATTGTCTATATGTTCAGTGACAAACTTTTCTCTTTTTATATCTTGCTTCAGTTATAGATATTAAAGTCCATATATATGCCTTCAATTTGTACAATACACAACGAAAAAAATTGAATATAAATAACTAAACATTATCAAGAAGAGTTTACCGTTCTCTGAAATAGACCTTCGATCTTTTCTATCTCGTTGACTTTTTGTTGGCACATTTCCTTCCCGTTGTAAGGCTTATATTTTCTCTAATTTAGTAAAAGAAGCAATCTAGGTTTAGTGTGTGTAAAGTATATTTAATAAGAAGACAACAAGATTCTGCAAGTAAATTACATAACCTTTTTATTAAAAAATTTGAATCATGAGATATGCTACTTCATTTATAATTTGTTTGTTGATAACATCGTATTTTCGTCCGTTTTAACTATTTTTTTTTTATTTTTTTTTTTATGTTTTACGAGGTTTTTAGTGTGATTTCAAAGCTAAATAGAAGATATTCAAGTACTTTTAGAGTCAAGAAGCTTTTACAAGTATTAAAAGCAATATAGTTTGAGAAAGAGAAATACATATAAGATCAGGCGGATGGTGGAAAAGATCCCGGAAATTGCTTCTCCATGAATTGTTGTAGGTAGGCATGTCAATTAGGGCCAAAGCCCGCGGGCTGGCCCGGCCCAGCCCTGAAAAACAGCGGGCTCGGACTTAAAAATATATGTCCAGATAAAAATCGGGCCTTTCGGGCTAAGCCTGTTGGGCTAAAGAGTTTTTAGGGTGAGCGAATGACGAGTCTCTTCGTTCTGCTTTCCCAATTGTTCATACCTCAAGTCCTTTTCCTTGACTAGCATAAGAGATCATGGAAAAATAACACTGATTTTTTTTACCATTTTCTTTTAGCTAGGGAAAACAAAATATTGGATTTCTTGTAAAAAGAAAAAAAAAAAAAACGGAGAAGCTACCGATTTTGTTTGGAGTAATTGAGAGGTCTTGAGCTTGTCTAGCTTCTAGTAAATCCAACTCGTGTGAAATAATGGCGGATATGATTATTGACATGGATATAATTGCAGGTAGGCTGAATATGATAAACTCTTTTTTGTTTTTTACAGTTTCTAATTGAACCCTAAAAATGTAACGATGCTGAAACACCAAAACAAAAACATATTATTATGGCAGTTTCAAGAGTGAAAGATGAAGTTTATGAGTAAAGAAAAAAAAACTATACCCGGCCAACATTGCTAAAGAACATTTCAAAGCTAACCCTGTTTCAAGTAATTAGAGAGCTAGGTCTTAGTTTCTCAGTGGTTAACCTAGAGTCCAAGACGTTGAGAAAAAAAAAGATGGTCACAGACCTGTTCTCTGCATGCAACATGTAGCTTCTGGCTTTTCTATTTTCTATCTCGAGTATAGAATCATCTACAGCCTTCAGAAGGAATAAAGAATTAAGTATCAATCAGCAACTTTTGCATAGCAAAGTATCACACAAGAGTTTCAAGGTTCTGTCTGAACCAAACAGTAATCACAAACAAAATAGCGAACTAGGTTTGTGTTACCTGACAGCTTTTAGTTTTAGATTTAAACTTTGGTAAATTTGAAATTTGGCGACGATTAATCAAGTTGTAATCTGAGCCATGACCTCGAGGTTTAGCGATAGAAAGCGTGGATTGAGCCCCTAACAGAGCCAGACGCTTCGACAAGGCCATCGATCAGACCGGTAAATGAAATCAAATCAAATCGCTCTAAAAAAGACACAGATTGGGGAATCAGAGTGTCGAGTCGAGTGCGTGAAGAGGGTTTGATAAGACGACGACAGTTCTCTATTCCTACTTTCTACCTTCTGGGTACTTCTGGGGTTTGATTTCTCATTGGGTTTTTTATAATTTGGGCTTTATAATGGGCCTGAAAATTGGGGTTTTTATTTTATTTTTCATTTATTACATAAGGCCCATTGTAATTATAAACATTTGAATTAAAGGTTTTGAAAGAAATTGCGTAGAAAATAGAGAATGGGAAGAGAGTGTAATAGACCGTCAAAGCATATGGCCCTTGATTTATATTATAGTTTGCTTAGCCTTAATACGTTCTTGTGTCTCATGATCTCAAGAAATGCACCAAAGTTTATTGTTGTTATACTTATATGATCACTAAAATGTCATATGCCTCAGCTTATTTGTTTTCCTTTCAGAAAAGATGAGTGATGCCTCTTAAATTTCTTCAAATGAAGCACAAAGATATATAGCTCCGAGTCGAAAGAGGAGAACATACCATCTCTCTCATGAGTTTGGTTTTCACAATAAAATGCACCTAAAAAATAATTGAGGATCAGTTATTTCAAACATTCGGTTTTCAAACATTAACGGAAACCGAATGTAAAACCTCGGAGATATATATGAGAGGATCAGTTGTCATTGTACACTCTTCACCTTGAAACTAAAGAAAAAAATTGGCTAAGGACTTCTTCTCCCAAGTGTTTTTCTCTCAAAATCCTTCCAAAATTAGGAGAAAGCATCTCTGGCTAAAAAATTGCATCTTTCATTAATTTTCCATCTTTTTGTTATTGTTAAGAACTTACGATTCATTAACAAAATGGATTAATGGGTATTATGCCAACTAACCAAACAAGAAAAAAAAGCTTTGATCTCAATGTCATAGGAAGGTAGTGAACGGTGAACCAAGACTCACTCCTCAAAAGGAGAAAACTTAAGGATACAAACATCATATTGTTGGCCTAGCAAATATTATATGCAAGAGGATTATAACTATCATCAACATTCACCATCACAACATTTAAATACTACTAAGCCCCTAAACCCCCAAAAAATAAATAGAAAAAAAACATGTTAAGCTAATTCTGAGTGAAAGGCTCCCAACAAAAGACTGTAGTGCATAAAACTAAGTGGCTAAAAACGCCTAAAGCTGCTTTTTAGGATGCATGCATAACCCAAAAGCAGAGAGAGAGAAAGAGAGAGAAGGTGTTTTAGTTGTGGAGGTAATTGCAGGATGCTCCTTTCCTACAATATCCATCTTCGCGGAAGAACTTGCATACTCTTTGCCCCTTGAAGTTGTTCTGCCCACTTGACTGCCTGTTCCAACCATACCCAGAATCTCCATTCTGGCTCTGTTGTTGGTTTCCCCAGTAACCGGCTTGGTTCCCTCCTGACCCACCGCTTGGGATCGCTGTCTGATTTTGAGTTCCCCAATTTTGATTACTGTTTCCAGACTGAATCCCTTGACCTGGTTGCATCCATCCCGCGCTCGTAGTACCCGCTTGAGCTTGAACTTGAGCTTGGGGTTGAGCTTGAGGGTGGCCTGTTGCGCCCCACCCTGGGTTTGGATAAGCTTGTGTTTGTCCTTGGACAGGCCCGCCCCAGCCAGAGTTAGGGATTCCCTGGCCAGTTGAGGGAGCAGAAGATCCACCCCAGTTTACATTCACTCCAGCTTGAGCAGGACCAACCCATCCCATGTTTGGATTTACAGTCCCTTGACCCCAGCTGCTGTTCTGGTTTGCTGGAGCCTGAGCCTGAGGTTGTCCTGAGTTTTGGTTGTTGTTCACCATGTTTATACCCCACTGAGCCTGAGCCTGAGCCTGAGCCTGAGCCTGAGCATGAGGTTGGCTTGGGACTGCAACCTTCCAAGGATCAGATGGAGGAAAGCCTGGTTGACTCTGTGAGGGTAGAACACTAGAAGATGGGGTGCCATAAGACGTAGAGCTATTCTGAGAAGAGGGAGCATTACTTCCTCCATGATCTGTCTGCATGCTCCCCCAGCTTTGCTTCCCACCTGCTGGTGTTGGAGAATGAAGAGTCGCAGAGTGATTAACAGAAACGTTAATCAAATCTGGTGTTGGAATAGGGTAGGCTTGAGGCTGTAGAGTACCAGCAGAATTTACAACCACAGGGATATCTATCCTAGAAGCTTGACTCTGTACAGATTGTGCTACTGAGTAATTCATCGACTGATTAGCTGACTGTGGAGATGGCTTGGTTGGAGACCATCTGCTCTCAAAATTTCGCCTTTTTGCTGTTGGAGTAGTGATTTGATTTGGAGTAGGGGATGGAAGACTACCACCTTGACTCCAAGTATCTTGGGAATTCCTAGGAATCTCAATGGTTGATGGAGCAGTCCTAGCAGTAGAACCTAAATTGGGTTCAGATTGGCTTGATTGACCAGAATAAGCTGCTACCTGAGCTTTCGTATAGTTATTATCTACCGCCTGGGTTTGCTTCTGAAATAGTCCAGCCAATGCATCAGTCAAGAGAACAGAGTCCAACGCTGACTCTTTCGCTTTCCAGATTTCCAACTTAGCAGGGAAGTACCCAGTGTTGTTCCATTTACGGAGCTGCGCCATCGAAAAAGGTCCTTGAACTTTACCAGATGGGTCCTTGTAATGCCATATTTTCTCTGACTCATTTGACTTGGGAACAGGCTGCGGAACAACAGCAGGAGGTGCCGTTGAAATCTCAGAGGCAAACCTAGGAGATAATTCTGGTGGCGCAACAGCACGAGAACTTCTGGTAGTAGTTTCAGGAATTGAAACAGATCTTGGCTTCTCAGGGCCTAAAGAAGGTTGCACTTCTCTTTCTCTGGCTGAAGTCCACATACTCTCACTAACTTTGTCGTCAGAACTACCAAGATAATCCCCTCTACCAGTAGAACCTCTACCAGAATAACTTCTGGTTAATTCACGATTTGCACTTGTATTCGAGTAGTTACTTGTGCCAGTCCATGATTCATTGGAACTAAATCCTCCCTTTCGTGGAGATATTGGATCTCTTCCTCTTCGGTTAAAGCTACTGCTTCGCGGCCTCAGTTGTTTCTCTAAATGTATTAAAACCACCAAACATCAAAACATCAAAAACATTAGAAGATATACCAAACTTCACATTTTAGTTTAATTGCAAGTAAAAACTTGAATAATAAAAGAAACCTTTTTCCTTTTCTTCTTTTTCATCTTCATCTTCCGATTCACAATCTGGATCCATTTTGGGATCAGCATGTATTTCTGGAATTTCTTCTAGCCTGCGCTGTCGTTCCTCTGGAGATTTTAACAGTTGCAGCTTCTCAACACATTCTCGTAGCGTAAACATAGTTAAGGAATAACACAAGTGAATAAAAAGAATGAAATTATATGCTTTCCACCACTACAAATAGATTCAATGCTCTTTCCCTGAAGTACAAAAACATGCACAGAGAGGAGCATTTCAAAAGCATGGCTAATACTTATTTTTAAGAATTTGAAAGTTTCAACAGATAAGGATATTCTTTTCTGCGGCCCATGTCACTAGCACGATCACGCAAATGACTGAAACGTAGGATCTCTGCGTCCAGCAACTGCATTCATTAAGTAATAACTGTCAATACAGAAGCAGTCATACATGTATATATATATATTTTTTACATTTCTCAAATACTATTGTGATAGCCTTGCATTATTAAGAAACCTGAAAACCAAAATCTAAGAGAGACGATAGAACTAGAATCATGCACATTCCCTAGACAGATTATGCAGTTATTTACCGTCTCCCAGTCCAGCAAGCTCAATCACCAAACATATAATAATAATGAACAAAAGGAGAATTAGAGACAGGAAAAAGCGTCAGCAGGAAAAAAGCAACTTACGTTTTTAACTCTCACTTCCTGCAGTGCTATGGCTTTTTCTTGTATATCACCCTAAAAAAATTGACATTAGAATACCAAAAATGCAAAAGCAACATGGTCCACAGATTTTTAGACATAATCAAATGAAAGACTTCAAGTAATATGAAGCATACCACTGACAGCCTGTTGATTAATCCACATTTTATGCTCTGCTTAAGACGCTTGCATTCATCCTGAAATTATTGCATGGAAGTTATGGGTCAAACATATAGCACCCTTGAACAATTACTTCTTACTAATCAGCAGAAGTTCAGACAGAAAATAGTGAAAACAGTAACCACAGCCTCCATGGCTTGTCAGTATATGCAAGTGCAATAGGAAATACTATGTAAGGACCAAAAAGAAGAACATGTTCTCTCATTTTCAGTGACAAGAAAAGGACGTTGGATATCAGGAGTACGTCACCTCAGTGAAATCTTGATTTGATATAATGTCAATGGAAATCACTTCCGTTTTGTCCAAGTTCAATATTTCAAGTACATAGTCTGTTGTTTTTTTGCCAACTTTATAAGGTTCAGGAGCTTTGCTTGTGCCTGTGTTTCAAACCAAAAGAGATCTTAGTCAACCATTGTATCAACAATATTGAAATAATCTGTAAAATAGAAAACTAAACATACCAACAACTTGAACCAGTCGATATAAATCTTGCTTTTGATTTCCAGATATCCTTAACCTAACAAATGCACTAGCAACTTTTTCTTCGAATGCTGTAGAATCTTCAAGTAGATCTTCCACCAAGCTCCGCCTTAAGTATATCAAATTAATGTTGTGCATATCAACAGCAGCAAAATCGTCAAGATTAGATTGACGTCCTTTCCTGACATTTTTTTTGCGTGTTTTACGTTTCTTATCCTTCCCACTTTTCATTGGATGGTCCAAGTTTTCATCAACATCCTCATGATTAGGTTCTTCTGTATCAACTATGTCACCTTGAATATCATCTGCCTGATTTTGCTCCTTTTTAAGAAAATGAGAGTCAAGGAGATTTAACATCTCAAAGTGTCCAACATGTGATTTTCCGAACAAATTCTGAAGCCTGGAGTCGCAGATAACCTGGCTTTTACGTCGGGGATCACGAAGATTGTATCTTTTTATATAAGCCAGTAGGAGAGTTTGTACTTCTGTCATAGGTAAGAAAGATCTGTCACCACGTCTCATGTGCACGACCAGATCCAAAAGTTCCTTGGAAGCCCACTCCATAGTTTCACCTGACAGATTCTTATCGGCTGGTGATCGAATTTTCTCAGCAGAACCAGACTTTGATCGACTCCTGGTCTTCCTCTTTTTTGGAGAACTATCTGAATCTGATCCTCCATCAGTAACATAGTCAGTCTCACTGGCTGTTCCCTGTTTGCTAGCATTGGTCTCATGTCCTTTCAGTGGCCTCTTAGCCTGATCAAGTTCCTCTGGACTTAAAGATAGCTGGGTTTTCAAATCAATCCAGTAATCCTTAAAAAGATATTCCCAGCTGGTCTTGTCATCAAAATCCAACTGCGCCTGTAAAAGATAAAATGACGTAAGGGAGAGATCAGAAAAAGAAGACTGTCATTCAAATAACAAGTGGAAACTAAGGCAGAAGTGAAAATCAACTAATCAGCGTGGGATACTGACCAAAGTCATAATTTATTAGTGACATTACAAAGTAAAAAGAAAGAAATGTAAGCTTATCATGCGACAACTAGTTTGAAAGCTCATAAGCATGCCATCATGCTATAGAGCAATGGTAAAGGAGAAAAGAGAATCAACACAAGATTGATCATCAGACTTATCACAACGTGTTTAATGAGAGAAACAGGAAATATAAGATCATGAGGTACTGCAACATGATCAGTTTATCAGCTCATTATTACAAGAAAAGAAAAAAAATCGGTAAGCAAAAACTACAAGAGTATGTCAGGCATACCGGCTCCTTTTCCTGCTCTTTTCTTTCTATCAACTTGACTGTCTCCATGCATGTCTCACACAAACCCTTATTACCTCTGATGCAAAAGAAGACAGCATCCTTGGCGCAGCCCTTGCATAATGAAAACATGCATGTATAACACAAGTACGTTGCAGTTTTCTCACATTTGCTACACAGGTGCCATCCTATTCATAAAAATGAAACATCATGTTAGGTTCTATTAGAAAGTCATGGAAATGATGAAAGCTCACGGAATATATACATACACAGAGAGAGGTAACCAGGGAAAAGTATGACCATGCACAGACAGACTGAAAAATACAGTATAACCGAAGCAGAGTACCAATTAATTCTAGTTTAAAGAAACTAAGGGAAATGATCCTTCAAACAGTCGACTATCTTAGAAGTTTATAACATGTGTTCTAAAATATGAGGGACAGTACTATACTAAGAGGCTGTACAGTGATTTTTGGGCTCCTGCATCTCAATGGTTTGTGGAATTTATCACCATCTGTACCAAAGATAATTCTGATCCATCTGCTAATTGCAATATCATTAATTGGTGCCTAGAAGATAGTGAAAAATTAATCTTTTTTTTTTGACATCACTGAAAAATTAATCTTTCTCATTATATCAAAATATTATATTACCAAGTTTAAATGGTGTAGATTTATGGTATGATAAAACTGGATGATGTCACCATGTCAACCCATAGTCAAGGAAAGAAAACTACCAAAGTATATAAAAGCATCAATGCCAGTGTATTTACTATTAAAAGTTTATTTAAATAAACGACACAGCAGATCCCACTGCTGCTATTTGGTATTTAGTAGTTACATTGAACAACGGAGAATCAACTAAAAGCTACCATTGACAAGTTCTTGTGGAATCTCAAAGAGTCATGACTGTGCACAAAAAAGGGTGAGCATAGCCTTGATAGTAATCAGACTTATCCATTTCACAAACAATCCAAAAGCTGTCACTGCCAGTGTAGCAAGGACAGTGGTACAACAGGCCTGAGACTAAAGTAAGAATCAATAACAACACGAAAATCAAACATGATGTGCAAAGCAATAAAAAAAAAAGCCTTTGACATAACTTTCAACTAAAGGTTCAGACTAATAATTTGAGAGCAAAGACTTAGAAAGGACATACTGCTAGCCAGGAACTCGAACAAAAGATGAAAGAAGAAGCTTAAATTACCAAGAATTGTTATAAATGTCATAATACGGATGACAGGTAAAAAACATATGCTGTAATGAATTTCTAAGGAAGTAACAATGTTATAAGAAAATTTGTGCTTAGCAGATGATGAATCCTGTTTTTCCAAACTATAGTTCACTGATTTAATTTAAGCAGACATCTAATGAGAGAATAGCAGAAAAAAACTTACCACAGTTCCATTTACCCTTTGACTGGAAGAAAGCCTCATCTCGATCTACACAGGAAGGGTGGTACGCTTTTGGGCATCCCCTGCAAGCCAACAGAATCATACATTAAACAAAAAATTTCATCTGTTAAAGGGTAGGTAAATAAGAAAGAAGGAGAAGGACCAACTACAAATTCACAGAAACTACAAATGAAAGTTCACCTGCGGTCACAAAGGACAAGATCACCCCCATCAAAGCACATGAAACAAACATCTTCCTCTTTCTTCTTTCCCGTTCCTTTCACTGTCTTTGTATTTCTCCCCCGTTTCCTCTTTCCTCCAGCACTCTTATTTTCTTCCTCAACTTCATCAGTCTCTTCATCACCCATCTCAGCATTAACACTCTCCTCCTGTGTCTCTGTCATCTCTTCATGATTTTCCCTCCCCTCTTCAATATCAGCTACTGAGGAGTCTCCATGCGTTTTCACATCCTCCGCCACATCAGTCATCTCATCATTTTTTTCCTGATCCTCATCTTTAATCCTTGTCTCTGTTTCTTCTGACACTTCAGCAATTTTTGTTCCGTCTGCTTTACCCATAACAGTCTCCTCCTGTGTCTCTGTCACTCCCATATCTTCATGATCTTCCCTTCCCTCCTCAATACCAGCTACTGGGGAGTCTCCATGGGTTTCCACATGCTCCGTTAAATCAGTCATGTCATCATCTTTCTCCTGATCCTCACCCCTGATTGTTGTCTCCGGTTCTTCTGACACTTCAGAAATCTTTGTTTCATCTACTTTAGCCAGTTCCTCAGATAGTTCTTGGGTTTCTTCTCGAATTTCCTCCATATCCACTGTCTGCCCTGCTTCTCCCGTACCACCCATCCCATCGCCTTCTTTCTCTATCCCAGCACTATACTTAACGTCTGACTCTACTTCTTCTACAGCCTCTGGTACATGTATGTCCAGTGATTTACCAGCTTCTGAATCCTTCTCAACATCTTCTTTGACATCATCCATAACAGTTTCCTTATCATTACTTGTTTCCCCAGCAAACTGAGTAACAACAGCTGATGATATATCCACTGAAACCTCAATTTTGTCGGACATCTCCGTAGCCACATCATCCACCTCTAGGGGCTTAGTTTCGACCTCTAATAAATCAGTACCATCAACGTCTTCTTCCTCCTCTGATTTCTTCAACACCTGTATATCCATTGCATCTTCTGTGACATCCACACCTTCTTTTGCATCTCCATCAGTCAGATCTTTAGCTCCTTCACCTATTTGGAAATCTTTCACTGTCTCTTCCTCTACAACTCCACTTCCTGAATCGACTAACCCTTTATCTTGAGAGGGAATTTCCGTAAACCTAGCCACACAAGCTACCTCTTTATCATCAGGAATTTCTATGTCATTAACCAAGGAGGCAGCTTGCGCTGTAGTTTCCTCCTCCATCACATCTACCTTTTCCTTTTTAGACTCTGTGTTCTGCCCTAAATCATTCTCTATCTCCTCAACAGCCATACTTCCACAAACTACATGTCCACCTTCATCTCTCTTTTCCTCAACATTCAGAGAATCAACTCCGTTTACCTCATAAACTGACGTAGGTTCTTCTTCCATGGAAACTTCTTTGTTTTCCTCAAGCCTATCTCCTGACGAATTAGCTTGTGAATCACTACCGATTAAAGCCGCATGTTCCTCTTCTCCAACCACCGAAGACGATTTCAGAGGAACCACCTCCACCGCCGCAGCGTCACTACCAACCGAATCCACCTCCCGAACATTAAAAGCTGCATTTTCTTCTCCTCCTCCACCTACCGAGGAAACGACATCAACAGGAATCCCCCCTTCAACCACATCACTGATCTCAGCCACGGAATTCAAAGAAAAAACCGCACCTTCTCCTTGCTCCGGAAGCGCGAGCTCTGACTCAGCGGCGGACGAATTCACATCCGTAACTCCGTCGCCTCCTCCTCCTTCTTCCTCTCCAACAAACGAATCACCGCATGTTCCCGTGAGATTAGGTTCGTTCGAAACATAAATACATTCAGAATCATCTTTAATCGACTCGAGAGAAGCTCTCTCAGAATCAGAATCCATGAGCGAGAAAAAAGGATCAGCTTCTTCGTCTTCTTCGCTGGCTACAACACTCGTCCATAAAAAACACAAAGGGAAATTTTCCGGTAGATTAGAAAACAAAAAACGAGAAAACCCTAGAGAGATCTGAAAGCTTTTTAGGCTTAGGGTTTTTGAGGATGATTTTGTTTTCGGTGTCTCTAAATGGATCAAACTGTTTTTTTAACAAAAGACTGAAAGAGGTAGGAGAGGACAAGAACATTTTCAGGTGAATTAATTTTATTTACAATATACATTTATTAATGTTCGCTGTCACCACAAGATTTGTTTGTAGCTCAGTTGGATAAGCTGGACTTCTAAAATGTATTAGTCCCGGGTTCGATTCGTGGCGATGGATTGTTTTTCATTTTCTTCTACAAACATCAATTTGTACTTGACTTCACCCTAAACATATTAGTCAAGCTTTGCATTTGCTAATTTCTCAATTTTTTTCTGTTATTTGTCAAACTCACCCATAAAATATAAATTGTATAAATGTTAATTTTTTTGTAACGTGATAACATTTAAGTAATTTGGAACATTAGTCAAAAAGTTTATTTTGTCAACTTATTTACCAACATCTATTCTTCTTTTTTTTTGTCGTCTAGATTTATTATTAATTGCAAATTATGAGAACTGTTACATAGACAATTCTACAACTGACAATTCTTTCCGACCCTTAGTAGATCCACGACAGACTATACTTCTTTCTTCATAATCTTGATGAATACCTTCAATGATCCACGACCTGGCGACACTTCCTTCTCTGCGTAGAATCCTGGCGAACGGCTATAATTGTACATCGCTGAAGATCTTTTGCACACTTGTCTCCATTAATCTGCAAATTTGATAATAAATCGCAATATCTGGGACCAACATAGAAGAATAGAAGAAGCAGAGGAATTGACAAAAGAATTTAGACTATATATTGAAATTATGTCAAGTTTTTTACTTTATGTTTAAGTACTTAGTTTCAAATTATTCGTATCTAGAAAATTGGGTTTACATTTTTTTTGTTTTAGTTCCACCAGTACTATGAAAAACGATTTGTTACATCTTGCATAACCAAGACCTACAGTGTGATTATTGGAGGATCTTTGATCACTAGTGTGCCTCTAGCTTGTATAATCACACCAGAAAACACTATTTGGTGACAATCAGTTGTGTAAATATCGGAAAGAAAGAAGTTCCATATATTCTAGAAATTCTCGTCAAACTTTTGCGAAGACACCAAGATTAGACTCTAATTCTAGTTGTTTTTTTCTTTGCATTAGTCAGGACCGGTCCAATATGATATGATGCCTAAAACAAAAATAAATTTTTGGCCTATTAAAAGAAAATTGAAAAAAAAAACTGCAAAAAATTAGATGGTTAAAGACTCAAACTCGTAACACTATGAGAATAAACAAGGACTTAACTACTCTACCACGACAGCTTATACCGAAATGATGTCCTTATTTTTCTTTATACTAATTTGATGCCTAAAACCTTTGCTTCACGGACTTTAGTTCTGGGCCGACTCTGGCATTAGTATATGAATAAATATCATAACCAGAAGAAAATGAAGCTTTAGATTCAAAGACTCATAATTCTTCCGAATGAAAATTATCAAATATTGTCTATCAAATATCACCGTTTAATAAGAATAATATATGATTTTTTAAGTCTACGGTCTCATCTCACCCTAGATTATCACCTTTTATAAGAATTGTAAAGAAAAAATCCCTTAAGTTACATTTAGTATATTTCAATTATTATTTTTATACACAAAATTTTTTACTCTCAATAAATACATCAATTAATATTTTTATTTTAATACACAAACTTCATATATATACACTCAATTACGATGAGTTTCTAATAAAAGTGGAGTAATTGAGAGAAACTTTATTCTGATCAACGAAATACTTCATTAACTACTTTACAAACTGTCATTTCATTTACTTCCATTTACAAATGTACTAACTACTTTACCACTAAAAATGTGTTTTTACGTCCACTCAGTTTTGTAAGTATTAGTGAAAAATGTTTTAATTACCACCACCTCCAAAATGTCTTTACTAACAAATTAAGCCAACTAAAATTTTTGAACAATTTCTTTAACAACTAAAATATTTAACTCAAAAAATATTTCGAATGAAAAAAATTATCATATAACAAAAATTGATGATGTATTTATTAGAAATACTAAGATAATATATATACTCAATTACGATGAATCTATGACCAACTAATAAAGGTTGAGAAATTGGGAGAAAATTAATTTGACATAATTCATAGAAAAAAAATTAGAAGCATGATGATATAAGTTCAAGATCATTCAAATATAAAAAAATAAATTTAAACAAACATGATGATAATCATTGTTTGGAATCCACATCATTTTCTAGATATCTTCTTTCGAGATTCGTGCACGACACTTTTGAAGATGAGAATGTACTACTTTGGTTTTCAGCATTGAAATATATGAGAGCTCGAGGAATGATAAAAATATACTAAACTTAAAATTTAGTTAGGACTTAACGTCAATGTATAAATATTTATTATTTATTATTAGTTAATTCTTCATCATCGATACATAGTCCATATGCTAACAAGCTTAAGAACTTAACGTATGATTTTTTCTATTATTATTATTATAAGTTATATCTTCATTTTAGTATGCAGCATGACTACAAGGGGAGGTGAGATATGCATCTACAACCTTTTTTCTCCGGTGATGTACTCACAAGTAGACAACCTTTGTGGTTGGCCCGAACAAACCAAATTAAGGCAATAATTGCCTTTGTGGATGTCAGGTTCCTGAAAATAAATAGGAAAATGTGGGTTTAAACCTTCGATAGTCAGAAGTCAGAAAAATATTTGAGAAAATAGTCTCTTTGAAAATTTTCTTATATAGTTTTTTTATCGAAAAATAATTTTCTCTTTATATTGGTTGTTCTTTTCTATTTATACAAGAACTTAAAAGATTACAAATAATGAATAGATAATTATGGCAATAATTGTCTTAATTATCCATGCATTCGTCGGTTTTGATTTGTCTCTTTAATTCTGATAACGCCTAGGTTTGAATCTTTAATTAGTCGTGGTGGGCTTATTTTGTTTTATCTTTTTCGTCTAACTTATACGTTTTCTTCTTAGTTTCGGCTCGCGATCAGACTATTTTCCTTTTCCTTGTCCGAGACGAGACTTTTGATTTTGCTGACGTGTGAATATTTCCTGGGTCGAGGATCTTCGGTTTGGGATCCACCACCAACACCCCTCTTTGTCAATCAACCAAATTGGGGTCCATGTCCAACTTTTCCAAGGCTGCATGCAACACAACTACAACACCCTCTTTCTCTGAATCTTCACCAATGCAAACATGATTACAAACCGACAAGCTCCTCTCAATTTCTAGGATAACCTCCAATAAAACAAGTTGAAGGGCATGTACAAACCCTTGAACTACAAAACTAGCTTACACTAGACGAGATATTTTCTTGGATTTGATACATAACATTGTCATCTCAAAAGCTACCCAAATCGATGTCACAAACCACACTGCCTTTAAGTAGGCGAACAAGAACTTTGGTGTTATCTCCTCATTCTTAGAGAACATCTCAAACCAATATGAAGCTCTGATTATCTTATTCTTCTTATTTTTGGTTTTGTATGGATTTGGATCGTACCGCAATCATGTGACAAATAAGAACCCAAACCTAATTAGCTTCACATCAAATATGAATAAATTCTCATGCTTTTTCTCAATTGCTAACTACATTGCATGTGAGCAAAAACATATTGTGTTTATTGGAAAATAATTTATTTTCTCCCAATTTTAAATTTTTTTTCCAAAGGAATCGCTTTAGTTACAGAAAGTTCCTCTTGTTTCAGACGCTAAGCCAAATCATTTAAAAACTGAATTTGAAACCCTCTTGACATCTGCTTATTCGCCGGATTTAAACATTCTTAGGTAGGTTGTCCATTCTGAATTCACTCCTTATAAGGTATATACCTTTTTGGTCATCCCCATCGACAGTGAAAGAAACCACTTTCAAATTTGCAAATTACCAGAAAGAAAGATAACACGATATTTTTAGAGATTAACTAATCCAAATAAAACCTTTGCATTTCACTATAGGACGAAAATGTCAAGATGATTTGAAATTCGTCATGAGGTCTGCAAATAAACAGTTCGTTATGCATATCTACAGAAAGAAAAATAACACGATATTTTTAGAGATTAATTAATGCAAATAAAATCTTTGCATTGCATTTTTGTCTATTATTCGCCCAATTAAAAGATTTAATATTTACGAAAACGATTTTTTTTTTTTTATTTCTCGGTTGTAAAGTATGAAATGCAATTTCTCTACTTTTAATTAATAAATATATAAATATCAATTGTAAATTGTTTAATCATATAACCAAAACATGTAATATTCGTGTTGCAAGTTTTGGTATTTATTTAGGTAAGGACCATTTTTGTAGAAAAATAAAGAAAGAACAAAAAGAGAGCAGAGTAGATGCGACAAGTTGGTAACAAGCTTATTCCCATCTTACTGAAATTTTTTAAAAATTATGCGTAGGTTTATTTCAATTTTTCTTATTAGTTGGTAGTCAAACTTTTCTTTCATGCAGTTTTGCTAGATTCCACAATTTTCAAATAATATATTGAATAACACTTGCATTTAATAGAATTAATTAAGAAATTCAGAAATTCAATAACACCAGAAGTTAAAAGAAATCATGAAATACCTACTTGAATTACCCCCCCCCCCCCCCCCCCCCCCCCCCCCCCCTAATTTCTTTTTGAAGGGTTGTTGTTCAATTATAACCCGGTCAAACAATACTTCGATGGTTTAGATGGATGATTCAAATTCTATGAGTACTTCGATATTTTTTCCGTTTTAATGAGACTTTTAGTTTATCAAAACTGTAACTAGTTTTAGAAATCTTTAATTTTTCTGGCACCAAAATTCTATAATAAGAGAGGTCAATTGTGATAAAAACAAGATTTACTTCCATTTATATGTAGATTGGTTTAATACTCAGACCTGCCATCATTTCTGATTTTTTAGAAGAAAGGATGATATTTTACCTTCTGAAAATCATCTTTTAAATATCTTTTGATTTATATAACCTTTTTTGCCTATAATTTTCTATGTACCATTGTGCCTATAATCGAATCGAATCGAAACCCCCAAGTAAGATGTGCACATGGAACGTGGTCCATAATATAACCATAAAATCCGAACCTTTAAAGATTTAGTTCCAAAATATGCCTATTTGTTACGCTAGGTCCAAAATTGTCCTCCCCAAAACTCAGATGGAGAAGAGCCACAAAATAAGGATTCTATGTGTCTCGTGTATGTGTTTGTGGTGTCATATTCTACGGCTAACAACCACAACCTCACTTATTCTTGATGTCGTTATGTTTACTTTGCATTCCCCAAATTGTCTTTTGTCTCTTTACATAGAATAATCTTCGTTTTCTTATTCCAAAAGCTCTTCAATGGTCCAAATGCATATATCCTATAGTAAGAAAAATGATTTACTTTTTAAATATTAGGAAAAAGACTTATAACAGCTCATTGACATGGTTTAACAGTTTGCTAATTGTTAAATTAGTGGTCGATGGTGAATGATAGTATTATTAAATTTTGCTAAGAGTTTGTCTTATTACAAAGAAATAACTTAAACCTTAAAAACTGAATTTAAAGACAAATAAGAACTAGGATCGTAATCGTACGGTGAAGATCAAAGACAGGATCAACCGAAATAAGACCATTTCTCATCCTTGCCTTTGCCGCCGCCACCAGCTGCAGCTTCATCGCGGTAGTAAACGCCGAGGTTATTGATCGCTGCGGTGAGAGCGTTTGTGGATGTTTCCATGGAAAGATAAGGCATGTTGTTGAATGAACGAGCAAGACAGGATGCGACTACTAGTTTGTCGTTAGCCTTATCACCACCAGCTTTGTTATTGTTGTTCCTCTGCTCCTCGGCTCGGTGTTTAAGAGTCTGAAACATGAGCTCAGGCTCATGCTGCATTGCTCTGAGGACATCCGCAGAGGATTGGCCCATCACAGCACGGGTCACTGCGAATCCGTGAGGTCCATCACTCTGCAAGACGCGTACCACGCTTGGTCCACCGAACAGATTGTGGACTCCACCGAGAGCCTCTTCATAAGCTCCACCTAGGAACATTCCCAAATAGTATCTCCCGCCGCTGCAGCCATTGTTGTCCAGCTCGTGCAATGGCAAGCTCGATTCTCCGCCTATGAACTTGTTGATCTTTCCGTCGCTGTCGCAAGTCAAATCTGATAAGATCCCTCTCGCGACAGGCCTTTGGTCAAGTTTATGGATTGGAACTATAGGAAACAGCTGCTCAATCCCCCAGAAATCAGGAACCGAAGTGAAAACCGATAGATTGACATGGTAAGTAAGAACCGGATCCGATGCGCCAATCGCCTTAATCACCCACTCGCATAACCCATCAACACCAGCTAACTGTTCAATGCTCAAGGAACCTTCTTTGAACCCTTCAACACATCTCTGCTTCAGCTGATCAACATAAAGCAAACAGCTTTCGCGATCACCACGCATCACAGCACCATAAAGATTCTCGTAATCATTTCGGACTTCCTCCGAGTACCCTTCAAGCATAAACTTTAGATCAGTAGGGGTTTCATGTTGTTGACCAGCTGAAACAGCTTCAAAGATCAACACCGAGTGATGAGACACAATGGCCCGACCGCTCTCGCTGCATATCACTGGATGCTTCACAGATTTCTGATCACAAACAAACCTAACCGATGCCACAACAGCTGCAGCATACTCCTCAAGACTATAAGCAACAGAGAGATCCGACTCCCCCGATTTAGACCCATCGTAATCAATCCCCAATCCACCACCAATATCAATCACCTTCATATGCGCACCAAGACGGACAAGCTCACAGTAAAGCTGCGCAGCCTCAGCCACACCATCAGACAACAAAGCCGTCGACGGAATCTGTGAACCAATGTGAAAATGCAGAAGCTGAAGACAATCAAGCATACCAACTTGACTCAGCTTCCTCACCACACGAACAATCTGAATCGTAGTCAAACCAAATTTCCCTTTCTCACCAGAAGTAGAACCAAAATGACCAGAATGTTTAGTTCTCAGCTTAGCTCTTAACCCAATAACAGGCCTAACATTCATCTTCTGACTCAAATCAATAACCAAATCAAGCTCTTCTTCTTGCTCAAGAACAATAACAGTATTCAATTCCAGTTTCCTCCCAAACAAAGCCAATGAGATATACTCAGAGTCTTTAAAACCATTACACACAAGAAAAGCTTCAGGATTACCTTTACACAAACAACTCATAGCAAGAAGAATCTCAGGCTTGGAACCAGCTTCTAATCCGAATCGAAAACTCGATCCGAATTCGACAATATCTTCGATAATAAACCGATCTTGATTACATTTCACAGGATACACACCTTGGTAATGTGAACCATAGCCTTGACTCTGAATCGCGTAATCAAACGATGATTGAAGACACTCAAGACGATTCTTCAGAACATCAGGAAAACGAACAATCAGCGGAAGCTGTAATCCTAAACCACCGGAGATTTTCGGATCTGTAACTTTCTTCACGACCTTCATGAGATCGATGTCTTGGTGAGGTAAAGTGTTTGAGCCATGAGGACGAACAGAGATGTTACCGGAGGTATTCGCGGCGAAATACGGAGCTCCCCATCCGTCGATACGGTACAGCGAGGAGGAGAGCGACGGAGACCAATCAACAACGGCGGCGGTGGTGGATGACGGTGTAAAGACGCTGTAATCACCGGAAAATGTATCGATGGGAGTATCAACACAAGCTAGAGCAGGCATCTTCTTCTTCTTCCTTCAACGAACGGTTACAAATGAATTTTTTCGAAAACAAAATTTGTGAATTCAAATTTTCAACAGAAAAAAAGGAAAATTTGAATCTGTGAATTTGTTAGATTTGGGGGAATTTGAAACCCGCCGAGGCAAAGAGCCTCGGGGCTAACCCCCTCAGAAGGAAGCAGAAGGTGAATCTATCACCACCGTGAAACCCGCCTTTTACGACCCGACCCGACCCGAAATTCTCCACGATGAACGTTCAGAAGAAAGTTTTTTTAAAAATGAATTTTTTCAAATCTGAATTCAACAGCAAAACTTTTCTCTGAAAGAAAATGAGAATGAGAATTTTCTCGGGAAAATTGAGGATTGAGAATTTTCTCGGGAAAACTTTAAGGGAAGAGAGACGTGAAAGAAGAGAGATTGGTGAGAAATGCATGAAGGAGGAAGGTTCGTTAAATAGGGGAGAGTGGTGGGAGAGAAGGTGAGATTCGGATGAGGTTGGAATTTGGGCTTTGGGCCCTATTTGTGATTCTCTCCTTTTTAATATATTTTTATATTTTATTTAAATAATAACATGTATTTGTTTTTTTGACAATTTTCTTCGTTGAAAAAATGATTTATGTATGACAAAATAAATAAATAATATTATATTCATAGCCACCGAAATTTTTATTTCAACTATTCAACCCAAATTCCAACTACAATATTATTAAATTTAATATTCGAAAATTAGTCGACATTATACACAAGTCTACAAAAATTAATATAATCTTCAACTACAACTCTAATCGGTTGTGAGCATAAACATGGATAACAAATAAATTATATCGCTAAAAACATATCTTAAAATGTGCAGACTATATTTATAACAAGCCATCAAACTAACAAATATTAAAAACAATTCCAGCTCTAATAAATTCCTAAATTAACATTTTCATATAATATTAGTTTATATAATTATTAATTTTATCAGGATTTACAACATTGATTTGCATATGACTATAATATGAACTATGAGATTTACATATAAATGGTTTTTATTGAGATATCAATGTTTTTTAGAATTTATTATATAATTTAATTTAATATATATCTAGAGAATATAGAAGGTAGCCTGACTCATATAGATAAAGATTTCCAAAGGTATTCGAGTCGTTTAATTTTATTTTTTTGTTGTTTATGAAAGTAGAGTAAAAGTTTTTATATATATATTTTTTTTTTACAGCAAAAGAGTAAAAATTTTATATATGGAGGTTTGGAGAACAAAAATAAATACAAAAGGTGCAGAATTGGATTTGAGTGAGATTAATATATATATAGGTGCAAAGTGAGTTGTAAAATCATATCATTTATATAGTCTGTTAAGGTTATTTGTGTACGATTAAAATATACTAGAGAAATTACAAATCAAATCCTTTAAGTAAAATCACTTATGATCAGCAACATTACAAACATATATGTCTATACGCATTTATCTCTACCATCTAGTGACCAGTGCCGTTTGGTTGATTGATAACATAATCCTGAAATCTTTCATCTCTCGGAATGTTAGAATATGATCAAAGCCACTAAACCTCTTGTCTTTGGTATGACTTGGTTTGGCATAAAGCCCGAATACCAAAGCACGCCTTTTCTGTATGGCTATTTGTTCTTAATCGAAACCCAACTCTTGACAGACTTGGCACGTGGGGTTGAGATGTGGAATAAACTTGTCTTTGGTATAGAGATGTGGATGAATATATGAATCATTTATTCTACCAATGCTCTTACTCGGCCGAAATATGGACAAATGTAGTGGCTAGATTGCTGCCATCAACCGCGCCTACTCAATGGGAGTCCACAATCCAATGGTTGTCGACAGCCTCGATAAACAAAGATATTTTCCTTACCCTTCTTTAAGCTTGGCAAGCTTGTATCTATGAAGTTTGGAGCGAAAAGAACCGTAGGTATCACAATGAACAATTTTTCCTCTATCTTCTGTTTTCCAACGAGTTATAAATGTCGCTACAAACAGAGTTCGTAGTCTAGTTCTTCTCAATCCGGACCATGGATGATGAAATCCAAAAAGATAATAACTAATAACATGGTATCTCAAGAAAGTCAAAATTAAAGTAGGCTTCTTTCAACAACTACCAAATCTTTTCATGAATTTCATCTTGTTTTTTATTTTTTCTTTTCTTTTCTTTTTGTAAGACCATAAGTTTCTGTTTGAGTTAAACATTGTATCCATTTTTTATTTAATTTTTTATCATTATATATATATTATTAATCTTTACATACACATACTAATATAGATAATGACCATTCTATTATTCAAACTTATGGATGATGAAATCCTAAAAGATAATGACTAATTACATGGAATCTCAAAAATGTCAAAATTAAAGTAGGTTTAATTTTTTTCAACAACTATCAAATCTTTTCATGAAGTTCATTTTGTTGTTTTTTTTTCCTTTTTTTTTTGTAACACCGTGAGTTTGTGTATCCATTTTTTTTTTAATTAATCAAAAACCTTCATATAGAAAACAGATAATGACTAATAATAATAAAATAATAGTTGACCAAAAGTGGAGATTATGTTAGAGATTTACCCTATGACCTAAGTCGGATAAGTAAACTTGGGTTGGGTTTGAAGAACGAAAAAGGAGATGTCCATGGTTCGAAGTTCAAGATTATGTGATTCAACAGATTTTTGGCCCTACTTGGTGAAGTGTAGAATGAGTCAATGACACGAATATACATAATTACAATCTAAGGGTTGTATATTACTGACATTTATGATATGAGAATCGTAACGGATAAGGAATGGGTATTCGAGTAGCCTTTGTAGTTCTGGAGGTTGCCATGTCACATAGTGAAGACATTTACCGAATCATGTGGAGTTGGAATTGGTGGAATTTGAGGGTTTTTCGAGAAGATCATGTAATTTTATAAGTAAAGTGAATGAATGATGGAATTTGATTCTATAAATATTGTATGAACTGTAAAACAAAAAGAGCAAAATTAGATCGACAAGTAGAATTTGAAAGTCATTTAACACAATTCAATAAGCATAAACTGTTTTAGTCATGGACTCTTAAATAATCATGTATTATTCATATTATGGAAACCATAACTAGAGAGTAAGTATTATATAAACACTAATCAGGTTTCTTAATTTCTTAGTGGAAGTTGTTATTAAGTTATGCCTTTCAAGCTTTGCAGTCAGCCAGACATTCTGATTTGCTATTGTAACACCTATTCCTGAATTTTTCCCTGAAACAACAAGCACAAGTGAGGTTTCTGTCTTTATTGTCGCAATTCACCGACATGCAAAGTGTTTTAGCTGGTTTGTTCACTTCAACACTTTTTCTATTTTCACCTATATAAAAAGAAACAACACAATCATTTGAGAAAATATTGATTATGAAAGATATGATTATGTGATTCTATATAAAGGTGATGATGATCAAAAAGAAAACAATATATTCATACATTCATGAAGAGGAAATGAAGTAATGAGGATGATGCAAAAGATAAAAAGGTGTGATGAAGACATTGTTGTGATACTTTTACGAAGCAAATACGTTTTGTTTTCTTGATGGTTAGAATTTCTATATAAAGGAAGGATTTATCTATCTTGAAATATATAATTAGTGGTTCTTGTTATGGTGATCCATTAAAAAAGGTAGGTTTGTTTGACTAGTTTTTTTTTTTAACTATTTCTTGCTAATAGTATGGTTAACGTTTTCTTCTTTATTAAGTTGTTTATAATATACACTAGGTCTGGGCAAAACAACCGAACCATAAGAACCGAACCGAACCGCAATATTTCGGGTATCCGAAAATATTCGAAATATGAGTTTATATCTAAAAATATTAGTTATTTTTAGATCGAATAACCAAAAATACCCGAAATACTAAGAAATATTTGGAAAATATATAAAAAATATTTAAAATATCCAAAAAATACTCGAAAATATCTGAAAATACTTAAAAATATCCAAAATACCTAAAAATATCCGAAAGAAATTATCCGAATGGATCCTAAACTTCAGAACCGAAAGAACCGGAACCGAAACACAACCGAAATTGTTTGGTTCCTATATGGATCCTAAACTCTAGAACCGAAAGAACCAGAACCGAACCAGAACCGAGCAGATACCCTAACGCCCAGGCCTATTATACACATTCTTTTATTTTGTACGTTGAGCGACCATTCTATTATTCAAACTTGAGGTAATGTGGATAATCACACTGGAATAGAACAACCAACAAAGTAAATGGTCAGCCCTTATAAATAGCTTCCCATGTGATATAATAATAGAAAATTCATGAATAAACTCATAAGTTTGAAGAATTCCTTTAGTTTTGTAGAGAAATTTGGCCACTCCTTGGTCTTGCAATCATTGGAATGATGTCTTGACAGTCGGTTCCAAAAGCGTGATGCTTTGTTTGTTGTAGTAGAAACTTGAAACTTCATCGCCTAAATAAAAACTAAATGCTGAATATAATTTCTCATTACATATAAAAAGGTTTTTTCTACATGTCTTTTATCTTTGCTTATATAGAGTATTTATCTTCTGTAAGAATTTTTTAAAAAAAATCTTCTTGATTGGGGAAAATCTTAGAATGAATTTTCTTGTATACCATAGATCACAGAGAGTATCCCAGCCCCCAGTGGCGGAGCTAGGACGAACTTTCATTGGGGTCAAAATTATACAAAACAAAAAAAACATTGAAATTTTTTAAAAAGTTTACATGGCATTAATTATCGTATTATGTATTTGGGTTTAATCTAAAGGACCAAATCTTTTTGTAGCTAGAAAAATGTGGGTTTTCTGTCTTTTTTTTTAAGTAAACATGAGTTGAAATCAAATTTATAGGGGTCAATGTTAAATTTTCAGTGGGGTCAATGTTACAATTTCTTAAAATTCATAAAAGGATAATTAAATTTTGTTGGGGTCAGTTGACCCCCCTCCACTACACTTGCCTCCGCCACTGCCAGCCCCTGTCTTGAGAATGGTCTTGAAAATTTCCTAGATTTCTCAGTTCATCATGAAATACAAGAGTTAGCCAAAGGATCTGTTAGTGACGAAGTTGTAGGGCGATACTTGTTTTAGTAAACAAGGTTTATGACATCTAGGTGCTCGTTGTGCTTACATTTCTTTTAATATTTCTGTTACGGAGATGTTTCCTTGCTTTTGAAATTGAAGATTGTATGTTGAAAGCTTTTTTCTTTGATAGAGGACACTCTTTGTCTCCATTGTTTTCAAGTTTCTAGTATAAAAGTGAAACCATTTCATTCACGTTTCCTCCAACCATGGCTTTAACGTTTAGATACTTCAAACGGTTCTTCCTACCAAAAGTGTTGTGGGGTGCCTTTGATTCGAATTCGTAAAAGCGATAAGAGATAAGGGGGCATCATATTCCCAAAATTGGAGGATACTCATCATGTGGTTGAAGTGGTAGTGTAGAACTACTTCAAGTCCTCCACTTTGAATTCGAGTGGAACTGCCTTTACCCTAACTTGGATCCGACTACGCGGCCTTCCAATCTAAGTGCTTTAGAAAGAAATTGATAATTGACTAAGATCTTCTATTGTTTCGAGCAAGTAGCTCCCGCAATCAAAGTTAGATATGAGATTCAATTTACTAAACGCCAGCGATGGATTACTTGTACAATCGAGAGCAAATTTCGTCAAAGAAACGAAAATGAGAAGGAGATACCGCACACACATCTCTAACAAGTAGAAGATTCTATGCGATGTAAAGTTGTAAACAATAACGATTGGATTCCAGAAGATAATTGGCTTAGGAGGAACCCTAGGAAAAAGCACTGCCGCATGACCCAATACAGGCATTCAAAATGGTCTACACAAATTTCTTAAACTATTTTAAAAAACATATTTAATATTTTCATTACTTTGCTTAACCACCTCCTAATATAATGTTTTGTTTAGTGTAAAAGCTATCTTAAAACCAAATAGGAAGACACCAAAGATTAATCTCATAACATTCAAAGATGGTATCATCAGAAGCAAACTTCTTTACAAACAAAATATTATCAAGTTCATCAAGACAAATGCGAACAATACAAGAATACAAAACAAATGCCAAGCTCTTTTTTATTACCGAACCAAACAAAATAACATCCTACACTCAAGCAACCACCGACCGAGGAAAGAGAGGTGGCAGATCTGCTTCCCAAACCAAGTTCCAAGAATCCACAAAATATCGGCTCCCGATACTACATACCGCACACATAAGTTGAACGATAAGGAAGTACCTGGAAATTTTAACATTTGTTTGTGCTCTCATTCTGCTCTCGACTGACCAGCTCGAGAAGATAAGATGATGCCTACAATAAGACCGTATAAAGCAAGTGCTTCCGCAAAGATAAGAATAAGAATCATCCCAACAAAGAGCTTAGGCTGCTGCGCATTTGCCCTGCGATAATCGCAAAACCAAAACAAGTCAAGATTCAACATTATGTTTTTCAATCAACAAATTCAACATTCTCTGTGAGGAACAAACCTAACGCCCGCATCTCCGACAATTCCAATAGCCATACCAGCTGATAGCCCAGCAAGACCACAAGCAAGACCAGACGAAAGGTGAGCGTATCCGTCAAATAGGTAATAAGACTTAGCCTTAGGATTAATACCGGTACTGATGATAACAGCAATAATAAGTCCATAAATACCCAAAACACCAGCCATAACAACAGGAACAATAGACTTCATCACCAACTCAGGTCTCATCACTCCCATTGAAGCCACACCAACACCACTCTTTGCAGTCCCATAAGCAGCTCCCATACCTAAAACCCAAATCCATTAACAACATCTCAATTTACGACGCAAACACAATCACAAATCAATACCTAAATCCAGATTCTGATCAAACCTAAGAACACTAATCAATCAATCAATGAGGATCAGATCAAAGGGAACGATACGAATTGGAAGAGAATTGAAATGAGAAAGAAGGAAATTGGTTACAGGAGAAGACGAGAGCGGCGGCGGCGCCGAGGAAGCCGAAGAAGGGAGCAGTTTCATCGCCGCTGAACGTAGACATCTTCTCGGATCTAAGAATTTTGGATCGGATCGTTTGAATCTGGAGGGAGGACGAGAGAGAGAGAGAATTGGATTATTTTTTTTTTTTGGATTTTTTGGATTTTTGAGATGAGTGGAAGAGAACGACGTAGTCTGTTTGTAATTTTGTATAATAGAGTTGTTGTTGTTGAACACGTTGTAATTTTGGGCCGGGTCGAAATTAAAGCCCATTTTGCTGTTATCTATTTTTTTTTTTTTTGGTGAGGTGCTGTTATCTATTTTTTGATCATATACAAAACGTGCCGTTAAGACCATCTTTATCAATCGGTTCTTAAGAAAATCTTAAGATGATCTTAGTAATTTTTTAGTATTATTACTAAGAACCAAAGTTAAGATTTACCTCTTTTTGGCTCTTAGGTAAGCCACTTTCATTTTGGATCTTAACTTTGGTTCTTAGTAATAATACTAAAAAATTACTAAGATCATCTAAGATTTTCTTAAGAACCCATTGATAAAGATGGTCTAAGACATCTAAGAAAATCAGTGGTAACCACACTTTAAATCTTCAAAGTTTTGAACCGTAACAATAAACTATCAAAGTGGCAATTTTATTACTTTAAAATTTTAAAGTTGAAATTTATATTCGAGGATCCACATAAATTCAGAAAAAATTGATATTATCAACAGAAATATTTGTTTTTCGTTATAGATAATGACATGACTTTAATAATTAATTTTATAATAAAAATTTTATTATAACTAAATTTTCTATTTATCATTAATAATATATTTTAAAATTAAAGAAAATTTAAAATTTAGTCTTTGCCGTGAGAGGCTTCTTCTTAGTTCTTATTCTCTTATTTCTTGTTTTCTCTTTTTTTTTTTTTTTTTTTTTTGTATTCAATCCTTTAGAAATTTCACGCCAAAAACTTTGTTTTATAATCTAACAGTTTAATCTATAATTATAGGCATGAAATGTATTCAAGCTTTCACTTACTCAGAACGAATTTTTTTTTTCTTTTTAAAATATATTATTAATGATAGATAAAAATTTCATTTAAATTATTTTTACTAAAATAAAAATAGTTCTTAAAGTTTTTTTTTTTTGTCAACTACACATTAATTAATAAGGAGGGAAAAAAGGCATGGAGTAAACCAAACTCATCCAGCTGATTTGAGAAAGCAGGCTATTCTTCAGGTGACTGTATCATCGAGATTAATTCCGAACAATCTGTTTCAAATACCTGACAATCGATCCTTCTTGAAAGGATATTCTTTATAAGCCAAATTAAAACTTCCATCTCCGAATGAAGGGGGAGGGATATCTCCTAAGGCACTTTGCACTGAGCAGTATCGTTTGATCGATTTCTTGAAAATACCACCATCCTATACCCATAGTTGGATCCGAAAATTTCCAAGAGCCATCAATCCGACATCTTATTGATTGAACTGGGCTTTCGAAAGTTTCCGTAATAGAGCTAGTTTCGACCGGTTCCAATTGAGCTTCTTCCCACATTAATTTTTCGATCAAGGCGTGATTTAAAATAGTTCTTAAAGTTACATTAGTATTTATAACGAAAAACAAATATTTATGTTGACGGATTCAATTTATCCGTTAATTTTTGTCGCACTACGAATACGAAAGACACTTTGAAAGTTTAAAATAATAAAATTGTCACTTTGATGGTTTATTGTATCAATTCAAAACCTTGATGTTAAAATCTATAGAAAATATAGAAGTTCAAAAATAAAATTAACTTTTTAAATTGAAAATGATTATGCTTCCTTTATAGGTATTTCCAAAGAGTGGGTTTATTTGTAGAGATTAAAAGATTAGTATGTACTATAAATTTTTAATGAATTTTCTTAAAGTTTTAGAATAATTCGAAAGTTAGAAGAAATCTTCTTGTTGATATAATATTAAATTAGGCATGGGCTTAAATTTTTGTTGGTGTTGCTTCTAAAATGTTAATTGAGAAAAGTGTTAAAGTTGTTGTATTTTAAAGGATATTAAATTTCATAGTAATTTTTAATTTTAAATAAAAATTTGGGTGGTTTAAATATTTGATGTATATAACCATATTGATAATTGAAAAATTTAATATTATTTAATTTTATTCACCAATATTATGTTAATAAAAAATTATTTGATATAGTATTTATAACCTAAATTCATACGAGTTGGGTATTTAATTTGTTTTTGGTTTGGTTTCATTTTGTTTTATTAGTATTTGAAAATTTCAATTACATGGTTCACCAGTATTTTAAAATTGGGAATGACCCAGCGGTCGGACAGTGATCCAACTCAAACGGATTAGTGCTCGGTTAGATTTCTATTAAACTTGTGAACTATCAAATCGGATTAAAACTCTCAAAAATGATTAAACCCGTCTGACCAAAATAACAACATTTAGGGGTGGAAGTATTTCCCGTTCCGTTCCTTCATGTCCCATTTTTTCCTCTACCAGTTCCCAAAATTATGTCGCATAAAGGAATGCATTCCCAATATAATAAATTCCCGATATGGGACGCATTTTATATTCTCGAGTGAAAACAGAACAGAACGGAAACTTATAATTCGAAGTCATGTTAAGGACAAACACAAATATAATTCATAGTATATTTTTATATCATATAATATAGTAAAATATTACAAAATTCACTGACTTCTTTGGTCTTATTATGTTATATTTGGCATCTATATCAGGTTACATTTCTTTGTTTTTAAAATTGAACTATTGTAAAACATATTTTAATGTCTTTTATTTTTATTTTGAACATCTTTATGCTACATAAATCGAAAAAAGAAAACTTGTTATATATATGATTACAAGCATTATTTTGCAAAGACATGTGCATATATATAATTAAGTTGCTTAAACATGTTTTACAAAGACGATTAAAGCTGAATTTCGTGGAAATTTAAAACAAACATAAAAGAATCAGAAAAAAAGAATGGCCAGAAAATCAACAATTACAAAGTAAAATTAGATAAGCTTAAGCATAAATACAAGATAATATAAAGCATTTTTTATCTTTTTTATGCATAATATTATTTAAAATAATATGTAGTTTTGTGAGGAAATTAATACCTAAGAAAAAGAAATAAAATGAGGATAAATTAATGTCCTTGGAAAGGAAAAGTAAAGAGTTAACAGAAATTTGCAAGTTGTAAATTTAAAATAAGTTGATATGATAAAACTTAACTATGAGGAAAAAAAAAGAATTTAAATGAAAACAAGAAATAACTCATATGTAAAAAATTAATGCTCTTGACTCAACCACTATATTAGTTAATTTAAATTTAATGGAGAAAGATCTTTTCTCAAAAAATTATATATTATCTTACCAATACTTCATTCATAAGTCACTCCACTACATATATATTCAATTACCATTCACCTCCCTATAAAACACACATATTATTCTTTTACCTTCTCTCTCAAATAAAAAAATGGCTTCTTGTGATCCAAAAGGAGATGTTGTCTTGATGATGTTAGCTCGAACAGAAAAAAATATAGAGGAACTCGAGGAGATTCTTAATAAAGTTGAACTCATATGTAACGGAACGGGAATTGATGTTTCTTTTGCGTCGCTTGATCACACAATTTTCGATATCGAGAGGAATGTTAAGAAAGCTAGCGAATATTATTCTTATTTGGAGAAGAAAAAAGCAGCTGATTATACCTTTGTGAGTGACGAAGTAATGGACAAGTTTATGAATCTTGATTTCTTGAGTACTATGCTTCTTTATTGCTTAAACTTAAAGTGGCAACCACCTATATCGATGGTAATTGATAGCTGCAAACCAGAGAATAAAAAATAATATTCATTGATTTGAAGACTAAATCCTATATGATGAATCATTGTAATAATAACAATAACAATAACAATAACGATGATGATGGTTTATGTATGCATGTAAAAATTTGATATTTTCTATATAATAATATTATTTTAATGTATCTAAATATGTTACATGATATTGATTAGTCTATTAAGATTTTATATTTTATTGTTTTTTTACTTCAAAGCAAAAATTATCCATTTTGCATTAGAAATTACAAGAAAAGAAGCGATATTTGATAGCCAAATAAGTATCAACTAGATCTGGACCCGCACATACGTGCGGGGTTTCATTTTTTTAAAAAATATTTTTTAAAATATATTATGTATTTACTTTTTGTTTGTGAAAATTAGAATATATACCGTACATGCAGTATATTAAGTGAGATTAATTTGTTGGTGTTTTTAAAATATTTGCAACCGACATTTATTTTATGTCTGTTTCATTACAATTTTAGAGTAATTGTTTATTTTAAATATTTGTATGTGTTTGTTTAAAAAAACTAAAACTGGTTATAATGATCAAAAGATAATTTTTACATTTACAAAAGACATGTGTAATAGTTAGAATAGGAAAATTTTATTTGAAAGAAACTTAAACTCATATAATTGTATTTGTATAATAATGTTAATGCAACAGTATTGTTTATTAAACTTTATTATAAAATTCAGAAATCCTCTAAAACAATGTGTTAATTAATGGCCCAAATACTTTTTCCGAATAAAGTTTGTATGGGCTTTTAAAATATTGTTTTAGGCCCAATTGTAAACCTCATGCCCCATGGAGCCATTTAGGAAAACTCTTATGTTTTTTTTTTTGTCGGTAGGAAAACTCTTATGTTAATGTATTTGGATAGATTTTTGTTGTTGAAAATTCGTTGTCTTATTACCAAAAAAAAAAATCACCGAACAAAACGAAGAACATCGCTCGATTTCATGAATCAAATGCTGTATTCTCATAGAAGCATCATTACTTCATCTCCTTTTATACCTCTGGTGGGTTTCGATTCGTGAATTTAAATCAAATTTATACTTTTACAGTTTTTGTATATGTCGATTCAATTCGCAATCTTTGAAATTTTCTGTTTTGATAGTATAGAATCGCCAAGGATTGTCAAGAACCCGGATCTTGTATGGGTAGTCTATATCTCTTAAGGCTGATTCAAAATTAGGTTTTCACAACTTTTGTTTTAGGTTCGAATACGAATTTG